TCCAAATGGTGCAAAACTATTATCTTAAAAAAAAAAAAAAAAAAAAAAAAAAAAAAAAAAACTTGTATGCAAATCCAAACCATTGTTGATTAATATACAAATAACTGAAAATCCAAATGGTGCAAAACTATTATCTTAGCTATTGGATGTACAATTCTACGTTGCACGGAAACAGAAACGAAGAAATACGAAAATGGAGAAACCGGTGTGAAGAAAATAATTTTAAACGGGAAAATGATATTTTATACTGGAAATAGCCATGGCTAGGGCCTAGAAGTTTCTGTGCATCATAGCCTGACATATAGGAGTGCTGCTTACCTTTCGAAGAGTATACAAGAGGAGATATCAGCCTGAAAAATTGTTTATAACCTCTATTAGTCTTACTTGGTACGAGAGATTAAACTCCTAAAGTGCTAAATAGTAAAAACATACAAACTGAAACCAAAATTGGAAAACTTAATTATTCATGCAGTTCAATCAAACAAATATACTGCAATTCCTCAATAAATTGACCAAACAAATACTTAAGCTCAGATCATTAAATACCTTGGGGTTGCAAAGTTTGCGCCTCAAGTTTGAAAAACAGCCATCACATACGATTGCAAGAGGAGCATGTGCTGTCAAGTCTTTGGCCGGTTTTGTTTCTATATAGCAACCCTTTAACGGTTCCATTTTCTTCAATAAGAGATGTCACTGTTCCTTGTTCCAAGCTTACACTGTTTAAAAGATCAAGAAAACGTGGACAAATAAGAGTTTTTAGTAATAAAGAAAACAAAATGAAAAGAAGAAAAAAATCAAGTGCTAGGACTAAAACCATCTTGATAACGTCAATGTTAATTTGATACCCATTATCAATTGCAAAATCATTACCTTGGAGTGGAATACACATGAGGTTATAGTATGATTACCTGGGAAGAGTTGCAGCCTTCTCACGCATTCTTTGTATAAAACGGCCATTGTTAAAGGTTCTTCCAGCTATATTTGATTCAAAACTTTGTAGAGGATAGGATAGCTTAGTACTTTTGCCATCCTTGTAAATAGCATATCCAAATACCTGTTGAGCATCAATCTTTTCCACAAAATCTGCATTCACAAACATGAAACATTTATACTCTCATATTAGAACAGTTTGAGGGAGTGAGTTCAAAATTTTCACTTACTATATCAACATGTTAATTGAATAAAAACTGAAATATTAAGAGTTCTTTGAACTGCAGAAGCTGTTGATTCTAAACAATTGAGACTACATATTCATGAATATTATCCATATCCTTCAAGAACCAGCCCAATCAGTTTCAAATAACCACCAGGCTGTAAGAGTTCACCAAAGAGGAGCTGTAATTCCACCAATTAAAAGCTGATAATCCATCTTAGAAGATCAATGTAGAACTTCTCTCTTGATTTTTCTAGAAATTGATTGCTCTTTGCTAATGCTGTAAGAGCTCTTTTTCTTTCACTTCAAATTGACTTAGAGAGCGCAAATTTGAGACAAAAAGTAAAAGAAGTTAAAGAAGAAAAAACGGAAAGCAATTTGCGACTAATATGGTATTTTTTTGTAGTCTGCAGTTTTCATTTTAACTTGCCTACTAACATTACTTTTATCTTTTATTGCTAGCGCTGTGCAAGTCGGTTTCGGTACCGTTATTAAGAAGAATTGAACCGAACCAAAAATTTGGTTGTTTTATTTTTAGAAACCGGAACAGGAACTGAGGGACTAAAAAATCGAACCGAACCGAACCAAATTTTTGGTATGATTTCAGTACAGTTTTTCAATTTTTTGATTTCGGTTATTTGATTCTGATTTCGGTTTTAGTTCCAGTTCCTCATTGAAAATTATTATATTTTCAAAACACATTATAAAGTTTCTTTATATAAAAGTACTCTAATATCAAAATAGAATTATAATGTCACTTATAATTAAAGAACACTTTTTATTTAAATTATGGCATAGTAAAATACTATAAAACATTTGTGAATTATCGTATAGTTAAAATATTATATGCAGTAAGACAGTGGCAGGGCTAGAAAATTTTTTCAATAGGGTTATTTATTTATTTTGATTTTTAGTGGGTCAATTACATAAAAAAAATCTAAAATTTTCATTTAATATATATTTTTTTAATTTTTTTTTATCAATTTAACCCTATTTCATAAATATTTTTTAAAAATCGAGCGGAGTCAATTGACCTCACTTTACATAACCTAGCGCGGTACCTACAGTCAGGGATGGCGGAAATCATTATTTATGAATTTTTTATGTAGGATAAATATTTTTAATTTATACTCCATTTGTATTATTAATTAAAGAGGATCAATGAATAAAGATTTTGTTTCAGATAATAAAATTTAATCTCTACTACAAATAACATAATATACTAAAACATTAAAGAAAAAATATATGGATAAATCAATTTTTTGGTTCAGTTCAGCTCAATTTGATTTTGGTACGGTTTTAATGCAGTTCCAGTACAATTCTTTATAAGAATCGAAACTAGAACCAAAACCAAAATAATAAATTGCATAAGTTTGGTACGGTTGGACTCCTAAGATCTTAATTTCTTTTCAATTCCAATTCAGTTCAATATGATTTCTCAGTTCGGTTAGGATCCCATAAACCATGCACAGCACTATTTATTGCACATATGCAGCAACCAAACATGAATAAAAAGGGACCTTTAGCATTGCAAGGTCTAATTTTCTACTCCTATGCTCTTCTTCCTTATTCAATGAATGGTAATTGAATAATGGGTAATATTGTCAATATATTATTTTAAGAAATGTGTTGCTTGACATTAATAAATACTTAAAATGTAAGTCGTTTTTGGATGTTTATTTTATTTCAAAATATAAGTAATTTGAGTCTTTTAAAAAGTTAATAAATGATGTTTTTCCAATATTATCATTATTTATATTAAATAAATTACCTTCATAGGTTGTTTTTGGTTTTGAAATACATTAGATAAACTACTTTTATAAACTGTCCTTAGTTTTGAAACAAAGTTTAATTTAGTTAAATTATCCTTAATTTTATTATAATTTAAGATACTTAATTGTTTTCTTAATATCCGTGTAAAAACTTTAAACGATTTATATTTTGGAATAAAGAGAGCAGTATTTTATCCATGATGCTACCTCTTTTTAGGAATATAATTATAATTTGAACGTATATAAAAATTTATAATTTTAAAAAATATCATAATTCATTACTAAATAATATAATAGGAGTACATTATAATTTTTTTAGAAAAATAAAAAATAAAAATGTAGAAAATTAAAAATTAAATAAGAAGCTTATAATAGTATATCAATAATTAGAATTAAAATCTTAATTTTTTTCCCACCTTAGCAAAATTTTAATGGATTGGTGATTCATAAATAGAGTATAAGACAAATGAAAATGGAAACTACCACTTTCCAGACAAAAAGCGTGACGTCATCGTCAATTCCCACACGGCCACACAACTGCCTAACCACTATTCACTAGTACTTTCAGGAAATCTGAAGCTAAACTCTTTCTGTGTATATTTATGAATTACTATATATTTTTTATATTTATTATTTTATTAAATAATTATCTTTTTTTTTTCATAAAATCAGATAATAAAAACACTAAGATTTAACTAAATTTAGTATATACGAAATAAATATAGTTATTCTCAATTAAACCTCAAAATAAAAAAATACGTTATGTTTATTTTTTTAATTATTTTCAACATATAATTTCTTTTTTAAATCAAAAAACATAATTCTATTCACATACTCTAAATCAATTTGTCGCTTGTATATAAAGCCTCAATCAACAAGAAAGAACTGGCAGATTCTAGCTTTCTCTACTTAATTTCTAGCTAGCTAGCAACCATGGCTGATGATGAGAACAGGAAGAATGATCCAAAAGTTCCTAACAATCTGTTTCTACTCTCTCCTAAATTTGAGCTCAAGTTTCCTCCATTTATGAAATTTGATGATTCTATTGTTGAAGACAGAGAAGAAACAAGTCAGAAACCAGATGTTGTAAGGTTCGCAGATCCTAAACCAGTAACTCCTCCTCCATTGAAGCTTTACAATGAGGAGCTTGAAAAGCGTTCCCATCCTTTAATCCTTTTTCCGGTACGTTTTATCCCTCTCTCTCTCTCTCTCTCTCTCTCTCTCTCTCTCCCTCTGCTTTTTTTTTTTCCCTGTAAATTGTGTTTGGGTGCTGAGAATTTCATGCAAACGTAAGAAGAAGAATACTTTCTTGTTAATTGTTAAATTTGGTGTATTAGAAAAGTTCCCTTTTCTTTGCTTTTGCAGGATTGAGTTTTTGAAAGAAAATTATGAAAAATAAATTATTTTTCAATTGCTGCATGTCTCCTACTCCTGATATATAGTTTTGTTTCTCATTCTAGCTCTCCTCGTTTTTCTCCTTCTCGGATTGGATCCAGCTATGAGATAGAAGCATTTAAATCCGTTTTGGTGCTTCAATCAGTGTTAACACTTTTGACACCCCAAACTCTCCTCCAACTTGATAATATTTATAATTATTCCATTGACAATAGCACTGGTGTTGTTGTTGTTGTTGTTTGTATTGGTGTTGGAGTAAGGAGCTTTATTTTGAACGTTGATGGATTTGAGAGCATGACGTTATTTTGGGGTAGGTTTTAGATTGTTGGCTGTGACGGTATAGAGAAGGGGAGGTTCTAAATTGGAAAACAGGATATATATGTATGAATTCACAAAATATGTATTTAAATTTATCTAAATTTAAATTAAAATTTATTTATTCCTGATCTTCTCAAAAGTAAATTCTCAATTATGAAAATTTAATATTTAATTTTTTTTTTAAAAAAAAGTAAGAATCATTTCAATTTCAGTTTTTTTTTTTAAAGGTAATTATCTGCAAAATGCAAAACTACCCATTCCAGTCCTCTAATAATTAATTATTTGACAGTAACAAAATTTTAACTTAATCTCGTGATAAATAAAATAAAAAGCCAGAACCCTGCACGTGACGACGTACTCTGCTTCTTACCTTTCGTCTCTATTTAAACCCCAAACAAAGTCTTTTCCGAACAAAATCTCTGTCGAAAGCCATGGGCGGGCAAGATTCACCAAAAGAACCCAAAAATCTATTCTCACAATTTCCAAAAATTGAGCTCAAATTTCCATTCTTTAATCAAGAAAAGAAGGCGACAACGCAGTCTGCGGTAAAAGAGGAATCGAGAATAGAAGTAATTGGTAAAGGAGAAGCAGAGAATGGAAAGCAGAAACCTAATTTTGTAAGGTTTCCAAATTCCCAACCGATAGTTCCACCTTCGATTGATGTCGAGCTCCAAGAGAGTAGCGGAAAGACTCACAATCCCCTAATCATATGGCAGGTCTGTTTCATATAGTTGGGCTTTGTTTGAATTTTGGTTATTGGAACTGATTTAAATGTAAAAGGCTTTCAAGTGTAATAACTTAGTTCATAGTTAGCAAGTAATTGGGTAGGTAGGAAGGTTATGTAGAGAATGGAGGCAAGGGTTAGGATATGTAGAAAATGGAGATTTTAGGCAGCTTTTTTATTATTATTGTTATTAATAGTCAGGAGAATTTTTGGATATATAGGATATATAAAATCACAAAAATTATGAAATAATGATATGAATTGGATGAAGAGGGCCAACTCAGTATCTTTTCGATTGATGAGAATATATGGGAAAATGAAGGAGAATAAAGGAACTGAGAGAAGAGGGAGAAAAAGGGGAGAGAGGGCAATTCAGCTGAATTTTCGTTTTCTATACATGCCAAATAGTTTCTTTGGCTTGGAAGAAGAAAGCAAAGCAAAACAATGGGTAGTCCCAATGCTACCGGGAAAATTTATCCTTTAGAAGCTGATTAAGAAAAATATGGATTCTTTAAAATTAACAGTATTAATGGATAAACAATTTTGAATGTTGCATGAACGAGATGTAAATGAATATTAATATCTGATTTTTTTTTTTTTTTAGGTTCTCATGTGCTGTTGCTTGTTGCTTGTCAATGTTATCTTGTGTCTAGCAGTCTGCATTATTGGCTTTCACTTAACATGCTGTTGTTGAACTATGGTTTCTTTCCCGTCCTTGTGACAAAATTTCTTTCCTGATCCTTATATGCAAACATGCATATTTGTAGTAATATATATGGTATATGCATGAGTTCACATTTTCCTTGCACACACCTCACGTCCTTCATTATCCTGTGTCGTAAGAAATTGGAGTTTTCCTTTTTCACATTTTAATTCTTGTCCCATGTGTATTTTTTGAATTCCAGTTTCTGTCTATATCATGTTAATATTTAGAACTCTTACAACTTATGGTTATGTGTTGGCTTTATTTTTATCATTTTCATGAAAATGACAAAACTTTGCAATTTCAGTAAATATTGAACTTTTGAGTTTTCAATTTAAATCTTGCGCAAATTTGGAATTCCCGACTGCTTGTTTTTTCAGAAGAAACAGAATAATAATTTTAGCTTTTATTTGTCGAAATTCATTGTCAAAGGTAATATTTCTTTTCATTGAATTGTTGATCGTTTTTTTGTTTTTCCTTGTAGTCAATATTTCTAGGCTGTTTTAATGGTCTAGTTTAGGACTTCCATCTTTCCTTTTTCCATTTTTCTTCTGAAATTGTTGACTCTCTAGGGGACTTTCACTCGGTTGGCGATGCCAAATTGTTGTAGTTTTTCTCTATCTATGTCTACTATGAGCTTGGATAACAGATGCATAATCACATGATCTTTGTTTAGTGTTTTCTTCTTATTATTAGTTTCTGCTTATATAATGAAGTCACTTCATATACTTCCAGGTTTATGCACTTGGTGGGTTCCTAATATTGAAATGGGTATGGGCGAGGTTGAAAGAAAGGAATGAAAGAGCCAAGAAAGAATCGTCTGGTGATGATAATCGATCGTCTGATGAGTATGAATTGCCATCTTATGATAGTGAATGATTCTGCAAATTATGTTATATACTAAATGCAATTTTAGCGAGTGAAAGTGAAGCTAGTTATGTTAGCCAACAGCGATTTTTTAATCGCTTATCTTTCTCGCTTGTCTTGTTCGTTTAAGTTACACTCTTTATTCTGAAATGCAATTACAGTATTTGATCATATATGTATTTGCTATGATGCTGTGGTTATTTTCCATTAACATGTCTTAGGGGTAAACCTACAATATGCAATCTTCTGTGAGTTAATTGTTCTTTTGATAATGAGAGAGATTTTTAACAATTTGAGAAATTATTATTATTATTATTATTATTATTTATACGGAGATTGGAGTATGTCGACTTATAAGGTGAAGAGAAAACATGTTTCTCAAAGTGGGGGCGGGGGTTGGGGGGTGGGGAGGGGAACAAGCTTTCAAATTGTTTTCTACATTCTAAACGAGAGAAAAAAAAAAAAAAAAAGCTTCGACTTTAATTTTTTTTATAATTTTGTTTTATCTTTTTTTTTTTTTTCTTAACAATTGTAGTCTTCATCCTTGTACCATCTAATTTCTTTCACAATTTGTAAAATAATATTTTTTTATATTATTATTATGTTTAGGCTCCAATTGTTCTGAAAAAATAATTTTTTTAAAAAAAAGAACATGTTTTCCTTAGAAAAGATTTTTCAAATAATTTCTTTTGTATTGTTTGATTGTTATGTTAAAAGTTAGTTAAAAATATTTAAATTTATATGTAAGGATATAAAAATATTTAAAATTATAGAAATTTCAAATTTGGAGAAATTATATTTATTATCTATTAATTATCATACCACCCTGTTATCACGGAGACATCTCGGAGTAATGTCGAACTTAATAAGGTGAATGAGAAAAATGTTATCTCAAAAGTGGGGGCGGGGGTTTGGGGGAGTGGGGAGGGGAAAAGCTTTCAGAATTGTTTTCATACAATTCTACAACCCGAGAGAAAAAAAAAAAAAAAAAGGCTTTTCGACTTTTTAATTTTTTTTTACCTAATTTTGCTTCTTACTCTCTTCATTCTTTTTTTTCTCTCTTCTTACAACTCTGTAACGTCTATCTCTCGTACCCCACTAATTTCTTTCACAATTTGTCAAAATAATATTTTTATATTATTATTCATCAGTTTAGGTCACATTGGTTCTGAAAAATAATTTCTTTTTACAAAAAAGAACATGTTATTTCTTAGAAAAGATTTTTGCAAATAAATTTATTCTTTTTGTATTGGTTTTGATTGTTATGTTAAAAGTATAGTTAAAATATATTTAACTTTATATGTCAAGGATATAATAAAAATAATTTAAAATCTATAGGAGATTCTCATATATTACTCTATATAATATATAGTTAATTATATGAGATAGTATAATACTATATATATATAGTATATATATTTTTGAAACACCAGAGATTTCATATTTTAAACTGAGAAAGACAAAAATCATACTCTTTTCAATTGAACTAGATGATCAGTGGAGAAGGGGATTAATATAATCAGAGACGCGAAAAATAAAATAGTCTTTGTTTAGAAGAGGAGAAGCTCCACCGTTAAAATTAGGTAGTGAGGAAGAGTAATCTTTAGTAGTCACCCCTCAAAAAAAAATCTACTATTTCTTTCAATTATTGAAAACTATTATATCACATTGTTTGATCTTTTTTAACAACCCATCGAACATGAAAAATTAGAAAAAAATTATTTTTTTAGGTAATTATTTTATATTTGAAAACATAGAGATTTCATATTTAAACATGAGAAAGATCAAAATATTATCTTTTTCATTGACTAGTGATCAGTGGAGAAGGGCATTAAATATAATCAGCGCGAAATAAAATAGTCTCTTGTTGAACCGTTAAATTAGGAGTGAGAGAGTATCTTAGTAGTACCAAAAAAAAAATCCTAACTTTTCCTTTAATATTGAAAATATTTTCCATTGTTTGATTTTTTTTAACCACCTCGAACATAAAAAAATTAGAAAATTATTTTTTAGGTAAATTATTTTCGGAACAATCAGACCCTTACTTTTATATTGCTTCAATTCGCATCAAACTACATTTATTAAGTACTAGTTTTTTTATCATTGCTCGTTATTATCCATTGTTTATAATTACAAAATTAATTAAGGCAATGTACTATTTAGTTTTTGGAGTATTGTCAAATTTACTATCTCGTTCTTCTATTTTGAAGAACTAATGATATAATTCCGAGTTTAGGGTTTGTTGGAAAATACTATAATTGTTTTAGAAGCTGTTAGTTGTTTTAATAGATGTTAGCTGTTAGATGTTACTCGTTATCTGTGTAAGTAGCGGTTGAAGACAAAAGTGTTCGATAAAAACAATTGTTTGATTGCCAATTAAATTTAAAATGACAAAAAAGAACATTGAAATATTCACTTAGAATTTTCGCTTATAGCCATAAAATTAAACTCATTATATTAAAAAAAAAAAAAAAGATGATTTTACTATACCTAAATTTTCAAAATTTAAGGGGGAAAAAAATTGAAAAGTTCACTATTTTATGAATAAAATTGAAAATTTTTAATATTTTTGGGATCAATATTTTTTATTTTTAAAATATTTTCTTGAGTTCGAACACACACGAGGAAAATTATGTCATGTTCTTTGTGGAAAAAATAGGCAGCAAGTCATCACACACATTGTTAGAAGTGATGAATACTATTCTAGGGAACATCATGTCATATTCTTTTTTGTTGCAAAAAAATAGGATCGAGTGCAATATTTGTGAACAAACTTACCAGAACAATGGGGAAAGAAATTTCATTGTACACAGTGTTGTCAGTGATGAATTATATTCTGGGGAAGAGTTGTGCTATATTCTTCTTTATGGAAAAAAAAAAAAAAAAAAAGGACTCGTTCACTATTAAGAATAAGGTAAGGAATTCTTTGGACAAAAAATAATTTTGGAATGAAGGAAATGCAATCAAATGCAATACGGTGGAGAGTCAAAGCTAATCAGAACAGAGAACTTCGAAGGAGATGATAATGCGAAAATACCCTAGATTATAAGATGGTTTGTCCATTTCGGAAAGTTTTTTGAACTGTGTCTATGTAATCAAAATTGGTATTTGCAAAAATGGAGTTAGCATCGCAGTAATGATGATGCTATTTGTCCTTTCCTATGGCCTCTGATGGGCTCTCAAGGGAAAAAAAAAAAAAAAAAAGGACTCGTTCACTATTAAGAATAAGGTAAGGAATTCTTGGACAAAAAATAATTTGGATGAAGAATGCAATCAATGCAATAAGGTGGAAGAGTCCAAAGATAATAAAGAACCTTCGAAGGAGATGAATAATGAAATACCTAGGATTATAAGATGGATTGTCATTTCGGAAAGTTCTGAAACTGTGTCTTAAATGTAATCAAAATTGTATTTGCAAAAATGGAGTTAGCATCGCAGTATGATGATGCTATTGTCCTTTCCTATGGTTGATGGGCTTCATATATTGTATGTCCTTTCCCATGCTATTGTTGTTGGTTCATATATCTATCGAGAATGGCTCAAAGATTTTCAAAGCTCTTTATGGCATTTCTTGATTCTAACGTTCTTCTCTGAATTGCATTAAACAAAACGAAAGTAATCAACCCATTTAGCTTTTTCTCTTTTGTAACTAGTTACTTATTGGGTTGGTTATTTTTTACCACTGTAAATAATAACAAGTACAAGTGAGTTGGCAGGTTCCCAACTCTCAGGGAGGGGGGACGGGTGTCTCTCAACATTGCCCGCTACTGATTTCTTCACCATTGACTACAGTCCACAAAAATTTCCTCTTTTAGCACCATCCAAACTTCCAAAAAAGCTACCATTTCTAGCCTTAAAGACCTACGATAAGGGAATTTGTGATGAAAACTAACGAGCATAGCCAAGAATTGTAACACTCGTTACTCTGCTGAAGGACATGGCGACGGATGTTCCATTCTGTGCCTGAACTACACAGATTGAACAAAATTAAAATATTAGCTTAAACTAATATCATGAATTAAGATGTTTTCAGATTAATAGTTAATGAACTTATAAATACTTAAAATAAATTTTTCAAAAATTCATACAGAATAACTGCAAGAGTTTTGCCTGAAAATAACACTTAACAAAAATTTAAAAAAAAATATTAAGACTTCTCTTGAATGTCAAATGAACATTCAATCTCCAATATTCTCAAGTAATCAAACCTCATATACCATCATAATATCGACTCCTTCACAATAAATTATACTAAGTCAATAATTCTCAAATCCATAATTATGCTGCGGAAGTATTTATCATATAAATACTTAATCAACTCATACACATTGGTAAAATCAACTAAAAATAATATATTCTTTCAAATTACAAATCTTTCTCCGAATATAAAGCTAAACTCCATAGCTCAGTACATGCCATAAATGCTAGAACAGAACTAACTAAGATAAAGTAGTACCAAATCTATCAAAAGAATCTCTTGCTCTAATGCAAAAACCTTGCTTCTGACCAACAACATATATTCACTACTTGCGCATGATAAATGCAACGTGCTAAACAATAATGCTTAGTGGTGAGATAACATACATAGACATACCAATCAAAACATAATGAATATACTCATTTAGCATTCAGAGAGAGTATCTATGTTAAGATATAGCCATATAACATATGAAGTATCCTCGTATGTAGCAATTTACAAATCCATATAAATTCAAGCATTCTTGAAATTTCACAAGATTCATATTAATAATTCATTATCACCAATTCCAAAACTATTATGCATTGCAGGCATTCATTCAGCCAAGTAATGATATATCATATCTTCTTCATCAAGAGTCCTATTTCAAAGGTTCATAATTTTCAACATATTACAAGCAATAGTATGTTAAACACTTTAAGTAAAACTTAAACTCATGTGCAATTCTCTCATTAAAATCATGTTACTTTATATTATCTTTATCAAAAGTCATACCTCATAAATTTTTAATATTCATCGTGATATAATCCTAAATTATATACTTAGCATTCATATGATATACAACGCTTGTTCTTAATCCATATTCATATTATTTCGGCATTTAACATTCAAACAAGATACAATTCCTATAGTTCAATATTTATTAATTAGGCATTAAACGTCTTAATAGTGTGACCTTTACAACCACTTAGAAAGTTCAACGGGTAGATAATGAAAATGAGAACAGAGGGCTCGAGAGCCGGGCTCAAAAGCCTTGTAATTTTTTACATGTTAGGCTGTTAGTGTTAGCTAATAATAGTAGAACAAATTGTAATTGTGAAAAATGTAACACAATCTTGATTTGTAATTATGGGCAGGTGTTAGGACTAGAAAGTAATTTTGGTTCTCTTTTAACTTAAAAAGAAAAACAAATAAATAAAAGGAAAAGTATTTCAGGTTTAAGTTAACGATCTGGAGCATCAAATACCTAGCCAGTAACCACCCGTTCTCTCTCTGTTTAAACGGATCCGTTACAACCCCGTCACAAGGCAACCCCTTAACGCCTTCAATCTCACATACTCCGTCACCGGTCCCCTCCTCCATCTGTCGACTGTCCGTCACTGTGACCTTAACGTCGTCACCTCTCTCCCTTCGAAACCCAAAACCTATTTCTCCCTTTCTCTTTCTCATGGCATCAGACGATTTTCCTCTCATCAATGATCCACACGCGCCAACGCGCCACCCTGACGCCGAATCCGTCAACGGCGGAGACTATTACACTGCCTACGCAGACTCCGACCAGGACAAATCCGGATCCGGCGCTCCAGCAACACCATCCTCGAAAAGAAACCACCAGAGCCAGCACCACCACTACTACTACAGTAACGATAACAACAAGAAGCACAAACCCAACGGCAATAACGTAGAATCTGAATCGAATATCAGTAATACGAGCGCCGAATACCGTGCTGATTATCGAAAGGACAGGGAAGAATGGAGTGACACGGCGATATCGTGCTTATTGGATGCGTATACGGAGAAGTACAACCAGCTGAACAGAGGAAATCTGCGGGGGAGAGATTGGGAGGAGGTGGCAGAGGCGGTAAGTGAGAGAGGAGGTGGTAATAACAAGAAGAGTGTTGAACAGTGTAAGAACAAGATTGATAACTTAAAGAAAAGATATAAAGTGGAGTTACAGAGGATAAATAATAGTGCCGGAGGATTTGGGAGTGGTGGTTCAAGTAGTTGGCATTGGTTCAAGCAGATTGAAGCAATTATGGGGAATTCTTCCAATGCTAAGGCTGGTGGGGGTGGAGAGAGTGAATGTGGTGTTGGAGGGAGTGGTGGGACTGGGAATTGTAACTTGCTGGCTAGACAAGTCAAAAGGTAGTGTTTGTTATGTTATGTATAGAAAAATGTTTTTATAGAATACTTAAATGTAGTTTAACTTGGTGAAATACTGAAATGTGAATTGGATTATTTGTGTTTGATGATTGATGTTTGTGTGTTATGTGATTGAGCAATATAAGAGGGCAACTTCAGTTTTGAATCTGGTAGTGCAAGTTTTCTTACTTGAGGGTATTTTTGTTTTGCTGCTAATTAATGATTTATTGGAGTTCTTTCATTTTTATTTTTATGTAGTTTTATAATGGAATTACTCTATGAACTCTGAAATGAGTATGTTTGCTGCTGTAGCAACAGTGTAATTTGTTTGATGGTTTTATATTCAAGGTGGATGAGTGGGCCAAATTCATTGTTGGGACAGCATAATTGTTTTTAGTGTCTGACTGCTTCTGTTGCCATGCCATTTTGCTTATGAGACTTTGCTAAGATATTCAATTATGGTTGGTTTTGATGGTGATTTAAGAGATGATGCATTGAACACTCGTCAAAAAGAAAAAAGATTTTCAAGTGTCTCTGGGGGAATGGAGAATACGTTAAATTGTGTTTGTTCGGTTGCCATGTTTGCTTGCTTGTACTTGCATGTGAAATCTAGACTTACTATTGTGCATGTGGTTATTTGAGCTTCTCATGCAGCATTTGTACTTTAATGTGACAAAATTTAAGATTTGCATTTCCATTGTTGGGTTAGAATAAAGAAATCTATCATGTGCAACGTTGTGGAAAACTGTTAGCATGGCATAAAAGAACCTTAGTATGATTATTTAAGTCAATGCTTTACATCTCTCTTGCAGATACCCACCTAGCAATGTTGCCTTTGCAAACAATCTGAAAGCCAAATCAATGCCTAATTTAAAATGGCGGAGAGTAGTGTTTAAAATTAGTGGTGCTGCATTGGCTGGAAACTGCCAGAATATTGACCCAAAGGTGCAAGCTTCATCTATAAAGTGATTACTATATGGTTGTCATAGTTATGATTAAAAGATCTTTCAAATGAGTAAATGTGCATTCTGGGAGTCGCATGCTGAAAACTGCTTTCTGATTATCAGGTGGCAATGCAGATTGCAAGGGAAGTAGCAACAGCTTGCCGCTTAGGGCTAGAGGTATTGCCTAAACTCTCTTTTTTGGTTGGTTTTTCTTTTTTCAGGTTCAAATTACAAGATCCATATTCTTATGTTCTTGTACAGGTAGCAATTGTTGTTGGGGGTCGTAACTTCTTTTGTGGAGACTCGTGGATATCTGCTACTGGCTTAGAGAGACCTACTTCTTATCAGATTGGGTAACTTCCTTATTACTTTTATGATCAATTTTATTTCATTTTATGATGTAAATTGAAGTGTGTACAGATTCTCTTTGAGTTCTGTTTTGCTGATACCTTCTACAGGAGCTCCCCTTGTTCTTCCTCTCTCTCTCTCTCTTCCCTCCCCACCTTCCTCCCTTCTCTCCCCATCCTCTTTTTTCCTTGGGTCCTTGGGCATGGAGCACTTGATCCTACTTGAAATTATCTCTAGGTGTATATACTGAGCCAATCTCAGTTATATATATACCCTGCAGGTCTAGGGACAGAAGCCTTTATTTGCTAAATATAGGAATATTATTTTATTCTGAACTTCACTTAAATATAATGGTTCCTAGACTTAAATTTAATGTTTTTTCTAGTTGCAAAACTTTAATTTGAGTCAATCTTATTATTCAACTTCTTAATTCATTTCAGTTCAGTCATTTAACATAAATTGGATGGAAAAGCCTCAAAAAATTTTCATGTGGGAATGTCAAGTTATTTTAATCTCAATAGGACCTGAAAAATTATTTCCTTTCTTTGAATTTGAATTTTTATGATTTATGCAGCTTCACCAAAACAGCAGAATGCTACTGTAACCTGCGAAATTGCTTATGCCATTTCTTTAAAGTGATTTTCTTGTCTGACAATTGTGGTTTCCAATTTACAACTTGTAAAGAGAATGTGATCAATACTGTTGCTTTTTTCTAGTTTGTGAATATGAAGAGAGAGAGAGAGAGAGAGAGAGAGAGAGAGCAGAGACTCATTCAGAGGAATCTGTTTGTGGGCTAATGATTTAAGACTGAAAATAATCTACTTTGAGTCCACACCAATCTAGGGATTTCTTTCTCTGATTCTGATTTAAATGCTTGGATTGAAATGAATTGTGATATTCAGTGGTTCGATGGACTGCAAAGTTTAATGATCATTTATATAGTTTACATCGTAAATTTCCTCATAGTGGATTTAAGTTATTGCTGCTTGCAAGTTTTTGATTCTACGGTATCCTCGTGTTGTGTCAGTATGATGGCTACAGTGATGAACTCTATATTGCTTCAGTCGGCTTTAGAGAAGCTGGGTGTTCAAACCCGTGTGCAAAGTGCATTCGCAATGCCAGAATTAGTTGAACCTTATAGCCGGAAACGAGCCATTCGACATCTTGAGAAAGGAAGAGTGGTCATATTTGGTGGTGTTGGTGCTGGTGCTGGAAATCCACTATTTACTACTGATACAGCGGCAGCTCTGAGGGCTTCTGAGAGTATTACACTGCTCTGTCTTCTAAAATACTTTTAGTATTTTGAGAAGGGCTCTATTTTGAATGAAATTCTGATATCCATATATTTATGTCAGTTAATGCAGAGGCACTCCTTAAAGGTACAAATGTTGATGGCATCTATGACTGTCACTCTGGTAATACCAACATAATGCTGGATCACTTGTCTTTCAGAGAAGTGGTTTCCAGGGGCGTCGCCCTCATGGACATGATGGCAATTACATACTGTGAAGAGAATGGAATTCCAGGTTAGCCACCTTTCTATGTAACTCGTTTTCAATTGCAACATTACATAGTATTTGGTACAAAAGAACATGGAATTTCATTTCATTTGTCATTTGCAAATTATTTAAAATTTGGTAGAATTTTACTCGAATGTACAAATTCCATAGAATTAAAATTCTAAAATTTTAGATGAATTTTCATTTATACCAAACACCTCGTTTATAGATTTTCAAATGATTTCTTAAAAAATTTTATGGAATTCATTTGCATCAAACAAGCTCTTAACTTCTTTCGGAGCCCCCATCTCCATTTCCTCTTTTTTCCACTGTGCTGACTGTAATGTGTTCTCTCCCTGTAGTTGTAGTCTTTAATTTGCTTGAGCCTGGGAATATTTCAAGGGCATTATGTGGAGATCAAGTTGGTACTTTGATTGATCAAGCTGGCAGGATTAGCTAATGCCTACGGAACCTTGTTTCTGCTAATGCCTTAAAGGTTAGTTTCGCTTAAGCAGCAGTATTCCTGATACGTTGTCAAGAAACACTGGACTATCATGAATTTAGGGGCATCAGCTTGTATCTTCAGAAGAAGATTGAGCTGCATGATCAATATAAAGCTGCTACCTGTAATAAAAGATGTGAGAGGAGGATGTTGGCACTTCGACCGTGCTTAATTGACAGCTCAATGCTGTCAATAAATGATGCTTAAAGATGCCAAATGCTTGCTCTGGGCAAAAGGGAAAAAGATTGTTGAGCTTTTCAACTCACCTCTGTTTTGTTTGCAGCTTGTGTTTTTCACGCTTGAACCTGGCCTTGTTTGTAAATTATTCTGTAGTTAAAAATGTTACTAATAGGGTAAAGAATTTGGTTAGGATGTAACTAAGATGATCATTTTTAAAGTAAATTTATAATGTTTTGTACAGGTTGCAATGGGAAATAATTTATAATTGATATAGATTATTCTGTATTTAAAAATTTTACCAATAGGGTGAAAAATTTCCTTAAATTGTAACTGAGAAAATCATTTTCTGAAGCACTGTACAGTTTGATTGGATTGCGAACCAATCAACTGGTAATGCTGTAAACCAATTTTACTGTCAAATTAGGGGCCGGCATATGATAATGTAGACTGATGTGTTCACAGGATGGATTTAGTTCGTTTTGGATTTATCCATCCGAAACGAGAATAGAAATTTTTTTTTATTATTATTTGAGAATGTTTTAGAAATAATCTTGTGTTTACAAAGATTTTCTTTTTCATTAATATTTCACATTTCAAAACTGTATGATACAATTTTTAACGCACGGAGTTTTGTACGTGGTAGAGCATTATTAACTTTGATTCTTAAACAAAGGATGAAAAACATAAATAAATTGAACTAACAGTGTTGATGACCCCCTCTTTTTATTAAGTGCATCCGCCACTAACCGTGTAATATCGTAAATTTCGGATTTTAATCTTTACCTATTAAAGGCTTATCATGTTTAATAATTCAACATTTTAGTTTTCTACTAATACATAATTAAGAATAAAACGGTATACGTCCCCCTAGCCATAGCCAAAATTTCTATTTCCATCATTACTGAAGGAAACCTCAACAAAAGAAAACTCCCACCCAAGAACATTACTAAAATACAAATTGATCAACCTTATTAAATACAAATTGTTGCTTCGTAGACATGTATAGTAAAATATATTTAGACCGTTTCCCCGACAAAAACTGGGAACCTGTACACAAACAAATGTTGTTATGGAAAAAAATGATTGGTAATACACTGACCTGATAAACAGGAGGATCAAGAACTAGATTGCCACGGTAGACTTCGATATATCACCTCGAGCTTCTGCTCTCCGGGAATGAATAAATCTAGAAGATTCTTTACAGCTAACTCTATATACTATGTATGAACAGTCCCGAGACCCATTTTAATACGAGGGTCTACCTTAATGTGCTGTTCGCCTAATGCTTTTCTCGCTAAATATCTGTAATAAAATTTCTCCTTCCAATAAGGATTCAAAATCTATCTTTAATCTTTTAAGATGAACCTGATCTGATAAAATGGCAAAAATTGATTCCTCGAGGCCGCGCAAGGAAAATTTTTACCTCAGTCTTCATTCTGTCTCAAAATAACTATCATAAATAGAAAGCCTGTCAAAAGCATCGAAGTTTGCTTTTAGCCCAACAAATTGACTGCTTAATTGAGCACAACCTGCATCTGGCCAGCGGCAACCTCCATCCCTTGCACGCAATGGACATAAACCTTCACACACTTGACCAATAGGATTGTCAGAAACTACATCATCAGTCACAAACGAAATCGAAACAGAGAGATCTGACTTGTCATTGTGCCGCAGATTATCATCGGATAACGGACCTCTTGAGGAAGAATGCACAAGTTTCTGTTGAGTTCCTAAGGGGTTTGTTTCCATATTGGTCATATCACCACTTCTTGCAAAGTTAACCTTGCATCCCAATGACTGGATGGCTCTCTTTATTGCTGCATTTTCCTTGCCAGCTCTGTTGGCCAAGGCCATAGCAGAGCTACTAAGCTGCTTCTCAGTCTGTAATTCTGCAGATAATGACTCCATCGCAATTGTGATTTCTTTAGCCTTCCTTTCTGCCACTTCTTTTGCCTGTTAGCATTTTGATCCATCCAAAAACTAAATAAGAAAAATACCTAAAGGACATGTTATGAGAGAAACATCCAAATCACATGCTATTGGCTTCAGCTAAATTGTTTGTATTTTACTAAAGGCTTAGTCTAGGCCAAAAGCAAATAGTGCAAGAATTCAGATCAGTCAACTTTATAATAGATAAATATATTGCTCAATAGTAACAGGAAAACAGAGGATAAATTTATCACCTTTTGAAGTTCGGAAAATTTCATAGACATGTTCCTACATCTAGCTTCAAGCTCCCCAGATTGGGCTTCTGAGGGACAAGCCCATCGAAGATGGAATTGTGGCCAAAGAGTGGGTGCCAAAGCTGCTGCAGGAGGCAACAATGGACCATCATGTTTCTGAGGATCATAGAAAAAGTTATAGTGCACGTGAGACCTTCTGGAAGAACGCAAATCAGCCAAATAGGCCCACAAGCATCCACAAGCTTCAGATACACCAACTTCCTGTCTCTCCTTTTCACTGAAAATAGACAGCAAGAACTCAAGAAGAGGTCTTTCTAATGCTTTGACAATAATTTGAGCTAAAACAGTTAACAGATTCATTTTAAAGGCACAATAAAATAGCCATTATGCAGAGTTAATCGAGGTTAAACAGAAACATCGGTCATCAGTTGATAATTGAGATAAAATCCTTAAATTTTACATTTGCATTAACTGGCCTTTTATCCCACAGCGAAAATATGAAACGAAGGCATTATTTTTGCCTGAGATAACAAATACAAATGCCATTGCTTTTTAACTTTCTACAGCCAGATATGTACAACTAAGATGACAAACAATGGTTCGATTATCAAAGAAGGGTCCTTCAATTCCATGATCCTAATTTTCAGCTTCCAATGTAGCCTCTGTTGCTGTAAAATTATGCAGCCTAACATGATCAAACAGATGCATCCCAGAAACCACAAGCTTATAAAAGAGAATGAATGAAGGACAAGTTGGGTGGTCGTGAAGAGGAAGAATAGAAAGATGGAAATCACCTATTGCAGAAGAAGTTCCCAAAACGGCATGAAAGGACACAGTCCAACAAATCCACCAGGAAAGCCTACATCAACCATAATATAGACAAGTCAGCTGAAAATGGATCAAGAGAAAAAGAAAACCATACTGTATGCATTCAGAAACAGCTAGCTTTTCCATGAAATCAAGAAATGAACATTTTTCAAGGAAAGGCACATACCGAGGAGAACTCAAAAGCAAACGGGTACATTCGCAACAACTGGGAGACACAGTCAACCCACTGCCCAACAGAATCAAATTATTAGTCAATTCCCAGAACCTGGAAAACAGCAGTTTATAAAACAGATTTTCAAATTTACTTTATGAAGAAATCTGGTAATAGGCTTTCCAAATAGATGGGGAATTGCCCGTGCTGTTTTGTTGTTTTCTGTTATGGACAATATCTCATAAATATCAAATAAATGACCACGAAGCTGTTAAACATGAGGCATCCAACACATGTCTAAACGACACTTCCATAGAAGCATCTCTAAGTTTAACATCCTCATCTAAACTCAGATCTTATAATAAATACTATAACTGCCTCCAAACACCACACTTTGCAATCTGATGTCTTGATTATGACACCAATTTACACCATAGTAAAATTCTACACATTTGGCCAACGAAGCCAACAGAGATGGAATATAAAAACTTCATAATTATGTATTCTACCACACAATTAATACTATCTAGTATCTACCCATATTGTCAAACCCAGACCAAATCGACTGGTTCTACCCGGTTAATTAGGAATTGGACAACCTGGTCCAAGCAGGTGGGTCGTTTGGCAGCCAAGGAACTTTTGTCAGCCCCTTTAAAAAAATGCAGGTTTGCTTGCTGGACCTGTCGAACAGAATTGATCTACATATTAAGGCATTTTTTGTTATATATTTCAAAATTATATTTAAGATTTAACCAGTTATAAGACTCCTTTCTTTTCCAAAATAAGAAATTATAAATTTAATATGATTAAAAATATTGTTTTAACTATTTTTCCTCTTAATTGAAATTGTTAAGTATTGTATAACTTCAAATTCCAATAAAAATTTTCAAATTGCTCATTAGAAGAAAAACTATCTTTGAAACTTCACAAAATAAATTCACTTACAATTTTCAACTAAAGATCTTTCATCTTATTAATATTTAATTGTGATTTTCTGGCTTTACTGGTTTGAAGGTTTGGCCAGATTTGAAACCTTGATGTTCATATTTTCAGAACATCATAACCTAATGAATCACAAAAGACTGTGTAACCAGTAACTTTTTTATATGTATCTGTCTCCAAAAAGAAATGTGAACATTATAACCTAATGAATCCCAAAAGATTGTGTGTGTAACCAGTAACTTTTTTATATGTATCTGTCTCCAAAAAGAAATGTGAACATTATAACCTAATGAATCCCAAAAGATTGTGTGTGTAACCAGTAACTTTTTTATATGTATCTGTCTCCAAAAAGAAATGTGAACATTATAACCTAATGAATCCCAAAAGATTGTGTGTGTAACCAGTAACTTTTTTATATGTATCTGTTTATATGTATCTGTTGTAACCAGTAACTTTTTTATATGTATCTGTCTCCAAAAAGAAATGTGAACATTATAACCTAATGAATCCCAAAAGATTGTGTGTGTAACCAGTAACTTTTTTATATGTATCTGTCTCCAAAAAGAAATGTGAACATTATAACCTAATGAATCCCAAAAGATTGTGTGTGTAACCAGTAACTTTTTTATATGTATCTGTTTCCAAAAAGAAAATCTGCATCTATGATTCCACAGACTTTAAAATCTACTGAGGGTTCAAATGTCAAAAATTCAAGATTAAATCTCCTTCCCTCAAAGAGAACCTACAAAGGCTCAGTAATCTTCATGGGAGGGTGTCATACAAGAGAAGTTCCCCCCTTGTATCATTTTATGTTAACATGTCATGAGTCTATTGAGCTGTCTATCATATGGTTTTAGCAAGTCAAAAGGCTTTTCTTAAATTTCTTTTTCCAAGGAAGATGCAGGAATGAGTTCCAAGATGCAAGCATGAACAACTCCTTTTGCAATCGAAGCCTCCTTGGAATAAAGCATGTACACCTGGATAGGCTAGCACATAAAAGTGCTGAGACCTTTTATGGCACAGGTATAGCTGTTGGACGTCTGCAGCTAGTTTTCCCAGCTTACCTGACTTTTGGGTTCCATGAAACACCTATTTTTACCCCACATAGTTTGAGTTGCTAAAAGACAACAATAATCATGAGTAGGAAGGCAATTACTTGAACGTGTAGCAAATGTAGTTAACATAAATCAACACACCTGCAAAAATATGGGAGAAAAGTTGTTCTGCCCATGAGAGGAACTAGGGTTTTGGGATGTGAGTGATCCTGATGCCTGGCGCGAAGGTGATGATGAAAGCCCTCCAGCAGAAGACTGCCGAGATAATTCAACAGCCACATTGCCACCTCCAGATACAGTAGGCATTCCCACACGATCTGCAAATGGATGTCCAAATGCTAGCCAATCCTTTTCAATAAGTGCCTATACAAATTCCACAAAACCCTATAATGTAAAATTTACATACCAAGTATTTCACCATCAAAGTAACAAGGGCAACCTTAGTGCCAGCAACATGAGAAAAAGATAACATTATGCTGTCTGTAAGAGTTACAGGTCAAGCAAATGAAGAGAAGAGAATCAAGTCAACTTATGAAGTCCAGCATAACAACAAAAAATACCTGAAACCCAGCGAATGTTCTGTAGTATGGGTCAAGCAACAAATTAGCTAGTGAAATTAACTGGGTAGTTCTATCCCATCCATCACTACACAATACAGTAAAACATGGAAAAGAAAAAATTAGCTTATGGACTTTAAAATAAAAAGAAAAGAAAAGGAAGAAAAAAAACTTTCATTTCTAAGATGTATTTCATAAAAATAATAAATAAATAAATATATCCATATGTAGGGGTGAGCACTATTCAGTCCGACCCAAAGTCGAGCCGACTCATTTTGGTTTGGTTCAACAGCTTTTTAACAAAATCGGTTACCCTTCGGTTTGAACAGTGATAACCGTTTGGTTTCCGGTTCGATCTTAAACAGAGATAACCGAATTAATTTTTTATGCCTAAAGTAGGTGATTTGGTTCGGAATAACTGAACCAAATCAAACCAGTCTGGTTCAGTTTGGTATCAATTTTTTTTCTGATGGACAAACAATCTCAGTGATTCTGTGGCAACAGACAGTAGAAAGCAGGATCACCTAAAGAAACTGCAACATAGATTAGCAGCTACTGTCCTATACCGAAAAAAAAGGAAGGGGCAAGATGAGGTGGTTAATCCCCTTCAAAGCATACCAAGGCTTTGTTGTTCATTGAAACAGCTTGCTTATAAAAATTGAGAAAATGATTTTTTTTTTTTAACTTGGCCAAAACTGAAATCTTGGTGTTAAGAACATGTTTGGAAGGGGAAAAAAATATTCCTTTAGGTAGATGGCAAGTGGACTAAGAACCTAAACTACTTGGAACTATGACATAGAATTAATGTTAAAAGAGAAACAAAGAAAGTAAACCGCAACTTTTTAGCAACTGTTGCCAATATTAATAGGTTAAGTTATGAAAATAACAGATCTCTAACCTGCAATGTACAAGTACCGATGCTGATTCCAAAGCCACACGTGCAGCAATCCAAGCGGAACCAGCCAAGACGCTTTGAACATGTATCAGCCAACCAGTGTCACCAAGAGTTGATACAGAAGCAGACATACTGCTGAGATTGCCCCCTCCCCAGGTCCAACCACCATGTCTCTATCATGGAAAAATGCCATCCACATAATCATATCCAGTACAAATACAATTTTACTGCTGAAAATCAGTATCATGCCTGAGAAAGATTAATGATCCCTAGATTTCTAAATCTATATTGCAAGAATTTCCCAACTTGGGCCCTAAAAATTTAATTACAGCCACATTTAATCAGTAAAAGATCAATATGTGAATCAGTCAGCTAAGTACAGAGGAGAACACAGGATCAATATCTACTTGGAACGCCTTTGACTTCAGATAAAAGACTGATTCACTGAGGTTCTAGGAAATCCAGTCAATTTGATTCAGGAGCACAGAACGACAGCAACAGGTTGAGAATGTCTATTAATCAAATAGGTAATTGTAAATAGAATATCAAATAGATAATGATGTATGAGTCAATTTTATTTATATTTACTCATACTCAAGGAACAGTTTATTGACCATGTTAGAATTAGTTGGGAACGGAACATGCATATTCTGGTTTGTAGGAAATATTGTTATCTTTAAAATTTAGCCCATGGGAAAATTGATCTGAATTCTAAACCCCCGGTAGGTAATGTCTGAGCTAAGAATAAACAGCTCATTCAACAAGCAAGCAATAAATAAATCATTCAAAAAGAAATAGGTTTTAGTTGTCAATGGTAAAGAAGGCATGTCATAAAGGACTTCCAAGACCAACCAAAAATGATGACAATCCATCTGATGAGGTGGTGCCGTGAGTATCTACATAGTCTCTAAGCCGAGAAAGAGACTCTCTCATTGCATGAATATTGTCTATTCCAAAGAAAACAACCTGATGGACAATAATGAAGAGGAACATGACATCAGTGACCCACATGATATAAAGATTGATGACCAAGAGAGATAGATACGTCACCGCTCAAACCTTTGACATACCTCAGATTGAAAATAATTAGAAGATGACTCTGAGCCACCTCCCATTGCTCCATTGGCCAAAGCATTTTTTCTGGGTCTTGCATCAGCAATGTATAGCTTTCTGAAAAGGGAGTGACAAAGAGAAGGCGAAAGAGAGGATATCAATATTATTCAAAAATATCTATTTCAAAAAGGACAGTGATGACACCACAAAAATTATGGAAGAAACTACAGCTATGCCCTTGAAGTTTTAAAGTCTTCCCCAAAAGTATTGTTCCACCCATGACCATCAAGTCCAAAAGCTTGTAATACATTTATAACGTTCCTCAAATGCCCAGAAACTATAGCATAATCTTATAACATAAGCATTATGTCACATTAAGAAAGTCATTGCATCAACACAGCCTATCTCAATATCTAACTTATCAACCAACTTTATTTTTCTCTCAATTTTCCCCAAATATGCCTTATATGTATAATTCCAGAGTTGGAGTCTTGCATCTATTATTATTTTATTTCTATTATATATGAGTGATCATGTTAGAATGTAAAGATTATGTTGTTGTTTAGTTGGCAACTCATCAAGTTCTTTAATTTTCTTTTTCTTTTAATTTCAAGAGTACCTAGTGGTCATGTAAATATACAGCTACAAATTTGTAGAGGTAATTTTGACACTATAGTAAAAAAATGACATTATGTTTCAAAAAATATTTATCCTGATTTCTAATTACGGCATACTTTAAGGACTAAAATGTGATTTACCAAAAATGAATTATTTTTTGTCACCAAAAAACAAGTAAATGATAGATATCAACCAGCAAAATATTTAGATGGATTATTAAGCTATGAGAAGTACAATTAAGGAGTATTATTAAATTTCATATCTTTAATCAACTGAGAAATTAGTGACTCATTAGTTTTCTTCTAGAAAGAGGGAAACATTTTCACAGGATCCAGATATACTTAAGCATGAGGACCCCATACTCAATATAAGCCGAATGGTTGCAAAATTTAGCACATAGTAGCCTCATAGTCATGCTTCAACTACATAAACCATAAAGTAATGAGAACAATTAGATAAATCAAGAAAAAAGACATGAAACACCTTCGCCCCCTTGCACCGCCAAGTTGAGTGCACAGTCCTGCAACAAGCCTTTCATCTGTGTTGCTGTAGACAAATACATGGATATGAATTAAGCATTAGACCAACATAGAAAAAAATGATAAACTAGAACATACCTAAGCAAAAAACACGTGCTGGATATCTTTTTACATTGTGCATTATCTTACATAATCCTGCTGGGCACTTCAACAGTTCAACTTACCTCCGCATATTCATCATAAGACCAACTAAAGGCTGAGATGAACGTGCAAGGACTGCCCCAGTTCCTATAATTTCATATATATCGAGATGTAAGTATGTAGATCATTGGAAAAAAAAGTAATAAAGATTTAATTATTTCATACCAGGATGACACCAAGAAACTACTGGTAATCGGCACCTGGCACGGAAACTGGACGCCTGGAGCACTTCTTCATCACTAGCATATATCCACATACAATTATTAGTTGTAAAGTTTTGGAATAAATGAGCCTTACTAAAAATATTTGAGACTCTTTTAATCATCTCTATCAGCAACTTCAGCTTCCTCCCCTTTTGGCCTGGCCCGCTGAGCACCCCCCGCATCTCAAGTCATTAGGCAAGGCCCTTCTTTTGACACAACAGTAGGATCTCAATGTCTTACCTAATGGATTTTGGAACAATCAGAGCAAATGGATAACTCTGACACATGGTATAGTTGCAATTCACAGTACTGATCCTCCATAACTCATTGGACAATGCATAAGATCCATGTTCTATCATTTCCATTGATGCACGAAGGGAGCCTTTTCCAAGAAGACGAAAGTACTCATTCAGCAAGCGCACTTTTGGGTTAGTATTACTGAATTTTGAAGGTCCACAAGTAAAAGCATAAAGATCCCAGAGTCTTAAAGGCTTCGTGCACCGCATCAATGCATCAAATATAACACGTCTCTGTACAATCAAAATTTAAAAGGAACTGTTCATGGAAAATTGGAGATCCAACTATTAATTCAAAAAACTAGCTTGGTGATTTGATACTAGATTAACTCATCAATAAAGAGAAAACAGGACTAAACGAAAAGGAGAGGAGGACGAAAAGAAAAAAATAAATGTAAGAGTCAAATATTAACACATCCTTTTCAATTCACAAATCCATCGTTGAACTAAGAGAGAAAGGCACCAACGTTTCTTTTGTAGAGCCACATGCCACATTAATAAAGCCACTGCTTTGGATCACAGGTCATAATGAGAAATTTAGAGTTAATTGAATTAGTAACAACATTTTTTTAACCAGAGGCATATCTATGATTTCTGCAAATCACGTACTTTGAGGTTCAGTAAACAGTCTTTCACGTCTTCTACGGCTGTGTTGATTTGGTAAGAAAGGAGAATAAAAAGAAATGTATTTTGACTTTGTAGGATGCATTTCCTTCATGTGATGTATCTAGTATTATTGAATAAATACACCACCCTTCCACTTTCCTCCTCTTCTATCTCTACCAAGCATAGTGTAAGAATCCTAGGTTCATTATCCTGGTCCAAGTTATACATCCTAATTGAGAGTGTCCTTGATCAGCTAATCTGGATGACAGAACAGAATCTATAAGCGCCCATGTAATATAATATTATTACCGTAAGAACAATATTACCATCTGCTTAGGTATTATAGCACTGGAATTTACAAACATGTAATTCACATATGAACTCATGCGCCTGGTATATCCTCTTTCCCCACACGCTCTCGTCACTTCCCCACTGCTCTTATTTCTCTGCTGCAGTTTTCTTCTGATTCCGAATCAATTAAAATTAGAAGAGAGGTCTGATGGCTACATCTAAGTAATATTTTTGCTTGGCAACTCAGAGATTTGTACAGCAAGACAACATTTCAGCATTCACATGGTTGTCGGAGTCCTAATTACTTTAATCTGGTTTCAATTGAAATTTATTGTCATTGATGGATAATTTTGTTGACAATGAAAACTAAGAGGATCGAACTAGTTCTTTTCACTCTATTTCAAATTTGATAAATGATAGTCGATCATATATTCCATTATAGTTTTGTGATTCAAAGTATCATTTTCTATTTGATTATAGATTCATCATCACAAACAACAAAAATTTGTAGAACGCATATAGTAACCAATTCTAAATTGTAACCGTACATTGCCTGTTGGTTCACGTAAAAAAAAATTCTTCTACTGCTCTCTGTCTATTTTGCATTAGATTTACATTTGTGCTTCCTATAAAGATTTGAAAACAAAAATATACAAGTAAAAACCCATTACCCGTTCAATCACTTTCACTTCAGTAGTTGAGTCTAGAACTAGCTAGAGGTTAGTTAATCTAAGTTCCCAGTTCCCTCGATTAAGGCTTTACATCAGTTATAAGAAAATTTTAGGAATCTCAATCATAATAAAACTCGAAAGAGTTACGAGTCCTGCAGAGATGTATATAATCCTATTATTGCATTGGAGTTTGATAACAGAAGTTTATTTGATTGAAGCATGCCATGTCTAGTGCACACTCCTCCCCCTCTCTCACAAAACTTCTTTCTTCTGCTTGTTGTCCCAAAAATCAGAAGCAAAGTTCGAAGTTTGACAACTGCACACTTTCCTCTCAAAAGCCAACCAATTCAAACCCCATTGAATATATAAAAACTACAGTCTCCAATAATTTCCAAACCTAAGATCCCATAAATTTTAAGCCTTACTCCAAATCTGTCCAAGTTATATTGCAGCCAATTAGGGACTGATCAAGGAAACCTCTACCTGTGATTTTTGTACTTCCTTATACAGAACACATTTACCAATAGAACAATGAGTTTTGTATTAAGTATTATAAAGACCACGAATATCAACATTAGAGAAAATAAAAGACTCTGGACTCTTGACAGAAAAAAGCAAACCTGTTTTGTTCTTGGGCGGAAACCAAAGACAACAATTCTCATGTCTTTTCCTGCAGAATACAACAGAAGCCATAAAATTTTTTTAGTTTTGTCAAAATGAAGAAGCAATTGCAATTTTAAGCTTCACAAAAATACCGCTAATGGCAGATGAATCAATTAGCCTTTGGATGAGATTTATTCAGTTCAAACTGAATTGCCAAAATGATATATTTCAGTTAGCATGGTCTAGTTCTATTTGATTTTGAACTAAAATGAATCTTGATTTTGGTTCAATAACAAATTCCCATAGATGTAGCCTTACACTAGGCAGAATAAATGAAACTGATTCAAAAATGAGATGGACTAGTTTGGGATAATGGAATAAAGAGAGTTTAGTCATAAAAAAAATAAAAATAAAAAAACCCAATTAACAGACTTGATTTCTTATTTTCAATTTCAAAATAAGCTGAACGATATGAGAATTATTGAAGACAAATCAATGCCTATATGCTAAATTGCAAAATCATTTCTTTTTTATAATATGTTTTAAATCATGAACTCTCTTTCAATAGTTATGGTCCCTTAACCTTATCTGCATCTATGTTAATGAGACATCAAAAGAGCAAGTTATCTCTAGAGCAGTTGCTGAAATGCTGAATCACCATAAAAATAGGAAAAGTAAAAGTGGAATTTTATTGGATCTAATATGGACCAAAAAGTTATTTCAAATTCTACCTGATCTATCATAATTCCTGTATAAAGAGCTTATAAAAAGTAAAGTAAAGAAATATTCAGATAGATCTTCAAATGAGATTGTTCAAATCATACCAATGACCTGGAGAAGTCGGCGTGAAGGAGTCTTCTCGGATTGACGAGGAGCAGATTGATTCTTTATAACCTAAGTATATTCCAAAATGCAATAGAAAATACATGTGCAAGTAAATAAACAATGCTTGACATATATTATGGGTGAGCAAAATAAACCATACTAGTTAATTTCAAATTTCAAACTAATTAAAGGAATGAAAAGATCTAGGAATTATATCAAAGAGTTGAATGTATGTTGTATTCCAATTATGGACAAAAAATTTGCATGTATTTACCAATGGAACATAGGCCTCACCATTTAGCAAGGCACAGTGGTAAGACCAAACAAGCAGAATTAAATTGGATAAGAAAAGTGGTATACGAAAGAAAGCCAAAAACATATTGACCAAGACAGACCCACATGGTATACTTTTAAATATAAAAAACATACAAATAAAAAGAGAAACAATACCTAGAGAATAAACACTGGTTTATTTCGTCAGAACATGCTTCAAATTTTGTAAGGCAAGGAAATTCCATTCAATACATTTTTTTAACATCTTAAATGTATGCTTATGGTTCCTTAAATATGATTCACGAATAGCATCTAAATCGGCCTGCATAAAACATTTAAACAACATATTGGAAAAAGTTTTTGTGCTAAGGAACTAAAAGTAGCATGATTACTGAAGAATAAATTACTACATATGTACAATTATCCAACCCAAACATAATGCAATGGAAGGCAGTCAATGGGCTGTAGCAGATCTGTTAACTTTAATTTCACTAATTTTGAAGATTAACTGGTCAATCTTTTCTTCCAAATTGCCTTCCAAGGAAACCAACTTTATCTTCATCTGCATTCCCCCTAAGCAAAAACTGGTAAAAAGGACTTGACATTATCTTGTGCATAATCTACATCTAGTACAATCTTCGTTTTGCGAATTCAATACTCACTATAAAGCAAGCACAAAAAGAAATACTTTTGGAAAGTCCCTAATCCCCACTATCAGGTCTTCTACACATAAGCGGACGCTGATTTAATCTTCCATTAGAAGAAAGGTATATAGCATTCATGAAATGTGTATACTATAAGAATGCCTACCTAATTTATTCCATGCCTTCAATGACCACTACTGCAGCAAGCTTTTCCGACCACAAAGCATCAAAAGCCATTTACAAGAAAAAGAGTTCAAATAAAGAGGACATTTACATTCATTGCACCATATAAGCAGCTAAAATAGACAGAAAGTTTTGCATCAGAGCAGACATGGTACTCAATTATGAACTCAGAGACAAAAAATCTATAACTTGGAGGCATGAATACACCAAGAAATGAGATCAGATAAAGCTGCTTCTGCATTCTGTTTTGGAAAAAGGCAATATACAGAACATAAATTATTCCACATACTAATGGAGAAATTTATCTTCATGAATAAACAGAACATAAAACAAGAACTTCAAATAACATTAACGCATTTCACGCATGCAATCAGGCAGCCAAAAATTGTACTAAGTAGGTAAAAAGAGAGAACAATATACCATTTTGTTGAACTTTTCAATTGTTGCCAATGGAATTGTGCCAAGTGCAATTATGTTTTCAGTCCCTTCACTCTTGGAAAAACAACAAAAACATTAGCAATTGATTTTATAATACACACACGATATTCATCTATGTGCTTATGCATGCAAAATCATTTACAGAGCAGCAACTACAGCTTCATTCCTTTTTCATTTTCAAGATTAAAATCATTTTGTACTGGCACCAAAGTGACATCAAAGCTAGGATCATACAATTTAATAGCTAACGTAATATTCGCAAAATAATCAAAAGCAAAATTATATTTACAACATTCTCCAAGAATACACATAGGGAATATGTGCAGCAAGCCCCCTTTACCCTTTCCATAGGTTTAAAAAATCCAAAAGATTCCAAATTTTACCCTTCAACATTATCCACAAAATAATCAACGAACATCATTGCTCACATCCTCTGGAATAGATCTCTCTCTATGGATTAAGCTCATAGCCAGTGTTATCAAAATCTTACGATTAACAATTCGAATCTTACGAATCGATTCAATTTTCATGCTGAATAGAGGAAGGTTAATGAATAAGTTTGAGGTGAACAAAAACCTAAAAAGGGTAAAATGGGGGAAGAAAAACCAAGAAAAAGATAAAACACTCACCATAAAAATAAGTCGAAAATTAGTCACTATCAAGGTACCTGCCTCATCGGTATTAACAAGAACAACACCACGACCCTACAAGCAAAGCCCAAAGGTTAATGAATAAGTTCCAAACATTAACCAAAAAGAAAGGGACTAAATTGCAAAATTAAAACTTGTTGTTTATATAGCATAATGGCCTTATTCAATCATCAATAGAGATAGAGAGAGATGTCCTAAGCCAGAATCTTCAAAGCCATGGATTTCTTAACGATGATCCATAACACTTGAAGTGCTGTTGGGAGGCACACGCACCCAATTTGCCCAACCTAGCAGGTTAGAGCCTGAGATTTAGAACTTGACCAAACAATTGAGTTGAAGGATCATGTTAGGCACTACAAAGATTATAAATAGCTAGGTTTCAGCATTTTCAAGCTAGCTCTACCTCAATTTCTTAAAATTGAACTAGGTGATTTTGCTTTTTCCTTTACTGCATATACTTCAAAAACTTGTTTACTACAGAAACTTGGAAAGATTTCACTCTCACTCCTTACACGCTTTCGGGAACTCCATTATCAATCCAATTATGATTTTTTAACCGATAAATATTTCAGAATAATTTTTAAGAAAGAGATAGTAGGCATAAATGTAAGAATAGTTGCTAAAACTTGTGTCTAATTCTTCCCTAAAGAGCCAGGAGTTGGTCAAAAATGGGCAATGTTGTTGGACAATATCAGAATTGGGACAACACTGCTTGCAATTTCATGATGTCCACCAACCACAAACAAGCAAAACATAAAAATTGAGAGCCTTTTGAAACCATGTACAAATTGATTATTGATTGACTTTGAATGCTTAACCACTAGCATTCAACCAACCGAATCCAAAATGTAAGAACCTGATGAGTTTATTTGGTCAAAGATTATCCACAAATGAGAAGACTCATGGGTTAAATGGAGCAGATTCCCAGAATTGCAGTTGCCACTTTCAATCAGGTTTTGCAATTCACAATATAATTTATTCTTTTTCATTAAGGCATCAATGTCAATATCAACCATCGTATAATATGGCCTAGTTACGAGCAGGGAAAGAAAGAAAAAGATTCCATTTTGCCGACTCTAAACAGTTTAGGACGAAAGATCAGTTGAAATTCTTAAACGTACCTCTGTTTAAAAAATATTTATATATTTTTTTTATTAATGTTAATGTAATCACTAATCATATACACCTGTTAAAAAGCAAATTTTCCAATGTGTATAAATAAGTACACATACAATATTCACATCAAAATAAAAATGCTCATAAAGTGAGTTCTCATTATGCAATTCCTAACGGAAAAGCAAGAACTTACATACTTATCCTATTAGAAGCGAACATTGCAAAATTGCAGCTATACAATTCAAGAAATTTACAGGAATGCACAACCAACAATTATAGGCGCCAAAGAGTGAACCAAGTATACAACAAAATTGAAAGCAATAAAATGATTCAGGGAACAAATTGAAAGCAACCAAAAAGCGCACCTCAACCATAACCCGCTCAGCCTCAAGTAAACACTTGTAATTCGCATGATGCGAAACCGAGCGCGAGACAGGTTGCTGCTCCTCAACAGAAATTAAAATATAATCATAATCAATCAAAAAGAAAAACAATAAAACGTGGCCAACAAGGTATGTGTCATATGTAGAGAGAATTGGGACCTCAAGCTTGAGCCAATCGAGGGCGTCGTCCCAGCCACCGCTGCTCTCCATCTTCTCGGAGTCGGAGGAGTGGTCTCTGAACGACGTCGATCCACGCTGCTTTGATGAGGCCATGCGGCGAACCGAAGAGAGATAGGCTTTGTTGAGGAATTATGTGATGGTTGGAGAGAGGGAGTGCTTGAAAGAGACGTGTGGAATTGGGTTCACTTACCGTTCAAAAGAAGGAAAATGTGCGTATGGTTTTTTTTTTTTTTCCCCGCTTTCTTTGTGTTTTTCTCTTTTCGTATTTTATAGTTGTGGATGAGGAAATCAAAAGACAATGATATGACGTGTCAGATTAGAAAAATGTGTCTGACAACGGTTTTGTATTCTTTTTTTTTTTTTTTTTAAGAATAATTATTGAAATTTATTATCAAACTATTAAGTAAACTATTTTTCTCTTCCTATTTTAATATTTTTCCCCCGTTTATTGTGATGATATATGAATCCAGCGGCTCCAATTTGATCATATCTCTAGTCACTTTCGTTGGTTAAAATATACTTCTCATTTCTAGTACTATGTTATTTTAAATATGTTTTTATAATGTAATTTAACCATTTCTAATATATTTCATTACAATTTTTTTAAAATAGAATTATGTTTGGTCAACTATAATAAAATATAATGTTATTGAATGCTATTAATGAAATAGCACCACCTATTCTATTATATTCCTTTTTATATCATTTTTTTATATAATTTAGCCATTTCTAATATATTCATTACAATTTTTTTTAAAATATAGAATTACATTTCGTGACTCGTAATGAAATATAATATAATCAAATGTATATATACTATTAATGAAACATCATTAATGAGTCATAATCAAACCTAATATAATAAAATGAAAGACATTTCTAATATAAAATATACTAAAAATGTCAAAGTGGATATGGTTATATTTTAATTAAATCTACTCCTAACTATATTAATTCTTTGGAATCTATAAATATTATATTTAGCCTTCATAATAAATTTATAAAGTTAATTATAAAATACTAACTATAAGATAATTATAGTTTAAACTATAGCATGTATGAGATTATTATTTAAACTTAGAAAAAATTAAGAATCTTACCAATCAGGTAGTGTGATTGGTCTTTTCACTTGTGTGAGGAGTGAAAAGTCTCATATAATTTCAGCCTGATGAGTGACCTAATGAATAATTTAAAAATCTTGAATGCTAGTATAATTTTTTTTTCTTTTTGAAAACTTAATAATTCATTAATAATGAATATAAGTTGAGTACATCATAATATTTCTATACGAATAAGAAATGCAAATATAAAAAATTGAAATATTTTGTTTGGAGAGGTTAATCTTCCAAGTAAAACCTGGTCAATTTTCAAATAGGACGACTAAAAAAACCTTCTACAATAACGTCTCGAATATTGTTTGTTCGAAAACCCGTTACAACTGACTGCACTATTAGGCTCTATTGGTAGAAGAAACATATCCGAATTTGAAGATCTAAAGTTTTCAACCATAAGTAATCAACAATTCATTTGTCTTTCAAAAGAAATAAAAGATTCACATAAAAACTCTTCAATAATGAGGAACAACCCTATGAAAGAGAATAAATTAATAACTCCACTAAGAAATAGCAAAAATACTCAAGATCTACAAATCTGAGAGATTAAATTTAAATTTTGTTCTAAACGATCATAAATTTGAAAATTATTAAAAAGAAAACTAAACAAAATAAAGAAAAATGATAGAGATGGACGAAAAGAAACCACCGCCGACCAAAGAGACAGGTACGTGGTGGTTTAGAAATAAAATCTAGAAAAAAAAAAAAAAAAAATTATTAAAAAGAAAAACTAAACAAAAATTTAAAAAAAAATGATAAGAGATGGACGGAAAAAGAAAACCACCGCCGGACCAAAGAGACAGGTACGTTGGTGGTTTAGAAATAAAATCTTAGAAAAAAAAAAAAAAAAGAGGGGAGAGAGGAAGCCTAGGTTTGGGAATATAACAAATTTTAGTATAATTTTTTATTTATAATTTCTTCTAAATATTCTTTAAAAAAAAAAAAAAAAAGAGGGGAGAGAGAAGCCTAGGTTTAGAGGAATATAACCAAAATTTTAGTATAATTTTTTTATTATAATTTCTTCTAACATATTCTTTATAAAAAATAATTATAGTTTAAACTATATCATGTAAGAGATTATTATCTAAACTTAGACTAATGTGAACGTTAGTATAATTTTTGTTATTATAATTTCTTCTAACATATTCTTTATGTCAATATATGGATTGCACGTAATGTTCTATTGTCATATAAAAATAATATTTTTTTTAAGAAAAAAAAGACATTTTGATTCAACAACGAACCATTCAATCAGATAATTATTATCTGTATACAAAATTTATTAATACTTAATTTTTCCCACTTGACAAATTTTTTTTTTTTTTTATGGTAAAAACTTCTCAAAGAAAGAAATGGAAAATTTCAGCGGAGGATGCTTCCAGGCTTGTTTGGTGCCAAAATAAGAGGCAGTAGCAGTTTTATTCCTAAAAAATCTCACGGTTTGCAAGTTGACTTCTTCCACCACTTCTTGTGTCAATGTCAGGAGCCAGGCTTGTTTCTGACCTGAGCTATCTGTGTGCTCAGAAAATGCTCAGAAAGAACTTGGAAGTGACACCATCATGAGAAAATGCTCCTTTGATCCCTCTATTGCTTATGTAAAGATCAGCCAAACTGCATTTAGTCAACTTTTAGGTTGCATATACTTCTCAAGTTTCAAGAATGGCAGTTCTTATCCCACAAAAGAGCAACATAACTAATTCCCATTTCAGCTCAAATACTTGGTGCCTGTTTTGCGTTGTACTTGAACTGCAATATTAGTAATCTAAAAATACAAGAAGCATCCCACATTTGTAGACTCTGGAGAAGATTGATATCTGCAGTCTTTTCCTGCTTTTACAAAGAGACTATTTTCGGGACCCAAACCTATTAAACCCAGATTAAAAGTGGGATAACTTTACCATTACACTGGAAAATAATTTTGTAAAAAGAACTAATTGGAAGAGTAAGTCCAAACTAAATCCCAAACCAAGGCTAAGCTATCAAGATTCAGCATGTTCTATAACAATTTCTTGCTTCCTTCCCTTCTCCTTTTATTAGTGCATATGTAGAATACCAAAAACCCTCAGCAGTAAATTTTAAGAATTCATGAACAAATAATTTAAACAAAAGCACAGTAAAATTTTGCTGAAATTAAAACCAATTGCAATTGTAAAAAAGTGCAACGGCATTGGTAGTTGTCACCAAGCAATTTACAGCTATAGCACTTAAAATGAACTAACATGAATCCATTTACAATTTTTTTTTTTTTTTTAAAATTGCAACAGCAAAGGTAAAAGGAAACTTTAGCAAGCTACCTAAAAGGAGCCTGAGCAAAAAATACAGGTAAGATCAGAGTGTTGTTTCTGAAACCTGATTGATTTACACTTGAGCATCTGCTACCATGCAACCATAACAAACAGTAAAGGAAAGGATATGCTCAATCATCATGTTTGAATTTAAAACCTTATATGGTAAATTTACAATTAATATAGATAGATCTCGCTAATAAATATACACAAATCATCGAATACCAGCTAAATTAATAAAACTAGACTAACTTCACGAGGAATAAGACAGAGGAACCACTGCTTTTCAGTGGCTAAAAAAGAGGGAAATAAAATCTCCACTCACAAAGGGAAATGTAAAACTAGAGTTTGGAAGCTCAAACTATACCTCGAACTCATAAACCTGCCTTTCGGTGTAGGATATTCCAGAGAGAAATCACAGTTTCAATCTCTTCACCCAGCAAATGAACAATGTTTAATAGAATTGAGAAGCACGGATGATGAACCTGCAATATATAAACCTCAAATCCAGTCAATTTTGGGGTAAAATGGGACCATTATGGCAAATGCTATTGTCACAGCCTCGATGACATTGTTACTTGTCAAGCTCCAAAAATTCATCGAAAACTCTACCGCTAGCACACTCCTGCAAAGCTTTTGCATTGAGTTCTCTCTTGAATCTCCAAACATAATTGAGACCAACCAGAAGCTCAGTTATTGCTGCTTCTGTCTTCTCCTGATTTGCAAAGAAAAGTGTCTGTGCGAGGAGCACATTTGTCCTAGAAACAAAATTCTGCTGCTCAAAACTTCGCTCTGATTGCCATCTTATCATGTTATGAGCAAGTGGAGCCAGCCATTCTAGTATTGTTGCCATTGCCGTAGTCCATTCTTCTGCAAGAGTAGTATCATAAACTGATGAAGTCAGGTTTTTAGAGTATGGTTTTAGCCTTGCTCTTACTGCAGTTCTTACATTTGCAGGTAACATATTGTATAAATCATCTCTCGCATCATGACCAATTAAGTGAGGAGATGCAGCTAGCTTTTCAATTACACTAATAACATTTGCATAGTGCAGTGCCAAAGCAGCAGCACCAAGAGTGTCAGGAAGAGCTTTCAACAGCTTGAAATGGGAATTGAAAATTGATGGTGCAGTATGAGCCACAGTGCCTTGAGAAAGCCCGGCAGTGTTATTTTCCCTGGCTTCATTAAGAATTCCTGAATGAACGAGAGTTGAACTTAAGTAGCAATTAGCAACAGGTGATTTGTTTGTAGCTACCATGCACCCTTTAAAAGGTCCAACTTGAGTCAACCTATTTGGTTTTGAAGGCGGTTTTTTTCCCTGAAGCGAGGGTGATTGAGTAGTCTGCCACATCTTCTTGCTGCTTTTAGTTATTCTGGCAAGTGGGCCCGACTTCGTTGTTGGCATTCCGAGGGGGCCTGAGAAAAAGTTCAAATTCCTATTCTTTCCAGAAAGAGGGCCTGATTTTGCTGTTGGACCACCAAGAGGACCCGAATAGAAATTATTGGTTTGTTTTGGTTTTGAAATGGGACCTGATTTTGCAATAAATCCACCAAGAGGGCCAGAAGAAAATCTAGGAATGCTACTGCTCTCAGATGGATGAACTGAAGACTGCAGCAGTGCAGATACTGACTGACTGCGATAAATAAAATCAGAATCCAAATTTTTCGAATGCCCGCTGGTAACCATCACATTAAAGCCAAAGGCATGATTGATTCTACTGAAAATTGTGAACAATGATCTAACTAAAAGGCGAACCGTATAATCATAAGTTCTATTCCAAAGTGATATCTCTCTTAGATTCTTCACTTCCTGCTGCTTCCACACAAGCTTCTTCTGATAATCAAGTAAATTTTCTGGCTCAGGATCATTACCCTTCATTCTCTTCACAGTCTGTTCCAGATCTGCAAGCATTTCCATTTCTTGATATAAAGAAGCATTGACTGAAATGAAATGCTCCATCTTCTTAACTTTCTTATCCATCTTCTTATCTGAAAATTCCCACCCATATGGGTCAGCACCAAACTTGATCAATTCATCAAAAACATGCTCAAAACTCTTGAGACTGGGTTCAGAACATTTCTTCCCCAATCTGATTACGGATTTAGCCACATGTACCATATTTTCAATCAATTCTGCACAAATCAAACCGACAATGAAATCATCATCCTCTGATATAAGCTTTTTTATACCTACTGAATTTGATATCTCCTCTCTTAACCTAGAAACTTGTTTATCACTCAAAGATTGCCATAAATGAACTAGCTTAGACATCAAGCTAGCAACTTCAAAGGCCAATACTCCAATCACCACTTTCTCAGTACCAGATTCATGCTTTCGTGGAATCTTCCACAGACCACGAAACCAAGACTCCGCAACCATCTCTCTAATCCTATCAATTCTGCATAAACAAATTAATAAAGAAAATCAAATCAACTGATAAACTCAGATCAAATCAAATTGATTATGCAGTAAACATTTTAAATCAACTACGATTAAACAGTTCAATAAATAGCAAATAGAATTTGCAGAATTAACTTCTAACAAAAGCAAATTCAAAAGATACTCATATTCTCATACTTACCCAATAATTAAAACTAAAAAATCATAATTTCTGTTCATAAAAGCTAACAAAATTGGAATTAAAAAAATAGAAGAAGAAGAAAAACAAACCCTCACACTTAATTTCACAACTCCATTATCTCTACAACGAAATTCAAATTTCAATATAACTACAAGATGGAATCTTGGAAAGCAAGGAGAAAAAAGAAAGCTAGAACCTGATCTTCTATAATTGCTTCATCAGAACTAATCCCAACTGAGTCTCTAACGGCTTTATCACTCATACAGAATTGAACTTCTCTCTAAAGATTTTCTTTTGAATTCGTTCTTTGTTTTTTCAATTTCCAGATTTATTAACTGCCATAATAATAATTTAGTAATTCATAAAAAAATTTACAAAATTATCAATTTTTTCTCTGCTACAATTACAAATACTTTCACAGGAATACGAACTAAAAAAGAGAAATTGTGCCCAATAATTTATAAAAAAAAGAGAGATAAAAACTCCAAAATCTAAAATGACAGATTCAAAACCCAACAAAAAAATATACCCAAAAATTCTGAACTTAAAATCCCATTGTCAATAAGTCACACATCCTCATAAAATCATTAAACAGAAGGAAAAAAAGAAATAAATAAGGACTGAGAGAACTTACTGATCACATGGACTGAAAGATAGAAGGAAGGAAAGAAAATAATGACTATAAGTATTATTATTAAGAAGAACAAAATAAAAAAAAGGAGAGATGAAAAAGTATTTTGAGGGTAGAGAGGAAGTAGCTAGGAAGGAGCAGTGAGAGAGAGGACTTTAGAGCCACATAGAGAATGAAAGGGAAGGAAAAGGAGGGAAAGGAAAGGGCCGAATTGGACCGAATGGTGGAAAGCAAGGAGAGAAAAGAAAATAAAGAGTGAAAACGAGTGAAATTAAAGATTATAAAAAGAAGATCCCACCATTGCTTAATCATTTTCAATTTAAAATTTATAAATATGTAAGTGCTTCTTATCCTATTTTTTTTTACAGCCCTATATTTTTAATTATTTTCATTTCTTGCATTAAATACAAACTTGATGTCCAATTCTAAATTTTATTATTTAAAAAATACAAAGCTATTAATTATATATTTTGATATTTCAAATAATGCTACTCAAATTTATTTTCCAATCTTCCTGATCTTTTTTTTTTTTTTTTTTTTGCATTAAATACCAAACTTGATGTCCAATTCTAAATTTTATTATTTAAAAATACAAAGCTATTAATATATATTTTGATATTTCAAATAATGCTTACTCAAATTTATTTTCAATCTCTTCCTGATCTTTTTTTTTTTTTTTTTACAATCAAATGTGTATTAAAAATGTTCTCTTTTTTTTTTTTTTTTTTACAATCAAATGTGTATTAAAATAGTTCTCAAAACTAAGAAGTATTAAATTCAAATTTTAATCATAATCAAATTAATTAAAAATATCTATTTAAACAACAAAAGAATAAAAATTTTAAATTAAAAAATTAATATTTTAAAATATATTTTAATGGTAAAACTTAATTCGAAAATCATTTTAGTACTCATTAAAAAACAAGTCTTCAGTTTTCTTCAAAGAACTGGGGTGTTAAGTTTAATAAAAGAAAGTGCAAGGACACAATTTGCAAATAGGCCACAACGGCTTCAGATCCGTCCCAATCATTAATGGCAAGCACGCGGAAACTGTCCATTTACACATTTAACCCTCAAAAGGTCCGAGTCCAAGTCGCCGCAAACGGGCCGGACTAATGAATTCGGATGGTCCATTAGCAGACAAAAAGGCCATTGTCGGTCCAACCGAGGATCAGTGAATCATGCAGTGTCACATGCCTAAGCCTAACTCTCCAATACTAGGAATATGACAAATAAACCAGCAATTAGATATTTTTAGAAACATCTAATTTATTAATAATAATATCATCGTATTACAAATATTTATAACTAGTTATATAAACTAACATAATTACTTATTTTATTTTGAATTATAAAATGCATTTTAAGGATAGATATATTTATAACTAGTTAAATAAACTAACATAATTATTTATATTATTTTAAATAATAAAATACATTTTAAGGATAGATATAATTAGAGATGTGCGAATAAATTAATTTGATCAAAATCAAATTAAAATACAGTAACAAGATATTGGTTGATGTGATTGGGTGATATCAATCCTCGTAAGAGTGAAAATATGTATTTTCGATTAAATTTTTATACGAGTGAATTAAACCTCCAGAATATTCAAAAAGTAAGATTTAATTTTTTTATTTTAACTTACTTTTTAAACTTAATTTAATTTAGTTTTCAATTATAATAAAAATTAAAATTATCTGAAGTTAAAATCAAATATTTTTTAAATCAAAATGAATCCAACTGAATTAATTAATTTAACAGATTTTTACTCGGCTCTAATTATAGTCGTAATAGCAGTAATACCCTCCGTTATTCTTATTTTCTTAGGATCTCTTACTTATAATCGAAGTTGAGTAGGTTGATTATTAACTGGGATTAAACAATAATATCTTGATTAATCTTTTTAATTAGGTTTTACTCATTAGATTATGCAATTAATTGGTATGAGGATTATAAAGCACATGCTTGCTTTATAAGATAGTAATTAATTTATATAGTGCTTGATGAGTGTACTTAATTACAGCTGACTAAAATAGTTTGGTTTGGTAAAATTGACACTTTTTGCATGGGCATCATACAGCATATATGCTTACCGTCAATGAGACATCACATTATTATATGATTAGTACATGCATACATTTGTCGTTTTGATCCCGCTGTTCATGGTCCAAGTTGTCGTATTAACTTATTATACCCGTGACTATGACATACAATTTTATGTGAATATACTAATATGCTTTTTTGTGTATCTTAATCTTATATGCATGGTACGGATTTTTTTTTTTTTTTTTAAGAGAGAGAGAGCTCTTATTAGTCGGAAAACTAACACTCCCGTTGGGAATGAACGCGGAATGAGTACTTGGGAATTTTAAGCTATCTGTATCTATTTAAAATTTTAGTATCTGTATTTATTTTAAATCCATTTAAATATCTATTTAGGTAATTGTATCTAAACTTGTTTAAATTTTTACTATCCATATCCATCTAAAACCTTTAAAAGTACTCTGAGCAGGGTACCGGCAAATCTTAAACCATCCAAATATGAATTTATTTAAAATATAATTTTTACTAATAATGGATAGGATACTTGTGGTACCCATTGCCAAACTTGTTTAACAGGTATCAAAAAATATATACTCTTACCCTACTTATATCTATAACGGACAGTAATTTCACTATTCATAAATATCTCAAATTCATTTATAACTATCGACATCCTTTTTAAACGAATTGGAGCCGGATACCCTAAACTACCCTCACCGCTTCCATCTCTAACTGTAAGTTCACAGTTTAGCTACAATTTCATGTTCTTTCTCTTGCCTTCATCATTAAAATAATTTTATATTTTTCAACTATCTAATAAATATTTAATTGATTTAATTTTATAAATTGAAGCATTTGATATAATAAATTTATAGGTTAAAGTATTTAATAAGTACTTTCTTGAGTCATTTTGTGAATATTAATTAATGAACTTTCTTTTTTCAATTTTACCATTATATATATTGAATATATTAATTATTAATGATGTGAGATAAAGAGTAATTTTATCTAATTAATAAACTTTTTTATAATCTATAGAAATTAATTATTTTGCTAATCACCTTGTAAAAATCTTATACGACTTATATTTATAGTCAAAAAATAATTTTACACTTTGTAAAAACCTTAAACGACTTATATTTATAGTCAGAAAGTAATTTTATAAATTCAAGTATTCAATTGGTAAAATTAAAGATTAAGTTCCCAAGTAAATAGGCATAAGTTTTTAACAGCATGCTAATAGTATTGCCAAATATTGATAGTTTTTTTTTTTTTTTTTTTTAAAAAAAAGGAAAACTATTGACAGCATTTTGATTGTGCTACCAAACATATAAAAAGTTATAGTAATTTAATGAAATTAACTGTTTATTTCTTCTTTTCATTTTTAGACAAGGCATGTGCATAATCCATAAATATCTTGGCAAATATCTGAAAAAACTTAAAAGTGCTTAAAGCCCCCAAAGGGCAAGAATTCAAAGTTAATTAAACTACATGGCCCAAAGAACAATCTCCAACATGATTATGTTGACTTTTTCTTTTTCAATGCTTTAATTTTAATACTCGCTCCGTACTTTTTACATAGTCACAACCAATTTTTCTTTTTATATAGGTATAATTAATTTTTCATCAAGATTAAAAAAGTAATTTAACTAATTTTTTTATCATTTTTTCCTAATTTATCCCTGATGTACCATATATTTCTCCTCTAATATCAATTCATGTCTTACATTATGTTTCAATATTCAATGAGATTTTAAATGCTTTGTTGGAATAAATGGAATACAAACGGTTGTAAAAATGAAGTTTGTGCTCTAACATGTGGAGAGAAATTCATTTTTTTTGTCCTTTATTTAGAAAAGTTGTGTGAGATTTTGAAAATTTATGTTCATTTAACCTTCCAACTACTTTTGATTATTCAAAACGTACTTTGAGTATTGCATAATTTTTTAAATTTTCAGCTAAGTCCATAAAATTTCCTTTCAATGCAGCCAATTTAAAAATTTTGTGGCTTTTTCTATTCAAACTTCATTTTAATCGAGCTCATATAACCTATACGAGCATATTCTTTTTACAATGGAAATTGATGTAAAAAATCTATGCACCAAAATTTATTCACATTAAATATCCATCTATACTTTTGTCTACCACTATTTTGAGAATCTCCCACACTAAAAGCTTCATAAAGGACTAAAATAAGAGTAAGTTAGACTTTTCACATTAGCATAGTTCTCAATACCAAATTAAATAAAATTTCCTATATAAAAAGAACACTCAAAATGGAAACTTTTCGCATATAAAAAGAGCGGAGGGAGTGAAATTCATTTAGGCCTTCATACTTGGAATACGTATGTTTCTAATCCTACATCCAATTAACATAATTTGTTATAAATTATATGTGTGTAAAAATGACTTACAACATGTAAGCTAAAATTTTGTCTTAATTTTCTACCATCTTTGTTTCATAATACTTCTCACATTTAAAATTTCACGTTCCTTAAATAAACCATTAAATTTGTCTAAATTATAATAAATTATTGAGTAAATTGACTTATATTACCCTTACTTCAATATTACTTCTTTAAGAAAACCACTAAATTGAAGTAATAATTATTGCTCATATACAAAGAGTAAATATGAAAAAGAAATATTTATTGTTTCTTGAAACCACAAACCTGACATTTATTTTGAAACAAATTATTTTATCAAATGTTACAAGTATTATGGAACGGAGGTAGTAAAATTTAAAGTGATGAATCATATATGGAAAATAAACTAGGTAAAAGCTGAAAAAGGAAGATAAAGTCTCTTTTTATTTTTTATTTTTTTGAGTTTTGGGGAGGGAATTCAAAACTGTATTGTCACGTCGGATGAAAAAAAAAAGAGCCAACTTTGAAGAAAGAAGTTTAATACTCATACAATTGTTTTTATCCACTACTTTTTTTTTTCAAAAAATTAATTTTGACCAATGGACTCCCAAGCTAATCATGTGGTGGTTTGGTTATTCTTCTCACTTATGTAAAGAGTGGGAGGTCTCGAATTCGAGTTCTCTCGACCACGGTTGTTTTCACTAATTTTGTTAGCCAAGAGGAAGGCTACCCCGTATTGTGTAGCCCATTTATCCATTTCTATCATATAAGACTGGATTTTTTTTAAGGTTGAAGATCTTTTAAAATTGGACATTAACCCCAATAAAGTACACTTTTATCGCTATTATCCCCATCAGTTCACATGTTAGCAAACAAGCTGTAAGTCTTGGCATCAAGAACAATCTGTCTAACTGAAGCTACTGCTCCAACTACCGACAAAATTGAAGAAACTACAGCTATTAGTGTATTGATCCAGAAAATTAGGCTTTGTTTGGATGGCTTGAAAGTTACATTATAAAACACCATTGGCAAAATGAAGTCCAAAGGAATGCATCCAAAAGCACCAAACAATGCCATGATGTCCCCAAAGAAAGGTAACATTGCAGCTATAGTTATAGCTGTAATTACTGAAAGTGATCGAAAAATCAACCTTGGCAAGATATTTCTAGTTGAGAATTGATCCTTCTTCGGGTTAGCGAAACATTTTTCGAACAATTCATTTGTTGGTTGCAAGTAAATCTGCAAAAGGAATAGTCTTAGATTATGAAAACATAACAGGAATTTACTCTGCTTTACTAGTAAATTGAATGTATGAGCCTAATAATATGAATGTGTGAGTTTATAATTACATAGTTTTATAGCCTTAGGCATTATCACGCAATACTAACTATTCTAATACTTGTTAAATATTATAGTAACTGTATAAGTTCTTTTAGAGGTGAAAAAACGGTCAAGGACAAAAATGCAAACCAAAATTTTTTGACGACAGATTGAACTAAACCAAAATTGGTATCTGAACAGAACCAATTTGAAATGAACCAAACGGTTCAATTGATTTTGGTCGGTTTTGCCATTTCGGTTTGATTTTATGATTGACCGACAAATTTCTATAAAATTGACTCGAACTAAATAAACTGATAAACCGAATATCTATTGAATAGTTGGCCGAACCGAACCAAAATGGGTCGATCTTTTTTTAGTTCAATTTGATTGGTGGTTTTGCACACCCCTAATTTTATTAGTTAAACGTTAATTGGGGGATAATATTTCATGATGCAAATCATTGACCTCTAAATATTAGTATGAATATTATGCTACTAAACAATATAAGTAACAGAGGTACCATCTTAAATTAAAAGTCAGTTGTTGAAAAATGCCTTGTTAGAGGTATTTTTTTTATAATAAAAGTTGCGTTTACTCCTTTAGTATTAAGTAGAAACTAGGAAGATAAAACACTTACCACACATATAGCAGTAAGTTGCACGAGAGTGAAAATGTTGGTCATCAGAAGGAACCAAGCAGGCAACAATGGTGTATTATTATCACCCACAAAATTGGTAAGAATAATTCCTGAAGCTTGATTGCCAAATGTCCAATAACCAGAGATGGCAACACTGAAAAATGTAGACACTATAACAGCATAGCAAAGGCATAGGCCTTTGAACATCTTGCCCTTTACTGGAGGAGCTAAAGTTGCCTGCAAAATAATTTTTAAAAAATAATTATAGTTATCTATATCTAATCAAACTTACAGAACACGTAGAAGACAAACCTGTATTTCAGGGATAATTCCACTTGCATATGTGGTAGAGATGATGGCAATGGCATTAATCGAACCGAAAAATCGATTTTCTTGAGATCCATAAATGGAGTAGTCCTTAGGAGGTGCATTCTTAGAATTTCCTGCAACAAAAATAATATTCATGAAATGGGAAAATTTTTTTTATACAACTTCTGAAAATAAAAGTTTGTGTTGTGAATTTCCTTGTACCTATATGTATAGAACCAGCAGCGACACAAGCACTATAAGCAAGACAAAGGACTAATGAAATAAGGTTAATATGCCTTAGGGAGTGGAAAGATGGCATTTGTGCCAAAAATAAAATTGCAGCTCCAAAAATAATTATAAACTGATATAGCCGCATTCCTCCATTTGAGTCGTAGAGAAGGTAAATGAACTGCAAAAAATTAAATATATAAACAAATATTATAAGTTCTTCATCAAAAAGCTTAATTACAGTACTACTGGTATATACAGAGAAAGGGAAAAAATGACCTTAAGGCTCTGCCCTCCAAGAAGACTGCAAGAAATAACAGCACCATAGCATATTGCAAATTGAAGTGGACCTACAAAATACTTGCCCCATCTAGGTCCTGCATGCCCATGAAGTCCAAGTGAAGTTTTTTCTAGTTATTACTCTTGTCTGAGTTCTCCAAAATAAGCTAATAGGGGTATGTATGCGTCAAATGCACATAATTTCCGGTCACATCCTAAAATATCAAAGATATATAAAAATTGTTCTAGTTTCGTCCTAATACGTATATAATTCTATTTCGTCTCAACTCATGATATCCATTATTAAAACGGAATAAAAATTCGGGTTCAAGGGATGGAATAGGTAAGGACGGTACTTTTAAATTTATAAACTGACTTTTTTTTTTTTAAATGAGTCAAGATTCCTACAGTCTCATACCTACCCTTATAATTTAATCACTGATTGTAAAACTATATAGATATTTTTTCTACACTTTAAATCTCAAAAATTCTAAATGAAATTGCATTTTAGTCCCTAGACCGATAAATAATACTCTCTCCCTTTCATATTTGTTTGCATAGTTTGACAAAACACGTATATTAAGAATTTAGCCAACAAAAATTATTTTTCCCTTTTTTACTCTTAATCATTAAGATATTAATAAAAATTTTTCATTAATAAATAATCACAAAGATTATTATTGGAAAAATAATTGTTTACATATCTAAATTTAGAAATCTTACAAACAAAATGGGACAGAGGAGTAAAACATTTTAGTCACTCAAAATCTCATAAAATCAATTCCACTACCCGATTAATTCGGATTCGTGCCGGATATGCCCACAAAGGGGGCAAAGCGCTCCCCAAGTGTTTAAAGGGACTTTACAACCAAGGCTCGAACTCAAGTCTTCTTGTTAAGAATGACTAAAAATAAATCAAAAGGATATAATTTTCAGTTCCATCCTAAAATGTCAAGACATATAAAAATGGTTCCAGTCTCGTCCTAATAAGTACATGGTCTTAGTTTATCTCAACTCATTATATCCATGACTAAAATGAAATAAAAATTTGGATTTAAGAGGTGAAACGGGCACGACGGAACTTTTAAATTTATAAACCGACTTTTTTTAAAAAAGAATGAGTCAAGATTCCTACAGTCCCACGTGCATCCTTACAATTCAATCACTCATCGTAAAACTATAAAACATTCTGAAAAAAATACAATGCAATCCTATAGTTTGTGAAATACAATTAGTCTATTTATGTCTTTTAGAAAATATACTAAAACATATTTATTGTTTGCTTCCGTCAAACTATAAGGTCCTTCTGTCCAATTTTTGCATGTGTATTCTATAAAAAGATGAAAATACCCCTTTTATTTTTAAAAACACAGAGACGGATTAGTTGTATTTTTCAAAGTATAAGGATTGTACTGTAATTTTTTTTATATAATATTTTAGTTTCTATTCTTTGACCTCTGTGTTTTCTTGTTGATGGAAAAAATTTAAAAATTGGAGAAAATGACCTAATAGTGTAACAAAAGCAAAACATAGGGAAAATTAGTATATTTTAAAAAGACATGGACAAAGTAGTTGTATTTTGCAAACCACATGCATCGTACTGTATTTTTTTCAAAAATTTTTGTCCACGCTTTAGTCTTGAAGATTCTAAATGAAATTGCATTTTAGTCCCTAAACTAATAAATTATAAAACATTTTAGTCGCTCAAAATCCCTCAAAATCAATTTCTTTTTTCATATAGGGACTAAAATCGATAAAAATAATTGGAATCAAAAATATATATTGAAGCAAATCTCAGTAGATTTACAGTACTCAACTCAATCAAGAAACCCCAATAGAATGAAAAATCATGGCATAAAGTTAGTAATAATCACCTAAAATATCTCTGGCCATATCTCGAAATCTAAGCTGACGCTTTCCAAGTTGAGCATGGTGCTCCAGAACCAGAGACAGGAGATTATAAGAATAGAAAGTAACTAAACCTGCAATGGCTATGCAAAGAACACCAAGAACCCAACCCAGCAAAGCTAGAGCAAAGGGAAGACTGAAAATAACCGGACCGACAATTGATGTTGTCAAATGATATCCACAGTGCAACCATGATCCTACAACATTGTTAACACACACATTTTACAACATATCAAGAAATTAATTAATTATAATTAATAATACCCTTTGATTAATTAACTACTAACCTCTTGATTTAAGGACAAATAAGGCTCCTGCATCAAGTTCTATCTGAGGATCATCAATGGTTCCATTTTCTTTGTTTTTTGTGGATTTGTTCATGGAGTTTGGAACCACACTTCCCATCTCTTAATCTCTATTAATTTCTGTAATTTGTCAAGTAATTAATTTAATTTATCAGTATAGAGTATAGAGTAGAAGAAAGGTTTAGTGTTATTTGAAAACTGTTTTGGACATATTTGAAGGATAATGCACACTTTGAAAGGAAAATTCAACCATAGAACTTAATTTAATTGAAATGAGTTAATGCTATGAAAATGATTGATTGAAGATATAAGGTAGAAGTCAAATTGATCCATTTTACTTTATATTGCCATCAAGTGGTATTATAAGTTTAGTTTTCATTACAATTATTTAAAGGGTTTATAATAAAAATATAATTTTTTTATTAACAGATTGCGTGGAGTTAAGTACGTAGTGTAGTAATAATAATTTTCAATGAAAATACAGACAAATATAATTCCTGCTCTCCACATGGATCGAGCAATTCCTCAATACACAAGGAGTTATGATCCATGAGCAATGACGGACTTAAGCCCAAACAGAGGTTAATTGTAACATCCCTTCTCGGTCCACCCGTTAACTCGAATGAATCAAGCCGAAACGCTACACTCTGGTTGAACTTATATCCGTTCATGCTAAAAGCATTCTGTGTGCTGAATATGATGTCAAGCTGTTGCTTTTTACATTATTTATATAAGTCCAATTTAGGTGATTCAAAAACTCATGGACAGCTAAAACATATGTCAAAAGCCGAAACGCTACACTCCTGGTTTGAACTTAATATCCGTTCATAGCTAAACAGCATTCTGTGTGCTGAATATGATGTCAAGGTCTGTTGCTTTTTAACATTATTTATAATAAGTCCAATTTAGGTGATTCCAAAAACTCAACATGGACAGCTAAAAACAATAGAGGAACAAAATAAGCTCTTCTCATAACCACTTTCATAATTTCCAATCCGTTAAACAGAGTCAAAATCAGGGTGAAGTTACTGGTCAGTGGGTCCAACAAACCCTGGTTCAAACATAAAATCAATATCTACTTCATTCATTCAATTCAATTCCATGCTTTAATTCACCATTTACCAGACCTCTAATTCAACATTCACAGCGACATATCTTTTGCATTAACGAAACACACTACACAAGTGCTTCATGCAAGACAATATGGAAAACTAAAAAGAGTTATATCAAACCTTCACCCAAAAGAGCTTTAAATCTCTTCCTTCTTAGCTTCCTTTTTTCCTTCTAACTTTTGAGCTCACTTCTCCTATACATAAGAACATCTATAAATCATCTAAAAATATCACTAAATTATGAATAATATCACTAAATTATGAAATTCAAGAAAAGCTACTTACTTGGATAGAGTTCTAGGTTGAATTTAGTGTTTGAATCACATGAAAATTGATGGAGAAAGGAAGGAGACGAAGAGAAAGATGAAGGAGATGAAGAGGAAGATGAAGACGAAGATGAAGAAAGGGAAAATGAAATTAAGGTCGTGTACTCTCCAAATATCTCTTTGATTGTATGTTAAAATTATCAAATAGTACCTATATTTTCCATATGTTACATTTTAATACCTAAACTTTATATTTTAGTGCAAGTAAGTCTTACTCCTTATACTTTAATCTTTTTGTTTTTTGTTTTCATTCAAGTAAGTCCACCTTCTTTTACTTAATTTTAGTTCACTTCCCATTCTAAAACCCCCCCACTCTGGATTTAAAATGGGCTCGAACCGGGTTTCTAGTTCGGCCAACTCACTGACTCTATGATGGCAACTACTCAATTCAGTAGGATGTCACATTATTAACTGCTTGGATGTGCCGCCAAGGATCGAACCGAGGGAACCCACGAAGTTTGGTCTAGCATGGTTTTTTCATTAGACTAACCTTTGGAGGTCTAAAAGACAAGAATTTCTTATTTTAAATTAACTTGAAAAATTTTTTAGTTAAGGTAAGTAAAGATTTCCAAATCTTTAATATTTATAATTTTCACACATTATATTAAATTTTACCTTCTTAAAAACCTACGGATCGTGACTCAGTTGGCAATGCATGTTTGACATGAGGGAAGAACTTCTCGGATTCGGTCGCCTACTAACGCACCGCTTGCAGGGAAGGAGCAAAGGAGCCTTAAACTGTAACTAAGCTCCGAGCCGGGATTAGTCGGCAATAACTAAATAGAATCCGAGCATCCGGTGGTTTATAACTAAAAAAAATATTCTACCCCACTCTGGATTTAAATGGCTCGAACCGGGTTCTAGTTCGGCCCAACTCGACTCGACTCTATGCAACTACTCAATTCAGTAGGATGTCACATTAATTAACTGCTTGGATGCCGCCAAGAATCGAACCGAGGACCACGAAAGTTTGTCTAGCATGGTTTTCATTAGACTAACCCTTTGGAGGTCTAAAGACAAGATTTCTTATTTAAATTAACTTGAAAATTTTAGTTAGGTAGTAAAGATTTCCAAATCTTTAATATTTTATATTTTCACACATTATATTAAATTTACTTCTTAAAACCTACGGATCGTGACTCAGTTGGCAATGCATGTTGGACATGAGGGAAGAACTCTCGGATTCGGTCCCTACTAAACGCACCTGCAGGGAGGAGCAAAGAGCCTTAACTGTAACTAAGCTCCGAGCCGGATTAGTCGGCATACTAATAGAATCCGGACACCGGTGGTTTATACTAAAAAAATTTTTACATCTTAAAACTTCATCAAATCTTAACACATAAGAAGTCAAATTGATCTTGTGGAATGCCATTAGTTTGAAAAAAGCAAGTCTAATTTGGTAAGATGATGAAGCATCAATGTTGACACAAATATATAAAAACCAAGAGAAGAAATCTTACTTATAAGCTTGTTGTAAGTAGGGATAAAACAAATTTAAAACATTTAATATGGTTTCAATACCTAACTTAATTACATTTTAGACAAACACCAAAGGATACCTAAAATTCCAAATTTGTCTTTATTAATTGGAAGCTTTAAATAAAAGTATGTTATTGTCACAATCAAAGTTGAACATCAGTGTGAATTCAATGAGCAGAAAAAGTGGATGCTATTGACATGAAAATGAAAAAGTATAATAAAGGCACTTTGCACTTTATATATTTCTTTGATGGTCCAATTTTTTTTTTTTAACAAAATGGTCCAAAGACTGATCATGAGAATCGTTATAATTGAATACACTTAACACTTTCTAGTAGGTAAGAATTAAGTGAATCTCATAAATTTTTTATATTTAGACAATTGCTGACTAAATGAGAGATCGATAAATCTTATTATATGCGTAACAAAGAGCTAATAATTTTTCGATGTAAGATGAGAATACATATAAGACCCTTTTGATGGTCGATTTGTATAATTTTTGTTAATGTATTGTGTCAATTTTCTAATCAAACCGAAAAAAATTAGGCTCATTTGGGTTTGCTTGCCTTTTGCTAATCTGAAAGCAAAGATCAATTTTTGGTTAGATTACAAAAAGCAAAAGAATTGAGGACTAGTTTGTCATGGTTGCATTTTTAGTTTTCCATGTGAAGAGAAAATAAAAATTTGTTGAATTACTTTTTAGAAAGAAAAAAAGCAAAAAAGGTTGAACCAAACAGTGGCTTAGCTCAATTATATTTTGTTTTCCACATCACTGGCATACACTCTTTCTTCATTGTAGCAACTAAGAAACTTGTGTTTCTCCTTAGAATTATGAGAACTGCCAAAAGAAGTGCTGTTATCATTTTTTTTTTTTTAATATTGGGATACGAGATTCGAATCTATTTGACTAAAAATTTATAAAAAGTTTTACATTTTTTACTAAAGAGTGATGCTACTGCTTGAGTCATACGGTGAGTCATAAGGCATGCTTTGTAAGATCAAGAATTCCATCTGTAAACAAAATATTTATGAATTTGGAACAATGATGAATCTTAGACGAGACTAATTAGAGCTTGATGTTCAAAAAAATTATTTGATGTGAGATGCAAGTTTTATTTTTCTCATAAGCAAACAAAAAAAAAAAAAAAATTGCTTAAGAGGGTATAATTCAATATCTCTTCACTTAAGTACCAAATTAGAGCTTGAACCTTTTTAATTAGTCCAATCAGACTCAATAGGGTTTTTTTTAGGTCTAAATAATCCATGAACTTCTGATTTTTTAACTCCAAAAATCTATCCCACAGCTTAAATTGAAGGGAATAAAATATTGATAAACATATAATAGTTGAATCTCAATTTCACTTTGTAACTTTTTTTAGAGTTTTTAATTTGAATGTAGTTTATTTTTTATCCTTCTAGTAATGTTCTTTAAATATAATTGATTTTTTGAATTAAAATGTAGAGAGGCAGTCCGCTCTGGGCATGCCCATAAAAGGGCAAAGCATTAACTCTTGAATATTTGAATGAGCTTCATATTTAAAGATTGAACTCAAGACCTTTAATTAAAAGAGAAGAGATTTTTGCCATACGACGAGAAGCAGCCCTCGGGATATTAACTACATCTTTCTTGCAATCTAAACGCATAATACTTCGAAAAAATTTAAAACGGAAGGCTTATGTGTTTCAATTTTTGGTTAGTAAGTTAGCCCAAAATCATAAATTAAATATTTCCTTCTGTAGATTGAAAAGTTTCCTTCTTGTTCACAAGAGAGTGGGAAAAGTTTGTCGTTAATGGCTTTCGGGTTGGCCCCCAGTTGCATGCTTCTTAACATGAATTGGGCTTTTTTTAGGTCCAATGGTACCATAAAAAAGCAAAAAATCAACAATAATGTGTATTTATTATTTACAGTCCCCGTGAGATGCAATCGGTTAGTCCATTTCTGAACCAAATTGAAAATTAAAGTTTCATTTCTAGAACTGAACCACGATCAAATTATATTTGAATTCATTATATTCTATGATCAAGCTAAAATCTAAAATTGAAATTACTCAATTACAAATTAAAATTGAAACACCAAATCTGAATTATATCCATTATGTTTTAACCTAGCTCTAGTTACTTTTAGAATAACCGAAGTTATTTGACAACAGATCGAACTGAATTAAAATTGCCTTATGAATTGAACCAAACTAATTGGTTTGATTAATTATCGGTATTACTATTTTGATTCGATTTTAAATTTAACGGATAGATTTTTATAAATCAATTCGAATTAAATAATAAATTTAGTTTAAATCGACAACTGAACCTCTCTTAATTTAGCTGATCGGAGCGAAATGAGGTCGATTCGATTTTCAGATCGGTTGGCAAGTTTGCACACCCGTGGTGGTGAGCATTTCATTGAATTTCTTCAATTCCAACTGAATCAATGCAAATTGAATAAATTGAATTTTTTTAAAAAAATAACTAAAATTGAATAGTACCTAGAATCGAATCTTATTAAAATTTGCTTTGAATTTAATAAAAATCACAATGAATCAAAAGAATATCAATTTTTTTAGAATCAAAATAAATAAAAAATGATGCTCTAAAATATTTAACCGAACAGAAAGAAATACAAAAAACTCTTAACCCCGTTAATCGTCAGATTTTTTTTTTTTTTTTGTTGAAATGGCAGAGGGAATGGGTGTCTAACTCTGGCTACGCCATCATTGGCCTTCAAAGTAATCCTTCAACGGGCTCCATTGCCCTACTTATAAATCCTTCAGAAGCTGATTTTTCATTCAACAGTAAAAGGTAATCACTCCATTGAAAATGGCACTCGGATCACTTGCCTCAAAAACCAAGTCCTTCTGCTCTTACTTCCGTTCTGTCCTTAGAGTTAGACCCAAATTCCACTCTTTCTCTATTCTCACTCCGCAAAATACCAAACTGCCATTACCAGACCTTGTAAATGAGATCTCTCGCATTCTCAGCGACCACAGAAACCCACACCATGACTTAGAGCTCTCTCTAAGTACTTACTCGTTAAAAGTATCTCCAAACTTGGTAGAGCAAGTATTGAAACGTTGTAAGAATCTTGGATTCTCTGCCCACAGATTCTTTCTTTGGGCAAAAAGAATTCCGGGTTTTGAACATAGTAAAGAGAGCTATCACATTTTGGTGGATATATTGGGTTCAAGTAAGCAATTTGCTATATTATGGGATTTCTTGATGGAAATGAGAGAATTTCAAGACTGTAAAATAACCCCAGAAATTTTTTGGCTTGTTTTTAGAGCTTATAGTAGAGCTAATTTACCAGGTGATGCGATTCGTGCTTTTGATAGAATGGTCGAGTTTGGTTTAAACCCTGGAATGGATGATCTTGATCGACTAGTGTATGCGCTATGCAAACGTAAGCATGTAAGACTTGCCCAGCAATTTTTTGATAGAGTTAAGCATAGATACGAGGCTAAAGCGAAAACTTATAGCATTTTGATTAGGGGATGGGGTGATGTTGGTGAGTCGGAATTAGCATGTCAGGTGTTCGATGAAATGCTTCAAAGAAAATGTGTTGTTGATGTCTTCGCTTATAATAGTTTGTTGGAGGCTTTATGTAGGGGAGGAAGGGTTGGTGAAGCTTATAAGATGTTTCGAGAAATGGGTTCGAAAGGAGTTGAGGCAGATGCTTGTAGTTATTCGATATTTATACGTGCATATTGTGAGTCAAATGATATTCATTCTGCTTTTAGGGTGCTTGATGAAACGAAGAGATATGGTCTTTTGCCTAATGTGTTCACTTATAATTGCATAATCAAGACTCTTTGCAAGAATGAAAAGGTAGAAGAGGCTTATGAAATTTTGGATGAGATAATTGATAGGGGAGGTAGTCCTGATGCATGGAGTTATAATGCAATTCTAGCTTATCACTGCGAGCATTGTGAGGTCAATAGAGCTACCAAGCTGATATCCAGAATGGTGAAAGATAATTGCTTACCAGATCGACATAGCTATAACATGTTGCTGAAATTGCTTATAAGAATAGGGAGATTTGATAGAGCAACTGAAGTTTGGGAGAGTATGGAGGGGAGAGGATTTTATCCTTCTGTATCAACATATTCAGTTATGATACATGGTTTTTGCAAGAAAAAGGGTAAACTAGAGGAGGCATGTAAATATTTTGAGATGATGATTGATGAAGGAATACCACCATATTCTTCTACTGTCGAGATGTTGAGGAATAGGCTAACAGGTTTAGGATTGTTGGACTATATTGAGATACTCGCTGGCAAGATGGAGCGAAGCACTTCTTGTTCGATACAAGAGTTCGCCAATGCAATGAGAGGTGGTAAGATACATGTGAGATCAAGAAGTGAAGAAACAGAAGTTGAGACTGATTGAAACAAGAGTGTTATAATTGATATTGCATTTGCAGGAATCTTGGATTCGAATCTTACTTAACTCTACCTCTACCTCTAATCAAATGCATGTCCAAATTACCCAATCTACAAAAACGGCTCCAAAATGTTTCTGGGGTTTTTTGCGCAACATAGCATTTATACATTAGCAAACAAGCTATAAGTATTGGCATCACGAAAAATTTGTCTAATAGAAGATATTGTACCCAGAATGAAAAGGCATATGAATATTCAAGAAAAACATGTACATGGAAAAGGCTATAGCAACCAATGCGTTAATCCAGAACATTAGGGTCTGTTTGGATGGCCTGAAAGCACATTATAGAATACCATTGGGAAAATGAAGTCTAGAGGTATGAACCCAAAAGCTCCAATCACTGCATTAATATCTCCAAAAAATGGAAACATTGCAGCAACAGTGGTGGCTATGATTACGGCCAATGATCGAAAGATTAAGCTCGGCCCCATATTGCGGATCGAGAACTGATATCCCTTTGCATCTGCAAATTTCTGCTCAAGCACTTCATTTGTTGGCTGTAAGTAAACCTGAAACAAATTATGTTTAGTAAAAAAAAGAGAGTTTTTGTTAAACAAGCTTGAAATAACGAGTTTAATTGTGCCTTTATTGAAGCCGTACCCCAACGACTCATTTTTAAAATTTTTTAAAATTTAATTTCACTTCATTTATACTCAACAAAGCCTTAGTTCTTTAAAACTGGTATATCGATAATGTTATAAGTATTGTTTTGAAAACAGGACTGGACCCGCCGGTTCGACCAAGAATTGGATTGTGGTCCGGTCCGATTGTATAGAAAAATCGAACGTTTAAAAAATCGGCTTGAACCGGTAAATACCGGATGGAAACCGGTTAATTTTATCGGTTAAAAATCAGTTCGATTCAATTTCTGTGTTTTTTCATAAAATAAGAGTATTTTTAAAAAATTTGGGCATCTTAAAAATTGGGCCCACTGATATTTTAATTTTTGAACCTTTTTATTTCTAAATCAAAGTCCTAATATGTTAATCAAATGAAAAATAATAATATATTTTATGGTAATTAATTAAGTATATGGATGACAATACCAAAAGATACCAACATTAGCATCTGAACCGCACTAATTTGAACAAAATCGGTCAGTTCGGCTTGTTTTAATCAGTTTTTGTCATATCAATTTGATTTTAAGCTCAACCGATTAATTTCTTTGAAATTGATTCAAACCAAAAAGTGAATTATGTTCAAATCAACTAATTTGATAAATTAAACATCCCTTAAGTAAGCTGGCTGATCAAACTGAAATGTATCGGTTGGATAATTTTACACGCCACTAATAATGAGAACAAAAGTGTATTTTCAGCCAAATCTTTTTTTTTTTAATTAGACCAATTTTTTCTTTTGTAATTATGCACTTTTAGCATCTTCACATTGATATTCTTCTCATCAACAAATAAAATTTTGTTCGCAGGAGAAAATGAGAGGTTGGTCATTTTACCTAGCAAAAGACCAATGAGAAAATCTCACCGCAGTAACAGCTGCAACTTGCAAGAGGGTACAAACATTGGTTATCAGGAGAACCCAAGTGGGTAATAAAGGCTTGTCATCAATCATAAAAGTGTAGTCCTTTGCTGGTGCATTATTTGAATGTCCTGCTAGATTTCAAATGTTTGATTAACATTTTATTTGAGATTATTATGAAAAAAAAAATATTATATTAAAATCTTGATTACACACTATTTAGAATAATTTCATATGAAATTCAATTGTAAATGAGTTCCCTTTGAGCAGGAGAGTATAAAGATTTTTTTGTCCTCTCAGGTCTCCCAGCAAAGTGCGTTTCTTAAAATTCGAATTTGTATTCTCACTTTTACAGAAATTGGGATCGCTTATCATCCCAACCAATACCTTGTTAATGGGTTTTATTGCCAATATAAATGGAAGCAGCCATGGTAGAATCGCTATGAGCAAGGGCAAGAACAAGAGAGATAATTTGAGTTCTGGGTAAAATTTACTCTCAACTTTAGATGAACCAAAATCACCCTGGAGATTAGAGAGATAATTTGAGTTCTTGGTAAAATTTCAGAAATACAAACATTGAGGCTTTGACCTCCAGGAAGAGTACAAGCCATAGCAGCACCATAGCATACACCATGTCTCTAAACCTAAGCTGCCTCTGGCCTAGTTGTGCATGGTGCTCTAAAACCAGTGACAGAAGGTTATAGGAATAGAAAATTACCACAGCTCGAAGTGTAAGACACAAAACACCACCAAACCAACCCAGCAAGGACAAAGCATAAGGAAGACTTAGAAGTGCTGGGGCTACAATTGATGTGGTCAAGTGGTATCCACAATGCACCCATGAACCTATAAAATACAAACCAGACACTAAACAATTAGGCTCTAAGTAGAACTCAGAATTTGAACTTCCAATTTCAGTCTTTATATGATTCTTTAAAGAATATTTGCTATACCTCTTGATTTCAAAACAAACAGGGCTCCAGCATCAAGTTCTTTGGAAGAGTTGGCTCCTTCTTCTTTATCACCATTTTCAGACATATCTACTGAATGTGGAAGAAGGGTTGTGATGAGATCCTCTCTCTCAAGAAATGAAAATAGAAGGGTTGGTGGATCATCAATTTGTAAGGATGGAAATTGGAATCAATGCAAAAGAATCTTTATGTGTTGATTATTTTTCCCTTTCTGTGAATTGATTAATGAACTTGGACCGGCATGTCCCTTTTTGAAAGAAATTATGGGCAAAAGCAGAGAGCAACTTCATGGATATATGGAAAAATAAAAACACTAATCTCAAGATTATTCAAAAATTGTACAATAAATTTGCTGGGAGTACCAAAAAAACCTTTAGTGACGAGATTAGACCTCTTGGTTATAAAAAAAAAAAAAATTGCGTAATAAATTACTTAGGCCTCATCAATAGTAACTCGGTACTTGAATACTTATTTTTTCTTCATTTTCATAAATACTTTGTCGCCGTTTTATTGCATAAATAAATTCATTTCAATTCTGCATTATCAAATCAGTAAAAACTATTCTGTTTTGGGATCCTCCTTGCTTAAAAATAAATAAATAAATAAATAAAAGGCTCGTTTTGCCAATAATTCTTGACCCAAATATAAAAAAAAATCCCATAAAAAAATGAACCTTTTGGGAGAAAAAAGGCCATAACTTGAATAGAAAGCGTCAAATTGCCCATTAGTTGGCCTTGGACCACAGCATGGTTCACACGCCCTCAGTCAAAATACAAAAGAAATTAGTTTTTTTTTTTTTTTCTTAGTCTGCAGTAGATATATCGAAAAACTCTAATTTCATGTTACTCCAGCGTGTATTTTGAATGTTATACAAGGAAATGGGGAAGATGTAATCTATACACCCCTCATTCCTTTACTTGGAAAAAAGAAAGACATTTCACAAAGATAACAAATGCTACAACAACAAATATTTCATCAGATACAAAGACAAAAAATGAGGAAGGATTGAATAACTATCAAAGAATTATATTAATAATGATAATTCAGATTATGGGTTCAATTTCAATTTTGTTCTCCACATATCTCCAATGACCTTCCTAGGAGCCGGATCATCTGGACCTTTGTCTCGTTGTCCAGAGGTAAAATACAACCATCCATTCCAAAATCCAACTAGTGTAGTTTTCACTCGATAAGGAAGTTTTCCGATGACTGACCACTTCTGCAACACATTAATTTATCACATATCATGTAAAACAGTTTTACATACAAGTACGATATATCGATAGCAATAGTACACATTCGTGTAAGTTCTAAAAGAGAGAATTCTTACCAGAGTGCCCAAGTTAAACTGGAAGACTTCCCCAACTAGGACCATCCTTTTAGTTATAGGATGCTTCTCTGTGGTGCCTCCGGCAATAACAATGGAATTATTAACGACCGCCCATGCAAATTCAATGTGAGAATCAGGCTTTGGCATAGGAGGTAAAGTTTTCCACTTCATATCATCATCCAACATGTAGACATCATCAAATACTACCTGAAACCATAAGAAGGCTAATTATCATATATATCAGACAAGGGAGAGATTTTAAAATTTCACACAGCTATGACATGAACGCAACACCGCTTTATAACTAAATCAGGCAGCCCATGAATTGGGAGGACTTCAGACAGGGATCATAGTGAAAGACATAGGTAAACTCTGTGGATGCAGGCACATTGTTGAACCATGTGAAATTTCGGTCTTGCTTTTTTTTTCCCTCTCACTTTGTGCTTGCTCTCTTTGTTCGTGTGTGTGTGTGTTCCGTGAATGCCACCACATCCACCTCCATGAATTCTGCACTACATCTTGCCTGCCATTGGGACAGCATCAAAAGTGGGCTAGATCTTGTCTGCCATTAGGCGGCCAGCATCAGAAATGAGTCTGCTAGGTGCCATTCCACCTCCTAACCTTGACACGTCTAGTCCTTGGTAACTTCACTATGTCAGCACTCAGCACTGAAGTACAAGCTGAAGTGAACTAGCATATATTAGGCAAGATGTTCAAGGCCTATGTCTTTTCTCCTCATTTAAATTTTTCACTGGGAAAAGAAGACCAAAGGAAGAAAACTCAACTGGAAAGAGGATTTGAAGACAAAAGCTGACCCATCTACCTATAGCGAATTCCATCAAATAAGCTCCTTTTTTTTTTTCTTTGGATCATTAAATACCATTTTGGGGAAGGGAAAAAGATAAAAATATATGAAGTATTTAATTTTGTTTGCCTTCAACATCAATATAATCAAAATAATTTTGCTTTGACAACAGCGTAAGGCAATTGACAGCTAATTTGTATCAAAATAAAAGTCCTTGAATTAGTTGAAGATAAAAAAAATGTCTCGATTGAACATTTGATACAAAGAGTGGCTAGAAGCTTATCTATTAGGCACAATTGATTATCTTAAAAGCATATTTGCCCCAATCCCCGAAATGCAAGTCCAAAGGTATTTTAAAAAAAGAAAATTTAAAGCAGATTTTTCATAATTCACAAAAAATTTTACACCATAGAAATCAATAAAGTGGTGATGAAAGATTATAAATAAATAAATCAATCAATAAATAAAGCCCCAAGTTATTTGACTCTTCCTCTCTCATCTTTTTTCTTTCCCTATTGATCACCTATTTCTATTTCCTCCTTACCTTCCCCAACAGATTTCTAAGAGCCTAAAATAAGTTGTCCCTTCCTCATAAGGAGATAGTGACTTGCAATTTTTTTTGGGGGGTCTCAAATATGGATTTCAATGTTCGTGTCCTTCATCCTTTTTCTCTTATTCCTTTGCCTTGTTATGGAATATGAATTCTAGTAATTCTAGCAACAATAATTTCAAAAGAGATCCTACAAAAACACAAGCTTCTTAAGCCTAAAAAGAAGGAAGTACGATACTAATTTTGAATTTAGTTTGGTTTCTTATGATTGTCTGATACTAATTTTGAATTTTGTAGCAAATTTATTTCTTTTGCACCTCACATTTCAAAGGTGTATGATTGCACTTTGCAACTAGGCTCCAACCCCCTTTGCCCTTAGTGTGCCTTGGCCTATAACAACTATGACAAAAGTACAAAACCATTCTCCTCTCCTCCTTTATTCACCCCCCAGCTTTCATGAGGTCTCTGATTCCTTTTACATTATCAACCTCCATCAATGGTATGTGTGGGAATCTTGATTTTCCTCAAGAAAATAAGCATTTTTCATTTCCAATAGAATCTATACACTGCTAATTTGACGCTTATAAGCCTAGATGCTTAAACACTAGAAACACCCTGTTAAACATGAATAAAACCAAGAAAAATCACTTAAATAGCTTAACAAGGGAAGAATAAGAGAAGGTTTGCACATACCGTAATGGAGAAAGAAATTTCTGTAAAATGTTGATGCAAACCTAACAAAAAATAAACGAAAAATACTAGTCAGCTTACCTCATTCCTGCGAGAGCACTTGAAGATAGGTGATCCAGGTTTGGCCATAAAATCACCTTCTTGACCACCAATGACAAGAAGTCTATCATTAACCACAAGACAAGCCCTGCACAAAGTTATTTTTTTAAGAAAATGAAAGCATAAAACATTTTTGCAACACCAACCAAAATTTGAAAGATGCTAATTTTATTTGCCAAAATAGGAAACATTCACATGGAATCAGGCAATATAAAATTTCAATAAGTTATACATTCAAATTTTGCTTACTGAACTTGTTAAATTCTATGTACATCTGATTGAATTTATGAACCCTGGACTTTTCATTTGGGATAAATTCAAGAAGCCCTATTATCAACCCAAAAATCTACCTAGACTGTATAATAAGCATTAAAAAGAGCTGCAGGTAGGAGTGGGCAAGATATGAAAGTCACACAACCCAAAAATGTTGAAGTAAGCCACGGGATGACAAAGAGACAAGTTAAAGAAGAGCGGAGAAGAGCATTTAACTAGAATGCCACCAATATGTTCTCAACAAAAGAACATTGTAATTTTTGAGAGTTTAAGTGAGCAATAATGCAATAATTATGCATCAAATTCTAAAGAGGAGAGAGAGAGAAGGAGGGAGAAAATGTGTGTGTGTACCTCCCCCTTCAGGATTAGAAAAGAAGGCATGTTTTTAATGTTTGGCAGACCATGTCTAAAAAATCATAACAATAAAAAGAACGAACAAAATTGCATTTTAAACTATTTCATGATTGTTTCCTTGGGAAGGTTCCAAACTATGGCCAGTCAATACTAGAATAAAGGAAGTGATAAAATGTAATATTTATAAGCTAAAAGCATAATTACCTATCGACAAATGTTCCAAATCAGAATGCATAATTAGCTACCTATATTTACTGATGCAATAGAAAGATACAGTCAGACTTTACTCATAATGTAGTTCAGTCCACAAACCTATGAGGACCTCCACGGGGTATTGGTATCTCTGTCCTCCACTCTTTTTCTAATGCTTGGCCATCCTTTACAGCAAGACTCCAATGCTCCAATCCTGGAGTGTGTCGATTTTCCTTGCTGCCACCCATCACATGAAGCCTACCTCTCCATAGTGTAGTAGCTGGTGCATACCTGAGAAAGAGTATAGTTAACACTTCACCAAAAAGTCAATTAAAATTAAATGTTCATTAGCTTGTTATGGTTGTTGGTTGCCTTTTCTTAATATTTAATTCAAAATATAAAAGCAAGTATAAGCTGTACATAATCAAATATAAAAGAAATAAATTGGATTCTTCCAGAATTCTCTCAGCTCTCCTATTTCTCTCTTTCTTGTGATCTCTTTCAATCACTTTATTCTCAGACTAACAACATTCTCCAGTTAGGATTTTAACTCGTAACAGAATTCTTTGCTTCCTGACGAGGAAATGGATCCATATAGCTCACCGTAATTAGTTTGGAAGTAGGACTTATTCAGCTCAGCCGCATATAATTTCCAATAAATTATTCTGCTACTATCAGTTTTTGTATAATTTGATTTGAACATTGGATAACCACTCTTGCAAATCAATCATACGAATAATAACAAGAGATATTTTTGTCTCAGAAGTTACAGCTCAACATCTTAGACATTTAGACATCAATAAATGCTACTAACAACCAAAATAACTGTAATAAATCAAGAAAAACCAAAAGTGCAAGGAGGGAGGGAGGGAGGGAGATAGTAAATGCTGCCATATGAAAATAAAATAACAATGACTGAAAAATAGGCCTGTCCATAGAATTTCTGAAGTTAGTATCTTAGAATCATGCATTGTAGAAGTGAGATTTTGCTGAGATATTTTACTGTTATAACCTGTGTTAGTTAAGAAGGAACGAAGTCCTTGTTTATTGGAAGATAGCAAGGTTAGATGTCTTGTTAGGTAAGAGTTGTTATTGACTAGATAACCTTTTCTGTCTATACATCTCTCTATAAGGGATATGCTGTAACAAAAGAAGTGTCTAACAATAGAAGTGAGGAAAAGAGAGTGATGAAAATGAAGAGAAAAAAAGAAAAAAAAAACAATCTATCTTCTGTTTCTGCAATTTATGAATTCTGAGGTCAGAGTTTGAATTCTCTCCTTTCCAGCCTCTTTTCGTTATATTAATGTTTAAGCTTGTGCTGTACGTTTTTGAGAAATTCAAAACGCCGTTCTTTCATATTTTCCAACATCATGGAATACCGAACTCACGTGTTAGCGCGCGCGCACACACACAAAAACACACAAACAAAAGAAAGAAAAGAAAGAAAAGTGGAAGGATTTACATGTGAACTACTGTGTGAATCATCGGTACCCAAAACCATCCAATCAAAGCAACCAGATGCGAGAGTTCTGTTTATATGCAACAAATGCAATGAAAATAGAGCATGTGTTTACAGAGCACTGAAAATGACATATGAAGGATATAGGCTATAGCCTATAGGTATATTATCAACAGACCACACAATCCTAAACTATAAAAAAGGAACATTTTGCGTAAAGCTAATTTATTCTCAAAGAAAAAATTACAAACAAGTGAAGTTCACTAGTTCAACCAATGTTATTCATTAATAACATATAATTCATTTCTATCTAGTTTTATACAAGCACATACCGAGGAACTGGAAGGGGTGGCATGTCCCGCCATTGCTTTGTCACAGTATCTAAAACAAACGTACGGGCTGTAGGGCCTCTGCATTGTGGACCATATTGTCCTGTAACAACATAAATGTATCTACCATCTGTCACCATTCCCAAGTGTGAATGTGCCATTTCTTTCGGCATATCAAATCTCCCTCCCCATGTGTTATCCGAAAAATTGTAAATATCGACGTGTGAATGCACCTGTTAGATATATGGAAAACAAAAAGAAAACAACAGCAATATAATTCTATTAAATCAACTAATTAATACTGGAAAGATCATTCAACATATGATCCACTGGACAAAACAATTTATAAATAACGCGTTCCTATGTACTTAAATAATTGAAACAGTTAATTGAAATTAGACGAGTTCAAGAGAAAAGAAGTTCATGGACAGATAAACAACGAATCTCGAATTGTGATCTAGCTTTTAGTATGAGCTTATTTGGAACACTGAAAATGAGAATAATAAAAGTCTCAATCCACCTTATCCACAACCTATCCAAAATTCAACTAATTCAAGCCTGAGTTTCTCAAAATTTTTGTTCTCCTCACTAATTGAGCTTGAAAGTGAATTCCAAACCACCTAAATCACAAAATTAATTAAACCAATTTAAAGCAAGACACAATCATTTTCTCACTGTCAATGAATGTAATTATAAGGGCATGTCAAGTGAAGAAATATTAAATTTAATTTTTCATTTGTTTCAAATGTAATGTTCAATTGAAGTCTTGGTATTAACATAGGGTGTACACCAAACAGAATTGAATTATTAACAAACCCCCCAATATTTTTTTTTTTTTTTTTTTTTTTAATTGAAATTAAGACGAGTTCAAAGAGAAAAGAAGTTCAATGGACAGATAAACAACGATCTCCGAATTGTGATCTAAAGCTTTTTAGTTGAGCTTATTTGGAACAACTGAAAAAGAGAATAATAAAAGTCCTCAATCCACCTTATCCCCACAACCTATCCAAAAATTTCAACTATTCAAAGCCTGAAGTTTCTGCAAATTTTTTTTTGTTCTCACGCCTCACTAATTGAGCTTGAAAGTGAATTTCCAAAAACCCACCTAAATCACAAAATTAATTAAACCAATTTAAAGCAGAACAACAATCAATTTTCTCACTGTCAATGAATGTAATTATAAGGGCAAATGCAAGTGAAGAAATATTAAATTTAAATTTTTTCATTTGTTTTTCAAATGAAATGTTTCAATTGAAAGTCTTGGTATTAACATAGGGTGTAACACCCAAACAGAATTGAATTTTTTTATTTATTAAAAAAAAAAAAAAAATATATTAAAAAAATTAATAAAAAAAAAAAAAATATAAAATATAATAAAAAAAATTATTTTTATTAATAAAAAAATAAATAAATTAAAAAAAATAAAAAATTATTTATTATTTTAAAAAAAAAAAAAAAAAAATAATTAAAAAAATATAAAAATTTTTTTATATTTATTTATAAATTATAAAAAATAAAATAAATTTAAATAAATTAAAAAAAAAAATTAAATTAAATAAAATAAAATAAATAAAAATTAAAAATATAAAAATAAAATAATAAAAAAAATTATATTAAATAAATATAAATTTATAAAAAAAAAATTTTTATATAATAAATAAAAAAAAAATTATTATTTAATAAAAAATATTATTATATTTTTTTTATTATTTATTATAAAAAAAATAAATTTTATTATTGTAAAAACCCCCCAATATTTTTTTTTTTTTTTTTTTTGTAAATAAAATAAACTCTTTCTTAACTTTTGAATGTTTTTTTTTTTTTTTTTTTGTAAATAAAATGAACTCTTTCTTAACTTTTTGATGCAAGAATAGAAGTCTAGAATTTTAGTTTTACTGTTCTCGCTAATGTAGCACATGCTAGTGTAGCAATTTTATAATTTTTTGGTTATTAAGTATTTCTATTAATCTGGTCGAAATTTCAGTCTCTTTGTCCTCTCTTTTCAATATTCTCTTTTCCTGTCTAACTTAATTTAGAATGAGGGTAATTTTGCTGCACCACTTTTCTTCTTCTTTGTTTAAATGGAATTAAGAAGCATTGAGCAAATTACTCTAGCAATTAAATCAACCATGAAGAAGAGCAATACTAGACAAACCAGAAAAGGTTCTCACATAATCAATTGTTCCATATCCAGCAAACACGTATAAAAGATTCTTAATCTGTATGGCAGCCCCATCGAGGCGCGGCACAGGTGCAGCAGCCATTTTCTCCCATTTTAATTCTGGTGCAGGCAAATCAGCAAATGTTGCTGATAGGAATCTTCCAGGAACGTCCTTCTCACCATTGTCATTCTTCTTCTTCTTTTCTTTGTGAGCTTCTGCCTAATATATCACATGAATTCATGGTTTATTCTAAAGTCTAAAACAAAATTGCATTTTCAGACATGCTATGATTATGATAAACTGAAATATCTAGCACAAGTTCAATGTAGACACAAAGCAAATAAGCATCAGATTGTTTTTCTGAGATAAGAAGTAAAGACATAGCAACTGCAATCAACTCATCGACTACCATCAAAAGGCCCTCACAATTCCCTTGAAACCCAAATCATAAAAATTTCAGGGTCCATAATCCTAATTAGATTTATATCTTTGCAAGAAATTAGATGAACAAATATACAGAGTGAAAAGTAATAACACTAAGAGCAATGATCTGGTAATATACAGAATAACAAAGCCAATATAATTAAGTTGAGTGAACCACATTATTACGTTAGTTAACTTGGTTGCGATTAATGGAAGCAGAATTACATTGCGTTTGAAATAAATTAACAAGAACTTATTTGATTAGCGATCGAATTTCATAAAAAAGAAGATTGATCCATTAATGAAGTCTTATGTTTGGTCTGTTATGTTTTACATATGGAATGCATGTCAAATTCGCAGCCTAACTAGCTAGGAACCTTGTTAGTTTACGATCCATTCTGCAATTTTTCTGGTAGAATTCAGCTCAACTATAACTAATTCCGTAGAATTAAAAATGTAGAATTTTAAATGATGCTTTTTGTTTATACCAAATATGATATGAACAAGCCACTCTTTTCACTTTTCAGAATTTCCTCTTAAAACTTGTTAAAGAAAAATGCAAAGGCATATACCTTAACAGGTGGGGATTTAGTATCCTGAACTGGATCTTCCTTTCTGGGGATAATTAATTCGGTAACAGAATTATCAACAGCAACCCAATTGGAGAAACGAGGAGAAGAAGCCCACAAATAATTAGCAATAACTCCAAACCCTAACAATCCAACGCAAGCTAACAACAGCTTCGTTGATTTCTGCTTCCCTGGTGCGCGTACCATCTCATGTCACTATCAATATCACACTTCGTCTTTGTATGTATATATATCCCTCCACGAATTATACGAAGAAGGAAGTGAACTAAGCAATGTCAATAAAAGCTTAAATACACTGAACTAACTATAGGGGAAAAAACAGAGAATAAAAAACAGTAAACCAATATAGATCAAGATCGATGAATTGATTCTCTTGCAGTTTCTCGGCAAGCAAACAAAGAATTGAGATAGTGGCTCACTTCTTTGGGAACTCAATTTAAGTGCAATTGTAGAGAGAGACAATAAAAGAGAAAGGGAAGATTTGCAGATTTTGTGAGAGCAAGAGAGTTGAGCTGGCAGCGAGGAGGAAGACACTAAAGCCTTGTTCTTTTTTTTTTTTTTTTTTTTTTATTGCCTGTTCTTGTTTTTTATTTTTTTTTTTTGAAAAATATGATTTTGATTGGGTAATTAAGGAAATATCCATTTAACCTCAATTGCAAAACAAATTCGATTAGATATCTTTTTTTTCAATAGATGGCACCTACCAAAATTCGACAATGATAAATCGTACAATAAAAATCTATATATATACAAAAAAAAAAAAAAAAAAAGATTACCAATAAAAGAAAGAGAAGAAATATAAGAAAGAAATTTCTATAAAATAAAAATGGGAAAGTGAAAATTTTTTCTTTATATATTTTTTAAACTTATTTATTTAATGTAAATGGTATTATTTGTTAAATAAATTAGTTAATGTGTATATTAATTACAAATTAATGCATTAGGCGAAACTATTTTTCTTTTTTAATGAATTATTTGACTTTTAGTATCACATTGATTTTGGAAAGTGAACTTCTTTTAAAACAAAAATTATAAGATTATGTATGAAATTAGGTGACTATTAATATAATTTATCTTACTATCTTTGTTATTTATATTATTTGAGTAGGTAAATTACGAAACTTCATTTTTCATTTAATATTTAGTTAGCGGCTAATTAAACAAAAGAGTTGTAAGAGCATTTTCAATACTAACATGAATTGCTTTTATTTAATTGCCGCATCAAAAAACTAAAAAGATTTTTTAAAAATTATTATTCTCCACTGCTAATGTCTACTCGGTATGTCAAACTGATATGTGAAAAAAAATAGACATTGTCTAACACACCTTTTATTTCTAGATGGTCTCTTAGACAGTATAGACATTTAGACAATGTAAATATTTATTGTTTTACAATGATTTGTTGACTATTAAGTTGTGGACTCAAGTAAGAAAAGAATGGAACATGATTCATATTTAGTACATCAGAAAGATATTTTTAAAATTGAACTTCTATAGACATTCAACCACAATTCACGTTATCATTGAATATGCTTTAAAAAAAAAAAAAAAAAAAAAAAAAGAGTATTTCGACCTAGATTAAAACCACTTTAAAAAAAAAAAAAAAAAAGAGTATTTCGACCTAGATTAAACACTAAATTACTATATTATTATTGGTTATTGCTCATTAATTATTTATATAGTTGTTTAAAACAGACATATTCAATACAATAATTTTAAAACCGAACTGCATAGTTTATGCATTTGGTCATTTATAAATAAATACTTTTAATGCATATTATAAAAGCATTTTTTTACTTTTTTTTTTTCGAGGAATAACATTTTTACCCTTAGGCTTTGTTCGACAAAAGCATTTAAAGGAACTTTTAGAGTTTTGACTACGCCGAAATACCATTTTGGTGTATTATTTTGTTCGGCGAGATAGTTTACAAAACAAATTTTAATGGATAATATAGCGTTTATTCAAACTCTATCCCATCTAACGTTTATCATTTCACTTTTTTTGATTGAAAATTTGTTGATAATCCTCCTCTTAATTTAAAATTCTTTTGTTATTTCAATTGCCTCGTTTCCAACTGTATGTATAAATCTCTGCGTAAATCTCTTGCTCAGTTAGTCCAAAGCCTGATTGCTATGGCACCGCAACGATACATCCTTTTATTTACACTCCTATAACATTTGTTTTGACATTCTTTTGATAGAAAAATAAGGTGAAAGCTTTATTTGACATTATCTTGATAGAGAAATAAACATTATTTAATCAGCTATTTTTTATTATATTGAATTCTCTTCTATAGTCAAGTTAAAATTATAATTCAATATTTTAATATTTTTTTTTATTATTTTAAATTCAACAGCTAATTAAATAATTATTTTTACCGCACATTTTTGCTTTAAACAACTAGACAAATAGATAATTGTTAAAATAGCTAACACATACCAAAATAACAAATTTTGTTGAATAGACCCTTAATGTTTGGATATTTGGAATAAAAATAAAGAGAAAAAAGATTTTATAAATAATAAAATTACAAGTTTAACTTTTATTTTTTACAAAAAAAAGTATAATAAATAGAGATAAAATTGTTATAAATAAAATAATTATTTTAATTATTTTTTTAAATTTTCTCTCAATTAAAAAAATAATGATGTATAGATTCCGTGATTTATTTTCTTTTTATAATATTATTCCTCTCATATTTTCTTTATTTTCGAATAAGCCAAGAAAAAAGAATTTATTTTCCTTCTCAATTTGTTTTACCTCATATTTAAACTTATGACGTGAACTAAGGATTGAATTTGCGGCTGAACTTGAATACAATATACAATTTATCCAAAAATTAATTTTTTGTATAATTTGCCTCTTGAATTTGTATAAAAAAAAATGTCTAATTTTTTAAGAGAAACTTTTTTTATAATTTTAACTAATAAAAAATATTTAAAAAATTACAATTAGAAAATAAAAAAGTATTTAAAATATGATAATAATTATAAAAATTTACAGTATTTGATATAAAACTAATTTAACAAATATTTGATTTGACAAAACTTATAGAATCAGAAAAAGATTTGATTATATTGAAATATTTGGTTAGAAAAATATTTATTATTTTTTGTTTGATTATTTTTTAATCATATTCTATTTAAATTAAATATTTAATTATTTTTTTAATTATGTCTTATATATATTAAATAATTTATTTTTTGGATAAAAATTAGTCAGTTTGTAGTTTTAGTTCAAGTCCAAGGCCCGGGGAATTTGGCAAATCAAGTCTTATTCTTATAACTAAAAGCTTTTAAAACTATATTTCTGAATTGCCATTTTTGCCCACAGTCTTCTTCTAAAATCTCCACACCGCCACTCTTTTGCACTTTAGGCGCACTCATAAACATAAAGCACGAAATGCTGGAAACCGCCGACCTCTGCGGCTCTGATCATCTCAATAGAACTGCCTATCCCTCTGCACGTACGCAAATAATATAGCAAAAATGGGAAAAGGGGATGATGCAGTGACGAGAAAGAAGAACAAAGCAAAACGAAAGAAACTGAATAGAGACAGCTCTAATGTCTCAGCTCGTGTTGCTTCTATTATTGCCGCCAAGAAGCGCCGGCTCTCTGGTAAACGTCGAATGTGCCAGGTAAACTAGACATATACAACTGGGTTTTTTGGTTTAACTGCCACTGATTATTTCATTTTCTTTCTGGTCATAATTGGAGTTTGGTCTGTAGTTTTTTTTTTTTTTTTTTTTTTTTTTTTTTTTTGGGTTTTTTTTACTCGTTTTTTTTTTTTTTTTTTTTGGTTTTTTTACTCGTTTGTTGGAGAAGGGAAGATTGGTTTAGAATGTTGTTTGAAGTCATTGGACAATAATGAATTGAGATGTGGGATTGACTTGTTTTTGTTGTTTTTAAATCACGAATATAAATTATATTGCTTTGGCGCGGTCAAATTTTCTTATGGTGGCATTATCGGTTCTTATGTAGTTCGAGCATTGCTAGTGTCATTTGTAATTAGCAAGAGAGAACAGAAAAAAACTGGGAGTTCAAGGTGTGGGCTTCTTTTATTTTGCAATTAGCACAATCCATTGTGTTTTAGCAACAAAAAAAAAAAAAAAAAAAAAAAAAAAAAAAAAAAAAGCTAGTTTTCGTCTGTTACGGCATCGGGATGTTTTAGTTGTTATTCTGCTTTTTTGTTAGTGATTTTTTTTTCTATTTTTTTTTTCTTGAGTAAAGTCTTTTTCTGTTGGTTGGATTATGCTATCGCAGAGTTTTCCTGAAAAAAAAAAAAAAAAAAAAAAAGCTAGTTTTCGTCTGTACGGCATCGGAGTTTTAGTTTGTTATTCTGCTTTTTGGTAGTGATTTTTTTTTTCTATTTTTTTTCTTGATAAAGTTCTTTTTCTGTTGGTTGGATTATGCTATCGCAGAGTTTCCTGAACTAGCTAATGTTGATGCAAAACATAATAAGATATCTTAAGTTACAGTTCTAACACTTTCTTTTTAGCTTTTGATATGAAGCCTGAACTAACATTAAAATCAAAATTAAAATTTTAAACTTAGTAATCATTCCCTCATTTATCTTGCTTTCTTGCCAATTTTAAAAGCAATTACAATTATCTGAATTTCCCTTCACTTTTTTCTGCATTTCCTTGTCAAAGGAAACAAATCCAATTTCTCCTCCATTCCTTCCCTTTTTCTCCACTTCATAAAAACTCATACCTTCTGTATCAGATCTGTTGCTTTCAAAAATTTGTAACGAGTACATTTTTCTTTTTAGATACTCTTATGAAACCTTCTCTATAACAGAGGAATCAAAAAATAACTTTTGCACTAAGTTTGGAGAAAGATTTTCATAACTATATAAATAAACTAAAGTTATCTCATGTTTTGGATAAACAATTTGGCAATATTTTGAATTGTGTGCTTAGCTTGTTATGATACCAAGTTGTTATACTAGACATGTAATAGTGTCACTGTCTCAGTCATAAGCTTTTCTAAATGAATTTTAAGATAATCAAATTTTAAACAGGTGTAATCACTGTCTTGGTTGTTAGTGTTTTACTAAGTCATCTGTAGTTGCTGATGCTATTGATTGATACAGGTCCAAACTGAGATGAGTTTTAATCTGCATTGTTTCATCTTACTTGATTCTGATATGTTGCTATTTTCGGTCATACTCAATTGTCAAACTTTTAGAGCTCATTTTATTTGACTGGATTGTTATTTTTCTCAGACAATTTGACTGGATTATTGAATAATATTAACTTTGGAAATTTGGAAATTAATTATCTTTTTAGTTTAAACTTTCTCTCCTATTATTTTGTTTGTTTCAGTAGCTTTTGTTATCAACATTGTAAATTATACTTCTTGATGTCTCTTCACTTTTTCATATGTTATTGTCATGAAACAGGGAATGTGTTTCAGTCTTCCTACTCCAGATGATCCTTTCAATGATCAGCATGGCAAAATGGATTTTAAAGTAAAGGATAAAAAAAAGATTGTTCCACCTCAAGTAAAAGAGAGAACGTTAACTCGGGGAAAGAAGGCTTCTCTGAGTAAGGAAACCCCTAGCAGGAATAATAGAGAGATGAACAATCTAGAACAGAAAAATGAGAAGTTTATGAATTTAAGGAGTGAAATGAAAAAGTCCAATAATAATTTGGTGAAGAAGAATGCTATCGCCAACAGAAATAAAATGATTCAGCTGGATGGGAAAGATTATAATCATGAACAACAGGCCTGTGAAATCTCGGACTGTCCATCAAAGTTTTTTATTTTATGCTTGAATGCAATAGAGAAAGCATTACATCATGAGGGTACCTATAACAATGAGGACAAGCCTCTATTTGTTAACCCTTGGGGAGTTGAATTTTTGAAATGTTTTTCAATGGGACAAGACATACTGGAGACAAGTGGATCTTTGTGTACAATTGAGCAAATTGCATGGATCATTTCTATTGCTGCTGATACTATTGCAAGAAAAGAGAAAGAAGGACTATCACTTGCTAGTCCATTTCTTCTATTCCTTGTACCATCCCAAGAAAAAGCTGCCAAGGTTAGTCATGTCTTTAAGGATATTTCCTTCTGATTTAGTGATTTATAAGTTTCCTTGAATTTAATAGGTTCTTCTTTTGTTTCATTGTGCAATGGCTATTTGCCCATTACCTGTCCATTATGAAGTGGCACTTCATTTATTTATACTTGATGTATGTTTGGACTATTAGGCCTATTTCCTGATAACCCCTTGAAGAACTACATTAAGCTGGATATTACTGCTTATCTCTTGTCGCTGCTTGAGCATTTTACCTAGGCTGGCAGTTCGTGTTTTGCCATGTTACTCATGTTGTTCCACTTGTGTTTAACTGTTTTTAATTGTGTTGTATCAGCCACAACTTAAGAGAAAACAATATACATTGAACTCAATCTAAATATTAGTCCTATAGATGTATAATATTGTTATGCCATTTACATGAAGTGGTAGTCACTTGTTTAGGACTTCTTATTTATTTGTTAGCCAATATAAGATAGTGGTAATGTTCTTGCTTTTATGCCTAACCTGTGGATGTATGTTTTCTGATTTTTTATCTTCTAAATTATGCTAGGTACGTTTGGTGTGCAAACCTTTGAAAGATCTTGGCATACATACAGTGAGTTTGCATCCTGGTGCTTCGTTGGATCACCAGATTCGTGGGTAATTCAAGCTTGCCTTTAGTTTAGTTGTTTGTTACAGACTGATTGATTTCTTGTGTGTGCATGCTTGGGCATGCTTGGAGCCTTGTGCAGTTGTGCTTGTGCAGGTTACATATGCACAATTGTATATTTTTGTTTAGTTTCCTGCTAACTATCCTTGCTTTGCTTATGATATATTTACATATTCATTTCGCATTCAGTCATTGATCATGTCTATTAACTGTATATGCATATTTGCTTTTCTTAACAATTGAAGTTCATCATTTTCCTTCTCTCGCTAAATGGTTTTCCCCTCTTATATAGCTTGAAGAGTTGTGAACCTGAGTTCCTTGTGTCCACACCTGAGAGACTTTTGGAGCTTGTTTCTTTGAAGGCCATTGATATATCCAGGGTCTCCTTTTTGGTAATACATCAGCTGAAAATATATTAGAAATTTTCATTAGTACTTTATCTGAGATACTTTCTCTTTCCTGCTCACTTCATAGATAGTTTGCAAAAGGAGTCACTTGTAAAGTTTAGAAGGAAATAATGATGATAGTTAAATAATCTCAATTTTTTCCTTTACGCATTGTTGGTTTTTGCTTCTGGGTGAGTATTAAACCCTTTTTTTTTTTGAATTTCTTTTACAATGGATGGACATAAAGCGATTAAGGCTTCATTTTTTTTTTTTTTTGGAAAAAAACTTGCATTTGGAAAATATTTTGAGGAAAATGTTCTACTTGGAAAATATTTTTCAAACAATTCATTTTTTGTCATTTGGTTGCAATATTAATAGTTCAAAAAATATTAGAACTTTTAATTTATAAGCCTGTGAAAATATTTTTGATTTATTAAAATTTTATATTTTAGAAGTTATTGCTAAATATGAGAAAAGATGCATAGAAATGATAAGTTGTGGCAGTTGCCTGTTACTTGTGTTGGTGTGGTGGCCAACAGTGGCAGGTAACTTGTGGTGGTGTTGATTAGTGGTAATAATCATTCATGCTGACTATCAGTGATTGATAGAATAATAAATGTGTGTTTGTGGAGGTTTTAACAAGTTTTTCAATATTTGGAAAATGTTTCTCTGTTGTTCTCTTCAATATATGTTCTGTTTTTTAAGTTCAAAGATGATAATGATATGGTATTTGGTTATGTTGGTTTCATCAATATTCTGGGTTGCAGAACTGTCATTAATAGTATGTTATGTGATCAATTATCTCATCTGGATTTATTTATTTTATGCATGGATAGGTTGTTGATGGACTGGATTCTCTTTATCAAGATGGTTCCCTTGGGATCTTAAATTCCATTAGGCAATGTATTTCTGGAAATCCTAATACCGTGGTTTTCAACAATTTCTTTAGCAGTGCTTGTGTTCCAGCTCTGCAAAATATTCTTACGGGATCAATTCATAGATTGTGTCTTAATGATTCCATTTGCAGTCAGAGTGCATGCATTGTCCAAAACATTAATGTGTGCTCTTCTGAAGAAGAAAAACTTTCAAAGGTATGTAAATGCAATATCTAGATGCCTACTTTTCATGTTCAATTCTCTGTGTGGATTTTAATGTATGCTACTAAATTCTATATATAATGTTGCATTTGTTTTTCAATTCTTACAACATGGATACTCATTGGTTCTGTCTTATTCCATATTTACTACGTCCTATTTTTGATACTTTGTCTTGTGATAGAAAACTGTAATCTTGTTGTGCTTCAATCGATACTTGAGGCTTGGTGTTAGTCTCAATGCATGAGGCATATTTAGTTTTCTCTGTTCATGTTATTAATAATAATAGGAATAAGAAGATGAATCATAAATTGCATGTGGAGAGATTATGATGATATGTAAAAATATTATAATATTGATTGATTCAACCTGATTAGGGTGTTTTAAAGAAACTTGTGGTTTGCCTTGATGTATATTTTGGTCCCTTCTGTTCAGAATTTAGGATTTTCAATCCCTATACTACCATTGTTGAAATATACAAGATTTTGAGGGATTGTTGTTTTAAAATTTTATGGAGAAATGTGCCATCTAATTTAAATAATCAGGGATTAAAATGTGGTAACAAATTCATAATTTTGTATCTAAAATTGTAAATGGAGGATTTTTGTAATTAAGGAAAACATTAGGGCATATTTTGTTAGAAGAACATAAACTAAATTCAGATTTATGTTGAAGTTAGAATAACATAAAGACCAAGTTATTTACGAAATGGTTGTGCATGTAATAAAAATGTGTCAAGCGAAATACTGTTTTCATTCAATCACATAAATTAGTCAAAATGCTTGGTTGTTCCCTCGATTCTTAGATAAGTGTGGGAAAGTTTGGTTTTGCTCCCTCTTCCTTTTTGTTGTTTTGATATATTTTTCTGATAAGTGATAAAGAGATATTGGACTGCATAACATAAATATCTTTGTCCTTGCTTGTGACATATAAAGAAAAACTTTGCGATCAAGGGATATTGATCACTTGGCTGACAAGCAAATAAAGCATGTATACTGCATATGATGATACACATTGATAATAGAACTTTAGGTGAACTAAGCTTGTTCAGGCAAATATAGATTTCTTAGCTAGCATGGTTTGGAATTGCCACAGTGTAATGGATGAAATTCTTCTTTAACCTTGAAACATGTTGAAATTGAAAAAAGGAAGTGGTTATGCTATGTCAACAAATCTCTCCAGATTCTTTCTTTTGTTCCATTTTATTTTAGAACACACCCTTCTCATCATAATTGCCAGTCATGGAAAATGTTATCTGCTTGTCTCCAGGTGTTGGAAGCAAGAGAGAATTATCTCAAAAATTTATGTCACAATCGTATGTTTATAGTTTGTAGTACTCCTATCTGTCTTGTTGAGTGCACAGCTTCTTGGCTTTTTTTGTTAATATTAAATCCTAGCAGCACTAGTGTTGATGAGATTTCATTCTTTCTTTTCCCTCCTCCCTTATATTTGGTTAATAAAACCATGTGATGTCCATCGACTTTTTGTTGAACTAGCACTTCCCTTAAAAAATATTGATAACAACAATTTTTACAGAGCATCCAAGTTTTGCGTGGCGCTTATGATAATCAACAATGCTCCCAACATTTAAGGGTGCTATATGTAGTTGGAAAAGATTGCAAGTCTGCTGATTTAGTTAAGGCCCTAGAAATAAATGGTTATTCTGTCTCAACTGGATCGAATGATGATATTTCAGATGTCGATAGCAGGTCAGTATATACAACCTGATATCTTCCACAATATTTTGTGTTGCATAGATTGATCAAAGTCATCATCTAGTGTGGTCTTGTTGACTTTGAACTCATGGGACTTAAGCTGCAACTCTTTTACTGCAAGCTACTTTGCATGTCGCAACATTAAATATTCTATTATTTAACTCATTATTCTCTATCTATTTTTCAGCCCGGATTTGGATTGCAGAATGAAACCTACAGTCTCTGTGATAAATACACAGGACATCGATACGTCTGACTTAGGCGTCTATGAGATTGTAATTTTACCAAATTTTGTTCTCTCCATTGACAATTATATACAAATTCTCACAAGAATGGCTCGGTACACTATCCATGGAATTTTGCATAGCTTATTGACTGAAGAAGATGCAATGCTTGCTGGACCACTGATTGAAATTCTTGAGCAATGTGGGCAGCCCGTGCCTGAAGCACTTAGGACATTGAAATCTTGAGACATCCATGTCAGAATCATGAAATTCAAGTTTCTTCCTATTCGTTATTCTAATTTTTTAACTGCAGTTTCGGTCTCATTGTTCCAATAGCCTGAGATTTCTACGCCAGAAACAGATAATTGAAACTTTCAGTTCAAATCTTCTCAACACCAGATGATGTTGAGTTTTCTCTGCAATGGGAGTCATGCTTTTTTTCGACAGTTGGGATAGTGAGCTACTGAACTAGAATCTGTGATTGTTGGTAATGAAAATTATGGATGTTGGGATTGAAAATACTTAGCAGTCATTTTTCATTTCTCTGGGTGGATATCATATCAGGAAGCATGTTAGAAAGATTGACTGTTCACTGTTGGGTGTGTATTCCTATCTTTCTACTTGCTTTATCATTTATTTGTGTTTCTCAAGTTTTCAGAATTTGCATTGTACTTTGCCCCAATTGCAAAATGATGGAATGTAATTTAAGGTTGAATGACTTGGGGGAAGGTTGCATAATGGAATATAATTGGACATTGATCTCTTAATCTGTTCTAACCTTCAATTGTTATTTTGTTGTCTATCTAATATTATTTGATTCAGTGACTAAATTATTTACTTCTCTTTTGATCGAGCTATTTTAAAACGTCTTCATCAAAATATGAAAATTCAAAAATATCTCTAGACTATGATAGCCATATGGTAAAAAGAAATAGTTATAAATTTTCCAACTGATGGGTTAAATTTATTGAACTATCTTTAGCCTAAGTTAATTAAGCATTTCTTAATAATTCGTCTAAGAACTTTAAAAAAAAAAAAAATTTAACACATTAAGATTCAATATCCAAATTCCAAACGAAAAATGTATTTTTACTATGTAACATTATGTCACTATAATTAATAAAGCAATATTCAATGGCATAATAACTTATATTAATAAATTACATAAATGAAATTAAATTTTATAATTTAACATGTAATTTCAGCATACATGAAAAACAAATACACTATTCTTAAAAAAAAAAAAAAACCATGATATACAAATAAAATTGTAATAAACATTTCTAATATTATTATATAATCACAGCCTTTCTAAATATACATGTATTATAATTATAAACTTTACAGTATCTAATGTTATTCTTAATAATAATAATAATAATAATAATAATTAATAATACCCAATCAATGAATTTTTGATAACTCATTCTAGAAAAGTTGTACTAAATTAAAAAAGAAAAAAAAAAAAAAAAGAATGATGATGACTAGGCATTTGGTAACTCAAATCATATTTGCAGTCTTGGCACAAAAGTTTTTTGACCAAAAATTAATGCATCTCTGTATATGATGGTTGGTGGACAATGCTGAATGGTGGGGTCTTATGTCCAATAACCAAAAATGATGTTCCATCCAACCAAAGACTAAATTAAAAAGATGAGGAATGGTTGATGAAATGGTGGTTCAGTGACTATTCATCTCCTTTCCTTCCTTCCTTCCTTCCTTTGACTCAGACATTACATCTATCAATTCCATTCATCACTCTTCTTTTAGACTTAATTACCAACCAATTACATTTGCAATCACCACGTAAAGTTCCATTCATATTTTCTTTGACGGTCGCTTGCTTGAGGTTTCAACATCTTCCTTATCTACCCCTTTCAGTCTATGTTCGTCAATAATTTTTGACTAGCTTTTAGTGTATTGACTGATGTTATATTTTACAGTGTTTGATAATATAACGTTTGAATTAATTTTTAAAGGTTAAGATATTATTTTATAAAAAATTAACTCATGTAATATTTAACTTTTAACGTTTTATGAAACGCTATTAATAGCTAACAACTATCAAAATAACTAATTTTATCGAATAGACTCTAGATTGAATTGCTCTAAAATAGACACCTAATGTAATATGCAATGCATTTAAAATATTGTAATTGAAGTTTGCTTGAATCGCAACAGTGTCTTACAAATATTTTAGTCCCAATCAAAAGTGTTACATAAATTAAAGAATTGAATTAAATATAGAGTTTAAAATTAATATGTAACGCTACACTTATCACAAATTAATTTTTACATATTATATAAATATTTTTTATTGTATAAATAATTCATATCTTGATTTGAACTTTTTTTTAAACAAAAATATTAACTTTATAAATTGCTTAAATCATGATATAGAACATCAACCGGGATAAATTAAGGACCTGCCTCTATTTTATCTCGTCAAAGAATCCGACACTCAAATAAAACATATGAGCAATTTAATTTACTGATTTTTTTTATATAAAAACGAAATTAACAAAAACGAAGCTCCTATAATAAAGCCTTACAATCATTAATTAAATCTGGATTAGGAGTTAAAAATACTCATTTTCTAATAATAAAGATTTCCTTCAACAGTTCAGTTCAACATTCTCTCCTTTCATTTTTTATTAACCATTAATTAAAAATTTCATTTATTTAAATTTATAAAGTAATCAACTTTATGCAATTTTAAATAATTTATTCTATGGCGCTCCTCTCTCTCTCTTTTCTCCCATTCACCATTATTTTCTTCCATTTTCTCCACTGAAACACAAACCAAGCACGTAGATATGGAGAGGGCTGATTCTTGTCTCTTGTGACAGTCTCTTGACAAACTTTTTTGCAAGTGTACGAAATACCAAACAAGTAATAAAGAGTGAGTAAAGTATCGTCTCACGAAAATTATATACCAAGTAGCAAAATTGTGTTAACATATTATTATTTAAATGACAATAAGAGAATGTATTTGAAAATAAAAGAGTTAAAGTAAAAACAATAAGAATGAGATCAAATAACAAGTTGTTGAAAAGAAATCAATGGTTAAAAGTTACTAGAGATTTTGACTTCACTTAATTCTATCTAGTTTATCCTATTAGTTTGATAATCAATTTTAATTATTCAAGAAGGCGAAATAACCCTAAATTCGCTATTAAGCTCTCTTGATGTTTTATTAGCTATTTTAAAATATTTATTATTTTAACATGACAATAAGAGAATGTATTTGAAAATAAAGAGTTAAAGTAAAAAACAATAAGAATGAGATCAAATAACAAGTTTGTTGGAAAAGAAATCAATTGGTTAAAAGTTACTAGAGATTTTTGAACTTCACTTTAATTCTATCTAGTTGATTCCTATTAGTTTGATAATCAATTTTTAATTATTCAAAGAAGGCGAAAATACCCTAAATCGCTATTTAAGCTCTCTTGATGTTTTAAATTAGCTGATGTTTTATTAGCTATTTTAACCCAATTCAATTACCCATCTCCCAATGGCACAATCAAATATAAATTAAATCATTAAGTTTTTGTGATTATTAAGAATTCATAAATTAAGAACTTTAATTTTATGAAAAACTCTCACGAGTTAAACCATCTAGCTCTCACATCAAGTTATTATTCCCATGAAATTTATTATCCTATTCATATCAAAAACCTTTCTCTCGACAGTGATTAATGAAATAAATCAATCCATGGGAGAAACTCTGTCTAGAAGCATTAAGATCAATAATAAACTTTACTTGATTAAAGAAAATCAAATCTAATATTATAAACTGAAGTTGAAGTAAGCTATATTATATCCCTAGTAAAGAGATTTAGTTTGACATAGTGAACAAATGAAACTCAATTAAATTTGTAAATAATCCCATAAAGAATAATAAACAAAAAGAGAGTTTAAAAATAAAAACTAGTCAATGATTGGCTTGACAAAAAGAAGAGTTAAAATAAAAACTAGTCAATGATTTGCAATTTGAGCCGGACTTCTTTGAAATGCTTAGATACCAATCCTTGAGAATTTGTAAATAATCCCATAAAGAATAATAAACAAAAAGAGAGTTTAAAAATAAAAACTAGTCAATGATTGGCTTGAGCGGCTTCCTTAAATCTTGATACCAATCTTGAGTGTTTGAAGTATTAAAGAGAGAGAAAACTATATAAAGAAAATAATAGAACCAGAGATAATATACAATGAATGGATCCCCTATGAATGGATAGTCTCTCTCTTTATATAGATTGTCTGATATATCTTCGTATTTGTTTAGGAAAGTAAATCTTTATTGATGAAGAAATTTTTTGCAGATATGAAACTATTTATGTTTTGTATTTCGCAATTAGGACTCTCTCAGTGTCTAAATAAGACTCCAGCTTTAATAAGGTACGTCTCATAATATCTTCATATAAATTCATGTAGGCAGCACAAGCTTAATATGAAATCTCAGCCCAAGTTAAACTCTGCAGAGTAGCACGGGGCTGCTGGGTAGCATGCCCTAGGTCTGCTACTTGCTGGAAGTCTTTGACAATTGGTCCTCTATTGTATTTTTGACTGATTTCCTATAAAAATCCTACAAAATTCCTCAAGATCAAGTGAAATATGATTCAATAAAACTTTATCGAAAAACATAAATAAAACTAAATAAAATCTAATTAGAATAATTAAAAATACTAAAAATCCTAATAAAAACTATATTAAAAATACTATAAAAATAACACCTATCATCCCTCCTCATATTTCTAGTTTTGTTGCAAGTTTTTATATTTTTTTTATTAATAAATTACATATCTATGTCTATTTTGGCATAGATGTATGTTATTTATGTTTCTACAATTGTTTTATATTTTATCTCCATCTTGCATGGAGTTTGTAATCTCTCCATTTTATGTGGAGTGTTTGTTTTATTTTATTTTTGTATTTGTTTAGTTTTATTTGGACTTGTATGCAATTTATGGAGAATGTTTCAACTATACGATGATCTTTGTCTTTTAGAGCCTGATAGTGCAGCATGTTCCTTTATTAAATTTAATGATTAATCCTCTGCGTTTATCATAAGTAATTAATTCATGGATAATTAAACCATGTATAGAAGATTTAGAGAGTTTATTAAACCAACCACTTTTGAAGATCTATCTATTTTTTTCAAGTTCACTTTCTAATTTTGATTATGATTTCTTGTTAGATCAACAAACATTAATTATTTTAGTTATAATAACTTTTGTTCTATGTCTAGTTTTCAGGAGAATGATCATGTCCTCCTTATAATATTTATATTGATTTGAAGTTTTTTAATAAAATCCTAATGTATTATCTTAAAAAAAAAAAAAAAAAGATTTCATGTCCTCCTTATAATAATTCATCATTTGATTTGAAGTTCTTTTAATAAAATCCTATGTATTTATCTTAAAAAAAAAAAAAAAAATTATTCGATCACCGTCTCTTCTCCTTCATTTTGATATAAATTAATGCTAGAGAGAATTGATTAGAATTCCGAGTATTAGGTGAAATTTATAAATATTCTTTTGAAAAAAGGTGAAATAAAATATACATTTAGTTAAATTTTAAAAGTATATTGTTTACAATTAGCTGATTTTAATTATTTTTCTTAATCATTAAAAAAAAAAAAAAAAACTTATTCGATCACCTCTCTTTCTCTTCATTTTGATGATAAATTAATGTAGAGAGAATTGTTAGAATTCGAGTAATTAGGTGAAATAAAATATCTTTTGAAAAAAGGTGAAATAAAATATAATTTAGTTAAATTTAAAAGTATATTGTTTACAATTTAGCTGATTTAATTATTTTCTTAATCACCGTATAAAAATTTTAAACGATAAATAAAAGTGAATAAAAAAAATATTTTAGGGAACATAAAATGGCTCCCATTAATTGAAAATCAACTTGGCTTGCTATGACTAATTAGTTAATTATAAGAAAAAACTTCTAATTTCTACATACAATAAGAAAAAATATATTACTCTTAATAATATAATCTACATTCTATAGAGTGCTAAAAGGTAACAATTTAATACTAATAAGAACTAGCAGAAATACCACTTCTTGCATAAACTCTAGAAATCAAAATTTTTTCTTTAATTAGTACTATCATAAATATTTAATAGCATAATTAATATGTATTAACATTTGAATATATTAATATTTATTACTATTTTTAAAAATAAAAATAAAATGAAATTAAGTTAATTCCAATATTTGTTGTAGTAGATTTTAGTACCCACAAACTGTTATGATTGACCCATTATTTTTTTTTTTTTCTCTTGCTTTTCCTTTTCTATGAACTTTCTTTGTCCAATGCAATCATAGATATTAAGAACAAAGTTAAGGAGTTTTTATTGGTACAATCAAATAAAACATCAATTCTCATTTGTGTGGTCATCATAGAAATTAACATCATTTGATCAATTATTTGGTTATTAATTAATTCTATGGTCTAACCACTTTTTTCTTTCATGAGATAATATTTAGGTCATCTCTTCTCATTAATTGATATTATTATAATTCAAGATACAAATTAACATTTCAAAAATGTTTTTGGGTCACTAACAAATTTTAATTGAATTTGAAAAGTGCTAATTATGTGCAGTTTGATTAATCTAAAATTTTATAATTATAAGAATTTTCAACAATTTGGTAAGTTTATATAAAAGTTATTTGCATAACCCATAAAATGATAGGGCCGAGGCGCGGATCTATATATATATAAATTCCCTTTAGATATGCATTTTTCTCAATTAACCCCTTTTAAAATTCAAAAGAAAATTTTTATCATAATTTATTACATATTCACCTCAAAAATTGTCTAGATCGCGAGTGCCGTGAGCTATGGCTTGTTTCAATTAAGAAAGCAATGACATGTCACTGATGACTAGTTATTATTATTCTTAATTGTTAGTGATTAACTAGTAATCATCATTATTTTCAAGAATATAAGCTTATCCAATCCCTTCGGCTGTTAAAAGGTTAATATCACTTAATATTAGAGTTTAAAAGGTTAATAGCATTTTTATTTTTGAGCACTCCTTTTAAAGATTTTTTTTTCCTAATGATGAGATAAATTTTTGCAAATGCCCCTCTCTCTCTCCCTCTTTCTTAGAAAATCTAAAACCTCTCTCCTTTTCTTCCATGTCGACTACCGGTGGTCGTCCATTTTTTTTTTTGTTTGGTTTTTTTGCAAATAATTCTCAGATTTGTAAACAGATATGAGTTATTGCCACCCATATATTAGAATGTATTGTTATCCATATATTGGAATTTTATCCTCAGATCTAGTTCTGAGTTATTGTTATCACCAATATGGTGATTTTGTTTAGGTCTTTTATTATTTGGATAGTTATTTAGAAAGAAGTGTATATCTCCTCTCCAATAGAAGAAAAAAATTTGAAGGTAATCAAATGGGACTTATAGAAAAGCCATGGACTCGACCAGTGGCCATGAATAGCCACCAAGTGGAGCAAGTCCGTTCGATCAGATACTTCAAATCAAAATTATGTTTTTTTATTATTTATATAAGTGATTTAGTATTAGACTTCTTATACAAAATTATACAATCGAATTGATTTGTATCTCATATCTGTATACAATTTAATGAAATTCTAGTTTGATTTTTCTCAAAAAGAAAAAAATTTTGGCAAATGCGTTTTCCAATTAATAAAATCCAATTTAGTTTGTATTTCCAAGAGCGATGATTTTCCTCTATACCTTATTCCATCAAATTTAAATATTTAAATATTAGAAGCAATTTAATTGTTTCTCACATATTTTAAAATGTGAAAAATCCGAGGTTTTAAATTTGAATTTTTTGAATTAATTAAAGAATTTCTCATCAATTGATTGGGAGTTATTTAAAAGCTAAAACCTCCTTTTTGTTGCATATATTACAAATTATTTTTGTTTTTTATAAATTCCAAAAAAAAAAAAAAAATTACATATTCAAACTTAATTTCCCAAATGATCCAACCTCATTTGGTCTGACCTTATCCATTGCCCATTGGCTACCTCTATAAGCCTACCACCTGATTACAAATGAAAAACAAAAAATAGTTAGTTCTAGAAATTTAACCTAATTAATTTCTTACTCATTTTTTATAAATTAAATAGTTTTTAATATTTATTTCCATTAACAAAACAGTTTTTTGATCAAAACAACTCAAACCTTTTAGTTAACTCAATGAAAACAATCAAAAGAATTAAATTAAGTTATAGAAATATATTTTTTGTAATAAAAAAAAATTATTTTTACAGTATCAAGAGAATTATGTAACTCTTCATTTTTTAATTAGTTTCATATATCTAAATAATTTTTGTATTTTGTGTTTGTATTTTAATTATTAAAGATAGAAAATTAATTTTGATTTATTTAAAATCGAGCTTAATTGATCCAAAAAAAAAGTAACAATTACGCCAAAAATTATATTAATTTTGATATTTGAAATTGTGTGTATTTTAATTAATCCACACCAAACTTAAATTCTATAGATTACGATTCAAATTTTAGGTTGCATCATCTCATGTGGAATGAAATGAAATGATTAAAATGAAATGAAATACTAATTAATGTGGAATATTAGTTAAGTGATTAGTGATTAAATTCATTAAGATTTTCAATTACGATAGGATGGGCTATAATGAAGTGGTCAATTAATAATCATCTCATTGAGAATTCTTGCATACATGATTAAAATCTTTTGGTATTAACTTTCTAACCTAAATTTAGTTTGTTAATCATACTACCTTTTTTTAAATAAAAAAAAAAAAAAGGTCATTGCTTGCCACCCTTATATGCGCTTTATGGATTGGTTATTTAGTCGATGTGAGATTCTTAACACATAATAATTTTAGAAGGCTAGAAGAGTTGTTTAAGTTTATAAAATTTATTTAGAAATTCTTCTTTTCTTTAAATTTAATTTAGTTATATTTAAATCTATAAAATTAAATTCGTAAATTTAATTTTTATTTTTCATTTATAAATGAATTTCACAAAAGTGGAATTCATTTATTTCAAGGGTAAGTTTTATATAATATTTTGGACGTTGTTTTTATAAGTTGAGTGTTTTAACCCTTGAAAATATGAACATTTAAAATACTAATTTTGATATGAGTTTGAGTTTGAGCTCTAACTTATAATTCCTACATGGGTGTATATATATATAAAATAAAATATTTAATTATAATAATAAAAATATTTAATAATTATTTTGGGAGACATTTTCCTCATGGGAGAAGTTGAGGATGGTCACATGAATGCTTGGATGAGATGCATTGATACACATCAAAAGACAGATCACATAATGTATTCATCTTCAAATCATTGTATTCTCAAACCCCAAGCAACCTTTCTTTCAAATTCCAATTCCAAAATTAACCCATCACTTGTAAATAACATTAATGTATTATCGAACACAATAATTAATTAAAACAGTATTTTAACCCAATCAAAACATTAAATACTATTTCAAACTCTCTTGCCGAACACAGCCATACAAAAATAGAGCATCTATGGTAACAAAGAATGATGATTTTTTAAAATTAATAGCTGAGTATAGGAGAGAAATGAATGTACATGCTTCAGTGTAAATGGATACTATCTTAAGTAACACATGTGGCTAACGACAACTCTCAGTTTATATGTCACCATATTATTCTTTAATTTGCAAGAAATATTTTTGTTTAATTAATTAATTAATTAATTAATTAATTATATTAATTTAGATGAGCAGTCTTTATCCTTTTTGACTAAGCCATATAAAGCCATTCTTCTTTAATATGTATATATATAGATACAAGCACCACATGAAGGTTTAAAACCCAAAACCTCTATTCTTTAAATAATACTATCAAAGAAGAAGAAAGTATACAAATACACTCTCTTTTTTTAAAGAAAAGAAGAGGGTTTTTCTTGCTTCTCTTTATAAATTAAGATCTGAAATCTTGATTTCCAGTTCACTTTTTGCGATCACATGCAAATATATAATGTGGGTCTGCTCAGCAATGGAGTAACCACAGCTTCTATAATCAAGTCACTGACACCATAAGCCAGCTACACCACTCTCGCTCTCCTACACATTGCCTTAACGTAACTCGAAAGCAAAAATCAAATATCATTAGCACAAACAAGCTATTCGTGTTCTTTTCGCAAAGGGTATATTTTCTTTATATATATACATATATATCAATCCAGCACCCATATTGTCACATATTACTGATATTTTTTCCCTTTTTTTTTTTTTTTTTTTTTTTTCTTTTTGTCTAATTTTGTTAAGTGTAATGGATGGTCTATCTTCTACAACTATTTTTCCGAGTACATTTCAAAGCGGTCAAGATGATATTACGAGTCAGCTTAATTTGGTATGGCAAGTATTGAAAGCGCCAATTCTTGTGCCGGTTTTGAAATTATTGGTGACAATGTGCTTAGCCATGTCAATAATGCTATTCATTGAAAGAGTGTATATGGGTGTTGTGATTGCTTTTGTAAAATTGCTTGGGAGGAAACCAAGCAAGAGGTATAAATGGGAGCCTATGAAGGATGATATTGAGCTTGGCAATTCTTCTTATCCTATGGTTTTGGTGCAAATTCCAATGTACAATGAAAAAGAGGTATTTCTTTTAAAAGTTTCCTAAGTGAAATATAAATTTATGTTTACATCTAAAATATTCATGTACTTACAAGCATTAGATTAGAATTATAATTATTAATTATACTTCATATCAATACTATTATTATTTATTTTCCATCCGTTAATTATATATGGACAAACATTTATTTTAGGCACTACGTTAAAGTTTGATTACTATTTGAATAATTGATGATGAGAAAAGCACATTGAAAATTTAATTATTAGAAATTATTAATTTTTGGGAAAAATATTAATCATTAAATTATTTTCAGTATAGATTTGATGTTTTTTACTTATTATGCTTAAAAAAATTTCTGAAGCAGTATGCAAAATTGAAGAAAGTAAGTTCCGAAGTAACATATTATATTTCTTTTAAAAGAGGTTTAAATTAACTTAATACCAAATAAACTCTAAATTCATATTTTCAATTTGATTAAAATAAATAAGAGATTATCATTTAAAAAAAAAAAAAAAGCAACTAACAGATTTGCAAATGCTAAAATTAAGTTATTTTCAAAAGAAAAGGAAAACAATGTAAGTTGAAGAAAATAAAATTATATATATGCAGGTTTATCAATTGTCCATTGGAGCTGCATGTGGGCTTTCATGGCCATCTGATCGGATCATAATCCAGGTGCTTGATGATTCAACAGACCCAGCTATCAAGGTATACATACCTAAACCTACTTCTTCTTCTTCATTTTTTTTTTTTTTTTTTAGAAAAATAAATAATAAAGGTAAATTAATTTGGTATTTACAGAGCTTGGTGGAAATGGAATGCCAGAGACGGGCAAGCAAAGGCATAAACATAAAGTATGAAATTAGGGACAATAGAAATGGGTATAAAGCAGGAGCTCTTAAAGAGGGAATGAAACACAGTTACGTAAAACAATGTGACTATGTCGCCATTTTTGATGCTGACTTCCAGCCTGAGCCTGACTTCCTTTGGCGTGCCATTCCTTTTCTTCTCCATAACCCACAAATTGGTCTTGTTCAAGCTCGTTGGAAGTTTGGTAATCTCTTTTTTACCGAACATTTCTAATTTAAACTGCTATATTAACAGCTATCAGCTAACAGCTAATCTATTAGCCGAGCAGACCCGTTAACTAATGACTATAATTTCTTCACGTTTTTGTTAATTGAAACTCTTTTTTAACTTGTTCTTGCTGTGGATTAATTTGCAGTGAATGCTGATGAATGCTTAATGACAAGAATGCAAGAAATGTCATTAGATTATCATTTCAAAGTCGAGCAAGAAGTGGGCTCTTCAACTTATGCTTTCTTTGGTTTCAATGGTTAGATTAATGTCTCTCTTACCTAACATATAATCAATTTCAATTTCTCTCTTAAATTTTATTGCATTGTTAGAAATTTTTTTATATATGTAGGAACTGCCGGTGTATGGAGAATTTCAGCTTTAAATGAAGCTGGTGGATGGAAGGATCGAACAACGGTGGAAGATATGGATTTAGCTGTCCGGGCTAGTCTTAAAGGATGGAAATTCGTTTATATTGCTGATCTTAAGGTATAGATATTTCTAGGGTCAAAGCCTGCAATTTAAATGAAAGTGTTAGTTGATGTGGTAAGAAACTTTTATCTCGGAAGAGTGAGAACACAAATTAGATCCTTGGAAGCACACTTTGCTCAGACGAGCTCGCAACCAAAAAGGATACGATGATACTCTATTGAAAAAATCTAAATAAGCGCAGACCTTAAGTTCTTAATTTGTTATCATGACTAATTTGAACAAGCAATTTATACTCCTAATTGTGCTATTAAAATCAATGCAAAGGTTGTGTTTTTAACTTTCTTATATGTATTAGGTAAAAAATGAATTACCAAGTACATTCAAAGCATACCGATACCAGCAGCATAGATGGTCTTGTGGCCCTGCAAATCTGTTCAAGAAAATGGCAATGGAGATAGTAAGAAATAAGGTATGTACTCCTTTCTTTTCTTTCTTCGCTTGGATATTAATTATGAGGTCTCTATTTATAAAATCTCTTATGTACTATTTAATGCAGAAAGTATCATTATGGAAGAAGCTGTATGTGATCTACAGTTTCTTCTTTGTTCGAAAGATCGTAGCTCATATTGTCACATTTCTATTCTATTGTGTTGTTCTTCCTGCAACTGTTTTGGTTCCTGAAGTACAAGTTCCCAAGTGGGGATCTGTTTATATTCCTTCAACTATCACTCTCCTTAATGCTGTTGGAACTCCAAGGTGCCTAATATTAAATTTTTAGATTTCTTTTATCGAGAAATTCTCAACCAAAAGATCATCTCTAGTTAGTTTTTAATACTTTTATAATTTTGCAGATCGTTACATTTGCTGATTTTCTGGGTTTTATTTGAGAATGTGATGTCTCTACACCGGACGAAGGCAACATTTATAGGTTTGGTGGAGGCAGGGAGAGTGAATGAATGGGTTGTCACTGAAAAACTAGGAGATGCTCTTAAGAGTAAAGGTAGTGCCAAAGCTCCAAAGAAGCCTCGTATTAGGATTGGAGAAAGGTAAGTTCATTAACTTGTTGGCGTTTTAAATTTATAATTGTTCACAAATCTTTTAAATGAATTAATTTATACTATTTTTTGTAAATTAATTGGAAATAAACCCATTTCGTAAATTTTAAATTAAAAGAAAAAGGCTTATTATAGCAATTCTTTTTCAAATAGATTACTTTACTATTATTTTCAAAAATTAGTTAGAAATGAACCCATTTAGTAAAAATTAAAATGAAAAAAATATGACCTATTATATTCTTCATTTTTTTCCAGTCACTCATCAAAAACTCACCTAACATATAAAAATCCATTCATCTCTCATCAATTGCAAAAAATAATTGAATTTAACATTAACCAAATGGGTAATAAATTTTCAAAATTAGGGTAAAATTTTTCATTTTGAAAATTTGTATATATAGTTCTAACTTTATTTTTAAAAATATTTATGTTTCCCTATATTATTACAAGCTTTTAGAATATGGAGTTGACATTGGCTTATTTAATTTTTGGAATATATACAGAATCCATTTGCTAGAGCTTGGTGTTGGAGCCTATCTCTTCTTCTGTGGGTGCTATGATTTTGCCTTTGGAAAGAACAGCTACTTCATATACCTCTTCCTACAATCTATTGCCTTCTTTGTTGCAGGAATTGGCTATGTTGGAACCTTTGTCCCCAACTCTTAGCCAAAAAACAAAAAGAAAAAAAAAAAGTACTCCTGGCCAAAATTTGTTTCTCAAATATTTATTATTTGTCAAAAAAATTTATCATAATGGTCCTTTGAAGGCTTCCTCTTTTTTTTTTTTTTTTTTTTTTTTTTTCTTTTTATAATTTTTTTTGTTTACAAAAAGAAATGCTGTTCATTCTTTAGTATTGAACTAAGGGGAATTTCTGTTTATTAGTTGATAACTGAAAATTATTGGTACTATTGTGTAGCAATAGTATATGGGGTTTGGCATGGAAGGAACGGGGTGAGACATAGTTTTAAAATGTATTGTTAGGATATAGGGAATTGGATTTTTTTTTTTTTTTTTTTTTTTTTTTTTTTTTTTTTTGGTAATATAAATGAAATGTGAAAATGTTGCTTAAATTGATATGAAAAATACTATACATTACTTGCTCTCTCCCTATCTTTTTGTTGCTGTTCTTTTGCAAAACTTGAAATTTTGAATATTTGTCTTTTAACTAATTGAAGAAATTAGAAATTTAAATTTTGAGCATTCCCACATCAAACATGCATGACAATTAATAATTAGCTATACATAATAAAATAATAAAAAAGAACATATGGGTCTAATTGTCAAAAAAATTGATTAAAAACTAACGTTTTGAGTATTCAAAAACTAAAGTTATAACGCTATAATTAATAAAAGCTAGTTCAAAAGCTGTCACCCAATATAGTCTAATTATAGGAATTTTGGAGCTTGCCTTGCTCCAAGTTTATGGAAAAGAATGAGAATGGGTATAGTAGAAACATCTGCAGAAGAGGAAAAGACAGAGAGAGAGAGAGACTTTCAACAGATACTTTTATTCTGAGAAAGGCAAAGTAAGCTAGAAACAGTAATACCAAACCTGACCATTTTGATTATGAAATAATCTGTCAATATTGAATGTTTACCAATTACAGTATCCAAATAGAATCTCCAGAGAAAGGTCAAATAATTTGCAAATGTTAACACAAAAACTCAAATCTCAGACCATAATGGTATTAGCAGAAACTGAGAACAATCAAGTATATGCAATCTTGCCAAATCCTAGTATACCCTCCATTTTTATTTAACATATGAACATTGACCAGTATATCACATGCTATCAATTCTACAATATGTAAAAAAGTATAGTTGATGGCAGACCAAAGGTGAAACAAAGACGCAATTTTGATAAGACAGGCATCGGAAAAAATTATTGATTGGGAAAAAAAACAATATAGAAAGAACTTTAGCTCATTGTAAAGGAAAGAAATTTAAAACACCAAGATATAAATTTACTAACTTGATGTATAGGCTGAATTTAAAACTTGTAAAAGAAATCCTGAAACCTACAAAACTTTAGCAAAGCCTATTTGCTTGAGAGTTGCTGCACCAACTCCTTTGTAACTTGTGATAGAATCTAGTTTAGCTGAAAATCTAACAGCATGAAAAAAACTGAAACTCCCTGTAGCATTATTTTGACTGATCAACAGGGGTGAAATTATTCTATGAACCACACCCAATTTCTAGATGTTCAGTTTCTGATAATTTTGTTCTGAGGTCTCCAATATGTCGTAATGACCATATCCATGAAACAGCACGTTAATGGGATTCACTTGGTCTTTCCGATACTCTTCACCGTAATTTGCTATGTTTACCAAATTACCTGATGTCCTATCGATCATGAAGACTGATACCATAGTCCTGAGACATTGAGTGACAAGACTTGTCAATTGTTGAAGTCAGAAGTAAATCAAAAAGAATTCAAGCATAGCAGGCAAGTCCAATTACCAGGATCACAGCATTTTTGAAAAATTGATTAGAATGACAGAATATATTTGTTTTGACATTATTTCATTGGAATAACAGAATTCTATTGCAAAGTTCAAATTCTAGAACACAGCAAATTTAATTCAAGTCCTGAAACTTGAGGCATTTAACTTTGGCTCCATAGTGGTGAACATAAAATACAATCAGATAAAAATATAAGTGAGGAGCCATCTAAAGATTATATAAAGGCTTGGCTACAAGAATAGGTATAAACTGCTCTATATTCATGTTATGGCAATATAAGCATATCAAAATAAGAAGGAAAAGTTTAAAACTAACTTCAAAACATGAGAAGCCATCAACAGCTCAGGTTCTCCACCCCATGCATAAGGTTGTTGGATTCTCTCGACATATGCATCAAAATCGCCTTCTATAAACCTAAATTGATTTCATAACCAGAGGGAAAAAAAAATGAAATAAGGATCATTTGAAGCAACTATGTGTTAGCAATTGACAGAGAGCTTGCAAATTCCAAAAGTGCAAAGCTTACCATTCGGATTCTTCCCGCCTCTTTAAAAGCTCATCTACCACCTATAAAGTCCATGTAATTAGCAACGGCACAAGACCTTTCATACATAAAGTGCAAAAGTGGAATTTCCAATCAGCATTAAAACTCACTTGAGCTCTTAGTTCATCAGCAAGTTCTCTCTGGCGATTTTCATCAGGGGCTTCTTCTCCACTTCTCAAACATGCCCCGTGAGCTATTGCTCTAAATAGACATCTCCCATCAGCCAGTACTCCTGCACCACCTTCTTCTTAGATTCTATACATCCAAAAAATTATGCATCCATCCCATCTATTTATTATTGAACCATATAAGGGCACACCATGTAAGAAAGTGGATTCCAATCGAGATTGTTTGGATTGGTCAAATGTGAAATCCATGAAACTTCAATTCCAAACATCTAAAGTCACTCCAATCTATATCATAAATTTTGTAATTGGAAAAAAAAAAAATCATTGCTATTAAAAAATACTAACGTATCTCCGCAAAATAGAAGTTGAAATTTCGGAAATTATAGATTCTCTGTAAATGACATCATAAAACATTAAAATCAAATTCAAAAATGAGAAAATCTTTCAATTTTGGGAATTATAGATTCTCTGCAATTGACATCATCAAACATATTAGAATCAAACTCAAAATTGAGAAAATCTTAATTACAGTTTCTTATTCAAAAATGAGAAAATCTTATATTTCTTAGAAATTAAGCTACAGAATTCTTGAATATGGTATATCTTTTTCTTTCTATTTATCTTTCATGATTTCCTTCCAGACTGATATAAGGGCATTTCTTTACCTGCTAGTTTATGGAGTTTTTGCTGGATATTCTTTATTTGGAGGACTAACTAAAAGTAATTAGAAAATTTATCAGAAAATATTTCAATACTAAAAACGAAATGATTTAATAAAAAACACTGTTTACTTTGGTAATTGAAAATTCAAAGGATTCCTGAAAGTTAAATCCATTAAAAACAGAAAACAAACAAATTTAAATTTTTAATATAATTCTGTGGCAGTAACATCATCAACATTAACATGAAATTTGTAGAGTTTGTAAATTGCAATCAGATAGATAGTCCATCTCAGGAATTAAATTTAAAAAAAAAAAAAAAAAGCCAATTTTTGAAAGTTTCGGGAATTATATATTCTCATTGGTAATATCATCAAACACCCGAAAATCCAATTTTCAATTTTTTAAAAAATTATCAGAATTTTTTTGTATTAAAAAAAAAATCAAATGATTATATTTCATAGTTTAATGAAATAATCGCAAGTCCAAAAATTAATGAGTAGAATTTTGAGAGATAATTGATTAAACTCACCTGTAACCTTGAAATTAGCAGAACTGTCACGATTGAAATCAATCCCATTCGAATTAGTATCATCACTACCGTTACTGTTATCTTCAGCAACCACCACGCTCTCGTTATTAACGTCCGTCCCAATTCCAATTGGCGCAAGCCATCCGCGAACTCCAAACAACAACCAAGCTGAGTCAGGCCGATGTAGCCATCTGGCCGGCCTTGCATCCCAGGCAACATTCCATGATCCTTCGCCTCTCGGTTCAGCCAACAGTCTCTTGACATTACTATTTTTCCTCTTAAACCCTGACGGCCGGATCAGGTGCCATATGTAGGCGGTACCTCCATTGGAACCGCCAATTCTATGGGCAGTAGAGTGGTGGCGCTGGCGATTGGAGATGGAGAAATCAGCGATATGTAAAGGAGCTTGCAAGCAGCGATTAAAATGAGCAACAGAAAAGGAGTGAGAGTTGAGGATCCAAGGCTTAGAGCGCGCACAAAGTACACCAAGCATATCAGTGATGGTTGATGCTATCTTGCGCTGGCAAGTTATGGCCTTTCTTAAACTACGCACCATAAGCCATAGCTGAAAAAGCTGAATGCTTTTTTTTGCGAAGGTACAAAGCAGAGCGCATTAGAAAATGGAAAAATATCAGAAAGTTAGCGTAGAGTTAGACGGCGAACCATTTTAGGGAAGAGAAATGTTGTGTGGGGTCCACGAGAAAGCTGGGGCAGCTGCCACTGCCATTTGAATGAGTCGAGAGAGTCTCCAATCAGAGCTTTCCATTTCAAGTTATTTTATTTTTTTCTAATTTTCTACCAGGAAATTAATTAAGTTAATTAATTGCTTAATTATGCAAATATATTTATTAACATCGTTATTCGAAAAAGGAAAATGCAAAATACCCTAATATAGCATGCATCCTCACAAGAAATATTAGGTTTTAAAAGTTAGTTTGATATTATTATCACTCACGAGATATTTTTGTTTTGAAATTATGCTTCCTCCGCCTCCATTTTGTTTGTTTGCTTGTTATTTTTCTTTTAAATTTCTTAAAATATTTATAAGGTTTTTAAATTTATATATTTAAATAATTATTTCTCCTATAATGATATTTATGATTATTTATTAAATAGATGACTTTTATTAATATCTTAATGAATTAAAAAATAAAAAAGGACAAAATATTTTTATCAACTAAATTTCTAATATGCATATTTTGTCCAACCATGCAAATAAAATGGAATGTAAGGAGTATATAAGATAAAGACAGACCTTCATTAGGGAATCGGAGGACCATGGCCTAAAAAAATTGAAAATTTTCTTCAAAGTTTTACCTAATTTTTTTGTTTTTTTTCTTACTTAATTTGACAGTTAATATGTAAATCAATAATTTAGTCAAAGATTAGATATTTTTACATCGCTAAATATATAAATTCACCCATAAACTTTATTGTTTAATCCCGTGACACTCTCAATTTTTATTTTATTCATCAAGCGCTTCAAATTATATTTATTAAACACTTCAATTTACAAATCATTTTATTAAGCTTTTCAACTTACAAAATCATTTTATTTAGCTTTTTAACTTGCAAGATTAATTGAAAAATGTGAAAATTATTATTCTAAAAATTATACTAGCTACATATTAAATTAATATTTTACACATAAAAAAACTTTGAAAATTACAATGATTCAATCAAAGGAATAAGTGGACTTTTTGTATCGTGTTAGTTCATATTATTGTTTTATGTATTAAAAATGAATTTTCTAGAATTTGACTTCCTATGACCAAAGGATTTAATTTTACATTTGAAAGATAATTTTATATTTGAAAGATAGACGATAGTATTATCTTTTTTTTATTATTAGGAATGGATTTTTAGCATTTAACTTGGTATGACGGAAGGTTGAGAGAATGCTTAGATAATTATTATTAATGTGAAAGATATATAATATTATCAAAATTTACAAATTTAAACGTAATAATCATATCCTTTTATATATATATTCGTTACGTTTTCAAATAAATAAATAAGAAAGAAATAGAAAATAAATTCAAAGAGCATTAAAAAAACTATAGTTCAGCACTTAAGCAATTAAAAGTAAAATAATAATCAAAATAATTGACTTTTTATTTGTAATTATAAGTTAAATGGACTACAAAATATTTTATATTTTACATTTTAATTATTTATTTAAAAATAAAATAATTATTAATACGTTAATCAAAATGCGGTTTGATAAATCCATCATCTCACGTGTTTGTAGGGTTACGTGCACATGGAAATCTGGAGTGGCTTTTGTTGACAGGGAGCGACGATAGCGTAGAATGAAGGATGATGATGCTTAATGCAGCCGCTTCGTTCGACCAATAAAACAGTGGGATATGAGACAAGAGAATCTTAGATTGACCTCTTATTTTTATATTTAAACCGTGGTGACCTGATTTGGAGGTGGCCGGTTCACTAAACCGGTAAATTCAGTTTAATCATGGGCTATAGTAGTTTCTAATTGGCAAGGTTGAAAATTGAGATTGAAATTGGTTCTCACAGTTTCGATTTCGATCTACTTCTCCGTCCTTTTCATTTTTCTTTTTTACTGAAATTGATCAAAATTATTATTTTATTATTTTTTAATAATTGGTTCTCTCAATTATTTTTTTATTCATTATATTTATATATCTTATTAGTATAAAATTTTGATTGCTAATTTTCTGATTTTGTTGAATTATATATATAATAATTATTATTAAAATAAGAAAAAAAATTATTTTGAAGCTCTTAAATAACTGCAGTTTCACATTGACTATTTTTTATTTTTTTTTAATTCCAATAAATTTGTTTATGTTAAAAATAAAAAGATTCATGAGAAATTTATGAAAGGCAGTTAAGAATATATTTGAAAATTATACCATTTAATGATAAGATTTGAGAAATTGAAAAGAATGAATAGTAAAAAAAGTTAAAAAGTATTAAGGCATGGGAAAACACTGTTGCTATAACAGTATTTTCCCCACTCAGTCTCTCTATTTCTTTTTTAATTACATTTTTAATGAATAATCATAAAGGTTATCATGAAAAAAAATAATTTTTTACATATACAAATTTAAAAATCTTAGCAAAAAAAAAAGGGACGAAAGGGTATTTTTTCTATATTTACCTTATGTACATGACCAATAATTATTACTTTAATATAATGATTTTCTTACATAAATAGTATTGAATTAAGGGTAATATAGTCAATTTACTCAATAATTTATTGTAATTTAGACAAATTTAATATTTTTTAAGATACGTGAAATTCCAAATGTAACAAGTATTATGAAATAGAGGTAATATTATGATTTTTTTACATAATTAATATCCATAATGCTATCTATTAGTTAAAATTATTATGGATAAATTTAATAAATATAAATTATCATGCATAAAATTTTATTAGGTAATATTATATTATATTATTATGTCAAAATTTTTAAAACTATATTTATAAATATAAATTTATGATAATTAATTTAGGAATCATACCGGACTTTGCGCTGGTATGTAACTGAAGAAAGATGCATCATTGTTTTGTGCGACCATATTGATATGATTGGCCAAATTTGCCAATTGCTTTAATTTCTTTCTATTCCTTATTGTGGGTAGGTGAAGGTGTCGTCACCAAATTGTTTGTTGTTTGATTTCTACTTTTGTCTTTTTGCCAAATTTAAAGTTCAAAATTACAATAAGGTCCTAAGCTATTTAATATGATATGAGAATTATTATCCAAAGATGTATAATTAATATTAGGTCCTAAGTTACCAAATATTTTTGTAAAATTTTTTTCTAAATTTTTAAAAATTTTTCTCTTGATTTTTTTTTTTTTAGATATTAAAAAATACTAATCTCTTTCGAATTATATAGCATAAAATTTTTTTTTCTACTTAAATAAATACGTTTTTTGAAATCTAACTTGTGTTTCGTTCTTATTAGAAAGCAATGGAAATGGTTACAAAGCATATTTGGTAGCATGTGATTTTCATAAATAAAGAAACTTATTTATAAATAAATTATATTAATAAAATTTTAGAAATACGAAAGAAAGAAAACGTTGCTTCACGTAATTACTAATTCAATTAGGAGAATCATCAACTACCACCGTGTAAAAATATGCGGTTGTTTGGGTGGAACACGTGGACTCACAATAACAACTCGTTCTTCTTAGAGCTGTGGAAGTCTAGACGAACTCACAAACTGCAACCTATGATAGTGAAAGACCTGTCATTTTAAGATAAACATCATCAACGTAGTCATGTGGCTCTCATTTGCCTTTTGTTTTGTCTATCACGTTTCAATTCAAATCAAGATGGCGTTTGAATTTAAATTCAAGCTTAATTATATTCAGTTTCAAAATTTATTGAAACTTATTGAGTTTTAATATTTATATATATATATAATATTTTTTATTTTTACTCGAGCTTTGAGTTTTAAAACGAACTCGAATTTGAAATTTTTTAAATTGAATTCGAGTCTCTAATTAAATTTGAATTCAAGTTTGAGTTTAAAATTTACAGGCTCATTAAGTTTTCAGTCAAGTTAAATTTCTATTAAGTCGAGCCTTGAGCTTGACAGGTTTAAGTTCGGCTTATTTCATTTATTTCTTTAATCATATGATATTATGTAAGTCATAAACTTAATTATAGAACTAAACTGATTCAGATTAATTTTAATTTTAATAAATAAAATAAAAAAATTTCAGTTTTGGCATAGTTTAAAAATAAATTTAAATCTCCTAAAAATAGCTAAAATCTAACAAACTGAATAGAATTGGTTTGATTCTGTTAAATTTGCATTTTGAAAAATTTCGATGTTTTAATTTTTATTGTTTTGGTCAAATTTGAACCATATTGACTTAATATTATTAATATTTTTTTTTAAAAAAAGAATATACTTGACAATTTATTTATTAATAAAAAAAAATTAAATTACTTTAAAGAAAATAACTTCTAAAAATTTTTTTAGAAATGTGACTGATGTGTTACAAGGACTAAAAACATGTAAAAACACGTATATCTGAATGTTAATCATCAATCACCATTCCTAGTCAAGATTACCACCATCAATTATCGGTAACCATCACTATTTATTATTTTTAATATAATTTTTTTATCACATTTAAAAATATAAAAAAGTTTATAATTTTAAATATATTTATATTACTATGTTTAATATTTTATCTTTTGTTTAACTAAAATTTTAAATGTGTAATAATTACTTTATAAAAATAAATAATACATTATACAAATAATAAAAAAGCTACTTTATTCAAAAAATTTTACTTTTTAGTAATTTTTGATTTTCAACAAACTCATTTACAAATTTGTACAATTGGATCCTACAAATAATTATAAAGGCATTAAGGTCTGGTCCTAGTCCTAAAAAGAGGTTGTTTAAATGGAGTTTTGTTTGGTTCATGAAAAGTTGGAAACTTTTCCCCTTATAATTTGCTTTGCTCTCTTTGCATATACATGCGCACACACACAACTTTGAGGCAACCTTAAAAGCAAACATCTATTCAATCATTAAACTACAATTATCATTTCAATGATTGAGATTTGCTTCTTAATCTTGAAGAGGAGGCATTTGATTGTTGGAACCTCGCAGAAGAATATATTGAAAAAGTTAA